CAGTAATTTATTACGACGCGTTCATTTCTTACGGTATAGTTTCCTGCTTTTAGTTCGTGATCGATAACTTTTAAGTACCGGGTCCACAAGTACTCGGGCAGGGTATAAATACACCGAGAGGTCGTGTAGTATTCAATGGGCTATTATGAGGCAGGGAAGCCACGTTCCGTCATATCGTGATAACCCGGAATCGTGGTAACTGTATAGGGTATAGGGAAGTAGGGCATAGGAGCCCCAGGGCAGTCGAGTTTCTTTCTCATCCTCATCCTCATCTCCTTTTTCTCCCTCCCCTTCTCCTCCTTCAACTTCAACTGAGCCTTTTTTTTATTTTCTTTCCTCGAGTGAGCGCCATTTTCCCAGGGGGGAAAGAGGGGAGCGAAACGTCGAAGTTTCGTGGTGCGAGACGTTTCACGATCGCTTTTATGGAGAGGCGTGATATTCCTTGCCTTTCACCTCGTATGATGAGTTCTAATTTCAAGAATTGTGTTGGAGGGGGGAGGAGGGGAAGGTGGGAGAAGGTGGGGGGGGGGGGGATGAAGAGGTCACGCCCCGCCCCCGGTGTCGAAATGCTATGTCATGAAATGGACAGCCCTGCCTTTCTTTTCATATTCCTGCATCTTATACGTGTTCGTTATGAGTTAGTGAGAAGGGGAAATGTCTGTTGTGCCGCCCCTTTGTGCGGGACTGAGATTGAAACTTCCGCCTGAGCTCATGAGGTGACGGCAGACACATGTTTATGGGCCATAACCGGGAATGCGAATGAGACACAGTGAGGGAAAGAGAGAGAGAAGGCATTCCAGCTGCTCCCAAATGTTCCCAGCTGTAAGCGCTCGTTTGACAAAGGCGAGAATGAGGAAAACCCGCCTGGAATAAACAGTTGCTCTGATTCCATTTCCCATTGCCGTGAGAATTAAGGGGAGGGAAGGGCTGTTGATTCCCTCACTTCCAGCTGCATGTATACCGGAAGAGGATCCTACGAGCGTGAAGGCAGATGATGATGGAACGAAAGGCAAAACGAAAAAAAGAAAAATCGAAGGTCATTTACCGGATGGAACTTCGTGCGAGGGTGTGGCTTGATAATACCGGCGTGACTGACCGACAAAAAAATTACGTATGCTTTGTGTCCCCCTCATGTTCATCATTCCATGCCTATGAAATGCGGCTGTGGGCCGTTTCCCTTTTTTTGAATGCTCATCTCTGGTGATCTACCGTTTCCTTCCTCTTCAGAGTTTCAGAATCGCGAAAGTGCACTGTGGGATGAGTCTCAGGAAAAGGAGCCTCGTTTTTCCCATGCCGTCGTATATCATAGGGGGAGAAAAGACTCCTCAATGGGTCTATCATAATGATTGGTCTGGAGTCTGTTTCGAAACTGCCGCTCAAGAGGTGACCTTGTGTGTGCAATAATCCACTTTTCTCTCTCTGTCTCTGTCTCTGTCGACCTCTAACCAATCGGTAAAAAATGTTCCTTTCTCGGCCTATCTCAGCAATTTTGCCCTTCCGGATTTCAAAACCTCATTCGGACAGACTTTCTCCACGAAAAGATTAGTATCAGGAGACGACTCTCTCAGTTCGATAAAAAGGGAAGGAAAACGAGAGAGTTGGCGGCAAATTGCACTTTTCTTGTGGCATCTGCGGGATATTTCATCATAATGATCGAGGGAGAAGAAAAAGGTTGGCCATGTCCATGTAAGATGGACGTAATCAGAGGGAAATTTCCTCTCTCTCATATCCTCGTAACACTTTCACCGCCGTGGAAATGAAAAAGAGAAAAAATCATGACTCAGCTGTCCCACTGTTTCAGCATTCTGCCCCACAGCTGCCATGCTTCATTATTGTGTTAGATACATTTCACGAAGACTTGTTTTCGATTCTAGAGCAACGGATGATAACAACAAGCAGATGTGATTGATGTTATTGAGCTGCATATGCCCATCGATCCCGTCTGCAACTTCCTTTTCCTTCCCCGTTTTTTTTTTTTTTTTGCCGATTCCACTCCATTGAATTCCTCCTCTGTATGGGATGAGTCAGGATCGTTCTTCTCCGCTGATGTGTCTTCATTGTCCTGCGCTGATTTCCCTGGCCATATCCTTGCCAAAAGCACGTCATGAGCAGGATCTGATGTTTCTTCTCCTCTTGGCACTGGGGAATAGGATATACGGTTTCCGGCCCTTATACAGGAAGCAACAAAAGAGGCTTCAGATATAAAGGATCCTTCTCATGTTTTTTTTTTTTTATATTCGCCTGTCCTTGGCACAAGCAAAGTCTGAGATGTCATCTATAGTTCCTCCCCCTTCTCACTTGTATGGGTGTCTGACGCGTGGAGAAAGGTTCTTGTCGAGCGCCAGTTGGTGCAGTGTCATTTATCTTCTGGGTCCAGTTCATTTTGTTGGTGTCTATGCAAAGACGAGCCCCAAAGCTGCTGGTATGGTGAGCGAAGGGGATGTTGTCTTTTCCTGGAAGAGAATGTTTGCCTACCAGACCAATGAAAGTTGGCTCTGACGGCGGTGTGTGTGTGAAGGGATGACAGAAGATCTGTTTAGGTGTCTGTGACTGTGCAAGCATCGGGATGTTGGTGGCCATGCAGAAGGTAATCATTGTGGTTAGAACGTTACTATGGAGTGCGTATTAAGCTACGTGGGACAAGGACAGGGAACGTATGCTGTCCGTGACCGTAATCGTCTCTGACAGTACAGCGTGAGACTGGAAACGATGGAGACGGTGTATTGGTATGTACGACTCCCGTCGATGCGTTGGTGTCCATGCAGGGGTGATCATTCTGGGTCGAATGTTACCATGGCAAACATACCTGGAAACACCGAGGGCTCTGCTGTGACAGCGTGCAAAGAGAACGGTACGAGATCCTGTCGGTGTGTCTGTGACTCCGTCACGACGTTGGTTTCCATCCAGGGGTGATAATTCTGAACCAAATGTTGATTTTGAGAGTAAATATAGACTACCTGGAAATGGGGGGGACTGTTCTGTGTCTCGGGCAATGGAAGCTGGCGGGACCTGATCGATCTCCGTTCTCAGGGCTCAATGAGCGACCAAACAATGGAGAGAACCAATTTCCTTCCAGTGCCTTTTCCCCCGTTCCCCCTCGTGGCAGAAGGGGCGATGGATAGTCAATAATTGCATCATCATGGCACCAGGCGGCATTGCACTCTCCCGTTCCGTTCATCCCAAGTGATCTAATTCAGCCTCTCTCAATTGATCTAATTCGGCCAATGTTCCAGAGTCTCGCGAGAGGGCCCCCCCCCCCCCGTCCATAGTCTGAATTGGAGATGAGGAAGGCACGATGATGGATGATGGGAAGTGAGGTGTGGAGCGTTTTTTTTTCCTTTCCTATCCGGAAGACCCTCTTGCACTCTTTCATCGGTTCAGTTCGTGATGCTGAAATGAAAGTCCTTTCTCGTCAGCCTCTTATCGTTCGTCGTGAGAGATTTTTTCTTTCTTCCCAGCAATGCTCCCGAACCATGAAGCATCCGCATTTTTTTCCCCCGATTTCTTTCTTCCTTTCGTTACCCCCGAAGACGACCGAAAGGTCAGACGAGATGCCGACCCATTTTTTTTCCTGCGTCTTTGTTACGAAGTCGGTTTCACCTGCAGGCAAGAGGAAAACTGGGACACTGGTCCACGTGGATACAAGACTGGGAAGAAAGAAGCCCCCCTCCCTTTTTTTTTATATTGCCAGCATAGTGGGCTTAATTGTTTTGGGCAGCAATGGATGAGCTTTGGTAAAATTGAAGGCCGGTTATTTCCTCGAAGAAGAAATCCAATTTGGATCGTGTGCGATTACAGATATTGAGGGTTACGTGCACCGAATAGATTCCGATTGAAGGTATTTGTTTTTCGCAATGGGCTTCTTTCGGAATTGCGTCGACTCAGTTGAATGAACTTTCCTTGGAACCCATTAGAAAATTGAATAGATTCAAGTTAAACGGATTTGGTTCATGTCCTTAATTTAAGACTTGAAGAGGTTATCAAGGGAAACAAAAGTCGTGATGATGGGGACCTGTGCATAGGAATTCTGGGCGATGCCGCCTTTGTACGGTTTTGTGCTCGCGAAGTCCTATCAGTGCGCCACTAGTTCTGCCTCGATTGAGAGGGTTGAGACCTCATTGTCAAATTGAGAAACCGGGTCTGGGGAATGAGAAGAATGAGAGACTCGTGAAAGTGTTCTGTCCTCGCCGTAGCGGAAAGGAATGGGATTCCTGATTTTCCATCTTGTTTTAGGTTTATGCCTTAAAAAAAAAAAAAATTTATATGGGATTCCATCGTGCTCGTTCGACATCATGCATGATAACAGGGGGGGAAAAAATGGAGCACAGTTTTCATATCCAGACCTGAAATCGCGAACGTGCCCGCCCTCGGGATTCGGTTTCCTTTAAAGTTCGTGGGAAGAAAGGGAAAAAAATGTTCTGCCCTTGGTTTCGTCATCTTCCCGTGAACGACAGCCATGATTATGTTGCACCAGGACCCCTAATAGAGGCTGATTAGGTCTTTCTTGCCTGTCCGTGTGTTCTGATTATCCCAGCTGTTGCACAACCTTAGCACGATGTCGGTTTGGCTAATCGACTTTCATCGACTACGGTTCGTTTATTTATTGCCCTTCGGTTTTATTTATGATATCGGTTCCAGCCCGCAGCTGTATTTCCCCGAACCAACTCGCTCTCCTTATTCAGGAATCGCATGAAAATATATTATTTCCGCCGTGGATTCACGCGTTTATATTGCACTCCGGGGGTGAGAAATTCTTCGCGGTCTCCTGCGGGATGATGGATCGAATCGGGGGGTCTTGTTACGTGGTTTGGAGTCGGAAATGGCCCCGTTCTCACTGTCTACATAGACTTACTGAATAAAATCTTCCCCTCCATGAATATAAATGGAGTTTCAATGAAGCCCAGGCGTCGAAATCGATCAGAGTCGTGCGGCGAATGAAAGGTCCGTCACGTCACGTCATGTCGTGTGGCCGTATTGCAGGTGACATGAGGCGAGCGTGAATGGCGACCCGGGTGTCAGTGCCAGACCCGAGGAGGATCTCAGGTGTCCCCCTCCTTTCCTCGGACGATGAAGAGCCCGGTTCCGCCGAGAACCGTGGATTCCTTGGGGAATCCACGGTGGTCCGCTGCCAGGGAATGCAGCGGAGTGCCAGCGAACTGGAATTGCCCCTGTCGCCTAGTCAGTTGCGGGGACATGTGAGTTGCGTCACCATCAGCAAGGGTTGTCCCGCTCATCGCTCCCTCCCCATGGTCAAAGGAGGAGGAGGTGAAAGTGTGCGGAGTTCGTCGTCCACATCCTCGGACCGGCTGGCTCGCTCACACACGGTGCACGAGTGCAGCGTGAGGACGCATGCTCATCCCCGGCCCCGGGTCCGCATCGCCGGAGCCAACGTTCTCAGTGTGTGTGTGAACGACGAGGATGAGCGGAGCAGCGAGGGGAGCGGCAGCAGCGGCGGTGGCTCCTCTCCGCGCAGTCACATCCAAACTCAGTGCCAACCGCTGGATCTCCTCCAGCCGCTGAACCAGGTCCGCGTCGTCACCCATCACGCCGAGGTCCAACCGTCCAGGTCCACGGTCGACACTCAGACGGAGGAGGCGACGGTGATGGGGACGCGCCAGCCGCGGAACAACGAGAGACGCGACCGACGTCGTCGCGAACGCCGGCGTCGTCGCAACAACAATACCAACGCGGATAATGGTGGTTTGGGCCGGACGACGAGAGTGAGTGAGAACGATTCCAGCAGTGTCCCTCGTCAGACGGAAGTGGGGATGGGGATGGGGATGGGGATGGGACTTGGACTACAAGAACATCATCTGCCGGATATTCTACATTCGCACCTTCCACCACCCTATTCGACCCTTCCGCACACATCGGAGAGGTCAGCCCCTCCCCCTCCGCCTCCCCCATTCGGTGCCCCCCCACACGTGCCGCTGTTAGGATTCGGAGCACCCCCACCTCCGCCTCCGCCGCCACCCCCTCCGAGAAGACTCCCCGGGTGGCTCGAGAGACACCCCTTCCCCATGCCGGGCAATCGACGGTGAGTTCCCTTTGCATTGTTGGCGTTTTTCCTGCTGGCACAAACACATCTGTCATCGTCCCACGACCCCTTTCTTTTTTTCCTTCTTTCACTATAATGCTCGCGAGATTCCTAGTGCAGGATGTGTAGTAGGATACTCAGACTCGCCCTAACGAATAACGAGGTGCACATAGAAGACGCCCATTGGTATGAGTCTCGCAGCCAAGGTCGTAGTCTGGAATTCTTATGTGATAAAATAAAGGGACGGGGTTGTGTGGCAAACTGATAACATTGATACTGAGTAACTTTTTTTTTTTAATCCGACGATCTCTTCTCTGAAGTCCAGGGATTGTTTTTATTTATATGTGGAACGAACCCTTTTTTTCTTTTGTGACTAAGTACTACTGCCTCGCTATCTTCATTCCTTTGTATCAGTGGCGTAGCCAGGCCCCCTTCAGCCTCTCTTGGTCCCCTCAGGAATATGGGCGAGGCTTAATATCCGAAACATGAGCATCTGGGCGCAGCCACCCATACCAAAATCACATGCGTTCTAGGGAAGTGAGAGGCAATTGAGTTTTCTTTTCATTTATGTTTAATGTCATGTAGTTTGTGGCTTTCATGGGTGAAACAGAATCGCCTCTATAAAAACTTCGTCTCCTTTCCCTCTCCCAGCAGATGGAACCTTTGGCTATGCCACTGCATCAAAGTCTTCATAGTTTTCTATCAACGAAGGCATGTTTTCCTTTCATGCCTTGTTTCACCGCCCTATGATGATAATGACGCTCTAGGACGGCGCATAAAAGAAGCCCTTGGAGGCTTGTCTTAGATGACTTCTGGCAAGGCTTGCAAGTCATGTCGAAGAGGAGATATTTCAAGGTGCTTTTCCTCACCGTATACTCTATAGGAAAAGGTCATGGAAAAAAGCTCTCTTCCTGCATGGCTGGACGACTCGCTCCAAAACCCATTTGGACAGGCCAGTCACCCAACCGTCCCTAACACCTTCTAGCCTGCCATAAGGTTGCTTCCCCCCCCCCCCCCCCCCCCCCCACCCTCCCCCCCCCCCCCCCCCCCCCCCCANCGCCCCCCCCCCCCCCCCCCCCCCCCTTCCAAATTGACGACTCGTCAGAAGTCCATGCCAGGTTGTATACATATAAATCCGCGATCGAAGGAAGGGTCATTGGGAATGTCACGTTTTTCTTCTGTTTCTCCTCCCTTTTCAGTCTTTTTCTGCATGCTCTGCAGAGTGTGAAAGCAGGTTTTTAATTGCCTTGGGTTCACTGTCTCTTCCTCCATTTCACACTCCAACTCAGATGACTCTTTTCCTCGACCTTGAAGGCCATTTCTTGTAGAATTCTTTCCGCAACGAAGAAAGTGTGTGCAAATATATTAGTTCAGGGGTGTCGACGAAGCAGAACGAATCCGGACTTTAATGAACGACGTTCTCTTTCCATTTCCATCCAAGCACTGACCCCAGTACTCTTCCCCCTCCGGTCTTGAGGATGATTGTTTCGGTCTTCTAAAGGAACTTGGGGGGGGGGGGGGGGTCAAAGTACTGACTTTGTTCGTCATGTTAATGAATCCCGGCCTCTGTCATTACAGAGACCCCATCTCTGTCATTTATTATCGACCCGAACGTCTCATCGGGTGATAATGAAGTTAATTACAAGTGAGGAAACATCGTCAGCCTTGCCTTGTGGTTTCCCACAAAGGAAGGGGGAGAAAAAAGCTTTCACCTGAATTCTCTGGGTTTTCGTAGAGCCAGTTAAATTGGCAAGGCCGGGGGAAAACCTCGGCCAATGACGTGGAAATGAGTCCTAGGCCGTTTTCCCTCTGAAAACGAGAGACAATCGTGTCCCGGGGCGATGCCGATTATAGTCATTGCCAAGGGGTTCTTGTCCTTTCGTAATTCACAGGACCTTGGGGAGGAAATGGAAGGATAAAGGGAAAAAGTCCGGGTTTGAATAGAACCCGAAAGGATTCGAGGACGGATGAGACTCGTTCACCTTGGATGCTCTTTATAGACGGAGAAGGAGAAATGTCAAGATTTATGTTTTGTTTTGTTTGGTTTATTTTTTTTTTTTTTTTAGTGAATTCTATTTCACTTGCTCTTCTGCTGGAACTTGTGGGAAAAGTCTTCGAAGGCTTCCGTGACGCATAAATTAGGTTTTTTTTTCTTCTTTTTTTTATTGTCGGACGTGACGGCGATTAAAACAGCTCGGTGAAAGTACTCTTGATGTAAACCATCTTCAAAAGATATTCACTTCTTTTCTTTTTTTTCTCCATTAAGTACTGTGCCCAGAGGCGAATTTTTAGATGGGATTCATTCCGTACACGTCGTTTTCTCCTGCCCTGATCGATGGCCGTTTCCAGGGTGGGATCATGTAATGGAGAGAGGGGCACTGACCGACTATTATCGGGTTATCATGCCCCAGTTCGTGGGAAGTGAATGCCAACCATGCCTAAGAAGGGGAAGGAAGAAGGAAAAAAGCAAAAGAAAATAGGGGCTCTGCCCCACTGTCTAATTAACTCGGGTCGGGGTTGATTACTCGCCTGTCTGACATGCATTTCTTTTCTTCTTCGTAAAAGTATAGTCCCTTTTCCCATCTCCGCCCTTGGGTGGAGTGGAAGTTTCACCGGAAGACCTTTTGGTCTCGTCTTGTCTATTTTTGACAGGCCGGGAAAGTGGTCGAGTCAGGCCTTGCCTACACGAGAGGGGACTTATGAAACCCTTGGGATGGACCCCTATATATATATATAATAAAAAAAAAGGTGATGAATGATCCAGGCCCCATGGAGTCGGTTCGTGTCGTAACCTAGGTCTCTCGCATATTCCCCATCTCGCCTCGTTATATGGCTCGACACGACATCGATTTGCACGAACCCGACGTGATGGAGTTCTTCCTCTTTTTTTTCTCTTTGCGTGACCTATTATATGCCTTGCCTAATGGGATTCTACGAAGCATGGAGACACGATTTTCAGTAAAGGCCGTTCATGCGAGGAGAATCGCCTTCAGAAAATACATATTCAGCGAAGACGCTCCTTCCAAGATTCTATCTGATGCATGCACTTCTCACCCGATTCCCCAGATATTTTCCTCTTCTCACCTGATACCCCAGATATTTTCCACCTGCCCTTCCTGGCAAGCTTCAACTGCGTGCATGTTGGTACATACATATCGTACACGTGGGTGGAACATACTTTCATCATCGTCCGGGCTTGGCATGGTTCTTTCTGATGGGGTTCTCCATTCCGGAGTTTGCATAGGGGAGGGGGGACCTCATATTGATTCCATTATCTCTGTCCGAAGATAGGAGAGGAAATAAAAAGCAGGGTATAACGGGTCCGTTGCCATAGCGACCGATTATTCCTCATGCATTCAGACTGCAAATCACTTCGATCTGCTGGTTATTATGAGGGTCCTAACAGTCATGTAGGCGGTCCCATGTCTCTTGGAACCTCTTGTAATGTGTTTCCTGCGTTTCCCCCCTTTTCAATCGATGAGGGGGGAACGTGCACGCTGCGAAATTGAGGGGATACATGCACTGTGCCCTTAATAGAGCGTGGATTGAGGTCGTCAAAACTGAAAAGCCGTGGAGATGCAATCAGCATTCATGATTTCGTGCCGCCTTTTTTTTAAGCTCGGGCCGCTGATAACTGATAAGGCAGAGATGGCTTTGAACCAGAAAGAAGCTGTTGTCATGCTGTTGGAATAGATGGAGACGAATTCTTGATTCGCTGTTGTGACATCGTTCGTAGCCTCGGGGAATTTCGTGATCTGCGATCCCAATCTATCGGCTCACCGATAGATTGGGATTTGAAGGTGGGGTGGAGAAGTCCCCGATGTAATTTTTGTTGTTGCTGGCCAGTTTGGGAATGTTTGGTAAATGATGCATGCGGAGGAAGCCGTTCGGGATTGTAATTTATTTTCATGTTTTTTATTTGGTATAGTCGGAGATGCGGGAGCCCCCGATTCGGAGGAGATATGAGTGAGGAGCCGAAGAGTTGTTGCGGTTTGGTGGTGAACCAGGCGGCAAGTATTCGCTGGTTCATCGTCCTCATCGCCTTCGTCGGCCTCTGCTGCGCCGTCGTCGGCACCGTCTTGGGTGCCCTTCGTGCCACCGGACGGGAGCACCTCACCGTCTCCTTACTCATGATCGGTACGTTCCTTTCTTTGGTGAAAGAAACAGAAAGTGGAGCTAAAAGTTAAGTCGACAAACTAAAGAAAAAAGTTGAGTTTGGTGACCGAACCCACTCTGAAAAAAAGTTCCTTGAAAGGAAACTTTCCCCTTTCCCCCCTGTGAAAAAAGAAGCTTGATTGGTCATGCACGAAAGAACATTCCGTCTCAGAATCGTCGCGCACCTTGAGAATGCAGTCGAGTGTAATTAGGGTCTACTTTTATTGTTTTCTTCCTCCGTTCTTTTCCGTCTCTTGGTTTGTTACGCAACGATCTTATGGGGTGTGGCATTGGGATTCCAGAGCTGGCTTGGAATTGTCTAGATTTCCACAAACGTGCGGGGAAAAAAACCCTTGGCCTCATTGCACCCAATTTCTCGAGTAAGTGAGAGGGAGGAAAAAGCCACAGATGAGCCTTGATACCTTTCCCTGTTAGTCCGTGTGACCCTGGTTTCTCCTTATTCGCTGGGTTGAAATCGATATTGATGTGACTAATTTCGCCGTCCCGCCCGATCGCGAGGTCGCGGTGCGAGTAACAAATGAGTTTTGACCCCAGTAATGAGTCTGGACCCCGGTTCGTGCTTCGACTCCCAATAAACCCACTTGAAAGGGAATTAATGGATCGCCGAGACGAGACTTTTCTTGAAAGACAGGCGTGGCTTCTGCAGATTCACCACGAATCCCATCCGCAGAAAAAAGAAAAAACAAGAGTGAGAGGAGAGAAATCAACGGTGAAGCTATTTGACTGTTGATGCACTTCACCTGTCACGCGTTAATCCCCTCTCACGATTCTTTCTCCGTGAGATATCCTCACGGACTTCACTAAGAGACTCAGCCGAGAGAGATTTTGCAATGGCATTTCGCTTCGTGCTCTATTGCATCCGTGGAGGATTTCTTCTTTTTTCTAAATCCATCCGTCTCTCATGCCGTTATCTAGGACGAGGAATCTCCGTCCTGTGATTAACCGACAGATGGTGGGGCTTATTTCCAGACGAGAAGAGAAAATTGCTGTCGAATCATGATTGCACATGTCCTCGGCCTCTTCTCAGGTCAACGGTACCGAAAGAGAAAAAAAGGAAAAAGACCGAGACCTAGCCAAGCCCTTTTCCCCCCCCATTGTCTCCCATTATGACAATGGGGGCCTTGGGGAACTCGAAGATCACTCTGCCTCTCCTATTCTATGTAAATTTTTGATTCAATTTCCAACCCCATTATGTCAGCTTGGGCGTGGGTGGGGTTCAGTTCCCACAGGATATTATTCTAAAAGAAGAAACAGCTTAAAGTGCAATTACGTCAGCTTAGGCTGTGATTTGATGACGTAACGGGATCGATATTGGAGCAGAAAAGGGAATGAGTCGGCCTTTTCGCCCCACAAGATCCGATTTGGCAGAAGGGAAGAAAAGCAAAAATCCCCAATTGCATCACCTCGTAATTGCTTCTCTTTCTGGAAGTTGTTTAGGGACTTTCTCCGCTCGATATGAATGGCAGCTCCTTAGAGTGAAAGTGAACAGGTGGTTTTTTTTATGAACTAGATCGAAATTTGATGGCCTCTTCGATGACCTAAGAAGGAAGAGGGAAGTTTCTGTCTGGGTCAGATAAAAGGAAGAGAGAGAGAAAAAAAAGAGACTGGGTGTTCTTTGTTAGGGTCCCCTCAGGGCACACCACGGTATTGGTTGGGGGTCCCGTTAGAAAACGAAGGAAGAAAGGCAAAAAAAGGAGAGGAAAACCTTACAGGACGTCCTGCACGAGCACGACTCCGGCCCCGTTCCGTTTTTTAACTTTTTCCCTTCCTTCCTTTTGTTTGAACTCATTGGCGAAATTTCCATCCGTGTGGAAGGTTCGAGAGAACTGATGGAGTTCGGAAAACCCCACGTTCGTTTTTTAGAACTTTGATCCCGATGTTTCATTCTAGTCTGCGATCGGGGAAAGGGTGGGAAATTGATAATAAAACCGAGGAGCGTGAGGCCGTTTTCGAGAGGCCTCGAGGGCGCCACAAAAGTGAGAGATCTCAATCAGTTTTTGAAAGGTGAAGGGTTACCAGTTCGGGTCACGTATTCAACGGTCCTCCTGGGGTCTTTTTGCCCTTCCTTCGCTTTGCCCATGATGTAGGCCGTGGTTCGGGTGAGGGTACCCTCGGTGCCCCATTGACGATGATGGAATGCACACCTTTTCCGGTTTGGAAGATGAGATCACGGTGTTGAATGGGGGGGTTGAAGGACCTCGCGGGTATTGAAATACCATAGATTACATCAGCTGGGGGAGGACGGAACAGCTGAATGAGTGAATGGCCCCGTTTCCCGTCCTTTCATCAACCCGAGGGCTCTTTTTTTTTATTTATTTATTTATTTTTTTTTCTCTATCGAAGAGAAGTCGAAGGGACATCTCAAGCACCTGTCACTCGAGCATTCCCACCCTTCTCCTCTTCCCTCGTCAGATTGGCATCTTGGCATTCCTCGTCTCTCGCTTCCTACTCACCCTCTATTGACCCTCTATTGACATAAAATTCTTTTGTGTATTATACTGTTGTCGACAGTGAAAAGAGAGAGGCTCCCCGTTGGAACTCCTCGTCTTGCGGGATTCTTGGACCTTGTTTGGAAAATGTATTATCCAAAATTGCTCACACATAAATAAAGAAACCAAAAAAGTCATACAACTCCTAATGGCCAGTGATAACTAGCTTCCTGTGAACTCGACTACAGAGGAATTGCTCTCACAACAATTTCAAGCTCTAAATCGTTGATTAAATATGACTTTGGAATGGAGCATAATGAGCATAATTGATAATTTACCGTCATAGGCAAAGTGTATTTTGGAGTTCTTAGAGGTGTAGTTTGATGGATTAGTCGAGGTTCCTTTCTAAAGTTGTACCTTGTAGAACAATGTGAAGAGATGCCTTTCCTTTCCCACTCTGTTGTATTATGATAACTTTTTTCTTTTGAACGGACATCTCATCCCCCTCGCCGCTTAACTCACTGTCGTTATCCGTCGGCATTGTTGTGGCTACTTCAGGCCGCATGACAAGCATCTCAAGTAGCCAAAGAAAAGAAAAACTGCCTCTGTATCCATTTTTTTTCTTTCAAAGATAATGGTAACATACTGCGTAGGAAGCCCTTTCTTATGTAAGCGAAGTCATGAGTGCTTCCAGTTTATTTGGAGTTAGGGTCAAAGCGAATTTTGACCTGGCAATTCGAGAAATATTTGGTTTCTTTCGTCTGGAACTTCTATCGATTCATTTGACAAGACCCTCTTGTAGACCCAAGCCCATGGAGGTGATTTCGTTCAAGCTAAATGAGAGCTGTATCGTTGCTGCTGAATTTAATTGAACATTAACATGAGTTGTTTCATTTTCCCTGTTTCGTTATTTCCTAATCCAAAAGCGGTGGATATCGTTAGAAGTACTGTATCTCATTCATGAATTTTTTATTATTATCAATGTAACCTCAATGACTCATGAGCCCTGAAGGGAAATATGTAAATCTGAGCAAGTGCATGGAAGGACATCTGTCGAATGAGTGTGGGAAGTACTAATTCAGGAAAGTTAATGATGGACCTGTTGACAAGCATTGTTTATAGTTGCATGAAGCATGACTCGATGATTTTCCTGCAGATAAGTTATATCCGGTTCCTTTTTGTGCAACCAGGTGTGGGGATAGTGCTGATCACTGTGAGTGGGATCGCGTGGCGATTGACATCGCAGGAGGCGTTCACGACATCTTGCCGGCTCATGTTAGGTTTGAGCAACCCGGAGGACTTGCCGCCTGGCACCATCGGCGTTGGGGCTGAGCCTGGCCGCCGGTTCATGGCTCGGCTCCCTCCCGCCTACGGACGCCCTCATCACCCCTTCGCAGGTTGGTTATGAGTCCGTTAGCGGATCGGCAGGCTTTCGGTCGTTGCTCAGAGATTCTGACGGTTCATAAGGAATTAAAAAAAGACTAAAACTGTGGCCCGTTCCGAAAGAGATGTCTCGGGTTCTGCTCTTTCATTTCAGGCCTTTTAAAAAATACTTTTTACAATGCCTAGAAGTGCCTCGAATTCTTTTTTATTTTGTCATGTCCTGTAGATTTCTCCCTTCAGCCTTTAAAAACACTGAAGCCGTTTGTCTCAGAGTACCATTTTCTGAAATCCTCAACTTCAAAATGCAATTGCTCCGAACAGAATCAAGATTTATGAATGCAGTTTGTTTTATTATGAAGGCCAAAATACGCGGGAAAAGCCACGGGAAAACAGAAAACATTGCTCTTTTTTTTAATAAAAAGAAACTAAGCAATTTTTGTCCCCATTAAATAAGAAAGAATCTTAATTGCAGTGTCGGGGAAAGCTTTAGAACTGACATCTCTCTATCAAAATTACGTCCAGGCTTTATCCAAGGTTTCTTATACGGAATTACATAGGTGGTAATAAGTTTATTGTACTCATTTCGAAAGTTGTAATGCTACATCTCCTTTGAAAGAGCTCCTCTGTTATTTCCTACTTGATCGAGACGCAGTATCCAATGGAATGGAATCTTTTAAATTCAAATAAATGCAAGTCGCATTCATGGAAGAATAATGCGTTTTCCTCTTTCTTGCATTGTCTTCCCCAGCCATGCTTTATCCAGAATTCCAGTACCGACCCCCTCCGCCGTCGTATCAGGCGTCGATGCAAGAGTATCGGTTGAGGTTGCTCCTCCTGGATCGGCACCACAGCGCCCCTGCTGCCATGTCTCCTCCGCCCACTTATCGCTCCAATGTCAGCGGCACCCTCAGGTCTGCAGCTGGAAATAGGACTTGATAAAATCTATTTGTTTTTTTTTTTTCTATGCACTTCCCGGCATCCCCGTTGTAATGCATTTCATCGTCCTACATCTCGATATTGGGTTGTTTCCGTCCTGGTTTCCTTGAACTACTTCTTGTATGTAGCTGTAGGTTTGCTTGTCATTCGTCACTGACTTCACATAACTTTTTATGGTGAAAGAAGAAGCATAAAGCTTTCGTGAGGCCTTAAAATGTGAGTGGAGTTTATACAGGGGGGGAAATGTCTGGCAAATTTTCAAGTCGCTCACCCATACGGTTTGAAGTTGTTGCAGTAAGTTTCACGATCCCATGACGGACCACTTTGTGGGAGGGGAACATGAAGCCAGAGTTTTCTCCGCCGAAGCATAAACCCTAAAATCAAGGATTTGGGTCGTCTTATCATTTTTCTCGTTCATGGAAAATGGAAAAGAAAGTTCATGATATTCTTCAAGGTGCATTCGGGGTACGTAACGTGGTGTCGTTGGAAACGTATCTTTGATGAAATAAAAGTTGCAAGCTGTGGAATCGCTACTTACTGATGGTGGATTACCACGTTTTAGAATTTGGGATTTCGGTGAGATACATTTACCTGACATTTTTATTTTGATTGCATGCAGGCCTGCACTGACATTGAGTCGAGAAAGTGACCTGAGTCGACCCCCGAGCTATCGATCCCGATCGAGTTCGGTGAACCCACGACCCAACGGGGACCTGGGAACGGGACCCAGCGACCCCGGACACCATCACAGCCGAGATCCTTCCCTCTCGCTCAGTCTTCTGTCGCACGAGTCGCTGTTCGGGAATCCCCAGCAATCTCCGCCGTCTGGGAACGTGGTGAGCATCAGGAGCATCTGCGAAGACGAGGCCAAACTAGTGCCTGGACCCGTGGGGGACCTGGATGCGAACGGACGCAAGTGTAAAGACGGGAACCTGGTCACCATCGTTCAGACCACTGACTCCAGCCAGGTGATCGGGCAAGAGTCTGTGATAGTCACCGTGTCTGGATCCCATCAGCCCCTCAGTCCCTGTCAGTCCTCCCCGGGGCACACTTGGGGAGAGGTCCAAGTGCTCGCTCATTTGTGATGATGCCCTCCTGGGATGTGTTAACGAATCCATCCGCCGAAGGAATATCCGCGCTTCTTTCGGTCGAATGCGGGCGTGCATTCGCCTCGCTGGTCCGGGAAAACCAGGTCGTGGCGTATGGAACTAAGGTTGGGCATCGATGTCGGATGTGTCTTCATCGTGAGCCATTTTGGCACATCCCCCTGTTCTTGTTTTATTGTCTAGTCCGTTCGTTTTGGCCAGATGTGTGACCCAGTAGATGTGTGCGAGGGAAACATGAGTTGCTATGACCGAGAGTTATCAGGTGCTTCTATTGCTCATGCTCGTGAACTTCCTTTTATATGCCCTGGTTAGAGTTCATCATCTCTGGGGATTTATGACCTTTTTTGCCTGAAACCCGACTACCCGTACCCTAACCCCATTTTGTTGTACGGTACTCAGAAGTACTCTGTTTTTGTGCTTGGAGGAATTTCCTTTGTTCCTCCTGCCCACATTCACCTTTCAATCCACTACTATGCAGTGGCTAATTAGAATCTTCGTTTTTTGTCACCCACGTAGGAGACTAGAATTCTATGCAGATATTTGATCGTTTCTTGAACCTCGTATCATTCCCGTGGCACGCGAGACGAAGGAAGAAATGCTATTCCGAGGCATATGTGCATTTTCTGCCCTATCTCGATTTCACACGGCACTGAGGATTCGACCGAGGTACCATAAGAACGCTGAGATATTGTGATTGTTGTACACAGCCAACATAGCTTTTGTCCCTTTTTGTGCATCACTTTCCTCGTTTGCCGTTCTGAATTATGAAACAGAAAATAAAAAATATTTTCACTCATGCCGAGTGCACAAAAAATGTCGCGTCTAAATTATTTGTCCTATTGAATACACTCAGATGCAACCGTTCTTTCTCGGCAAATGAAGCCTCAAACGAAATGAAGTAAAATCGGTTTGAGGAATCTGCTTAAGCACGACGTAGAGGCGGGGATGGGAAGAATTTGGAGCACCCAGTCCCTGGATTTAACCAGCAGCTCGTCGTGATCGTCAACATGCACATGGCAGAATTCCAACCCTACCGTGCCATTTATATATATTACGGTGATACATTTTTGTGAGCGCTCCATGCATTTTTGAGAGCGCTCCAGTACCAGTACAGTGGCGAATGGAGAACGAAGAGAATCGTGGGCGCGGGCGTGGCCCGTCTCGGCCGACCTTGGTTGGCTCGAAAGCCGACCAAAGTCGGCCGCGAATCGATCCTCTCGGAAGAATCCAGATGACTGGCGTTCCCATCGACTTCGAAACAAACAAAATTTTAGCACTAAAATGTGGACGAATGTGTCGAGGATTTGAGACGCAGAAGAATTAAACGCGTCCTTGAAGTCCTCGACGAATATCGAGTCGACTAATCACGCTTTTGCCTTACGTGAGGCGCATGCATTCATGCGTATAACAAACCTTTGAGCGTGGAACCGTGTCTCATTCCTTAAGATTCTCTTAGCGTCGGCAGTAGCAGGTGCCGAGTACTTTCAAAAGGCTCACCTTACGCAGATTCTTTTTTTTTCCCCCTTAAAGAATTTGAACTAATGGAGCTTTCTTTCGGTTCACGTCACGAGCGGTAGGAGCGGTTCGCACCGTGCGATTTCACAAATAAAATTTCTGGCTCGAAAGAATGGGGAAAAGACCTACGGGATAGTCTTTGCAATCGCCGTTAAATCTTCCGTTTCCGAATTTTCACGCGTAGAACAATTTCCTGCACGCTAAGCATTAATTTCGATGCTAAAATTCATTCTGAGAGTAAAAAAAAAAAAAGAATGTAAATTTATAAGAAAAGGACGGTACGAGGAGTGCCGATCGAACGAATTTCTTTGTGTCGTACGATTCGTTGTCGTTTTCTCGTCGTGGTGGGCAAAAATGGGAGACTTGGTGGCCGCGATGGCGCCTGCGATCGAGGACGACTCGCTTCTAGTTCTGGCAGGTTCTAGTGGGGAACGTGGCACACAGATTTGAGGAGAGTGCGCGAAACGCGGTGAGCATGCTGGGGACCATCCGGGGGAGGGGGGGGGGGTGGGGGGGGGGGGAAGAAGGGGGCGGTAAGGGGGACAAATGGAAACCGGAGAACGGAAGTGCACGTTTCTATCGCGGACGAACCAGGATCTCCTTCCTCCCGGTTTCGGTGTCGAGTGTCCACATGGGGCATGGGTCACGACGTCCACGTGGGTCGCGACGTCCATGTGGGTCGCGACGTCCATGGGGCTCATTTGGGTGGGGGGAGGGAGAACTTTTATCCCGTTCCGGCAGGGATCCTATCGCTCCAGGTTTTGGGGGAAAGATGAGTGGAAAATGAGAAAAATCCGTCGAAAATTTTCCGGAAATTTCATCGAGCGAATATATATTTGCTCTCTTTTGCGACTCCGATGCGACCGTGTTCGCATTCCCTCCGTGAGAAAAACGGTCGCGGAATTTTGCCGTGGGGGGTCCTCGATCATTCGCTCACGCACTTCGACGTTTATGTCGTTTCTGTAATTTCCGTTCGCGGAATCCGGCGACCCTTTCCCACGCGCGCGGAATTTCTCCATCTTTTTCCGCTGCGTTTCTGGAATCCGATCGAGCTTTCGCGCGCGCACGGAATCTCTCGACCTTTCTCCCCTTAGCGTTCCTGGAATAGGCTCGTTTCCTTTCCGTATGCGTGGAATCCGTCTGCCTTTCCGGTCACATATATTTCAATTTTTATGGGATCCGATTTTTTTTTTTTTAGTTCCTTAGATAATCCAGACTCTCAGAAGTCCGGTAAAAAAAAAAAAATCGTAACCGGCATGTGGCTTCCGTTCGAGCGAGTTCCACGACTTTCGGCGGGTCTTTAGGGCGTCGGGAAGCAAATCCGTGCCAATTCGTCTCGTGGGATTTTGCCAAAAACCGTGTTGCACCGACCGAGAGAGAAGAGACTCGGCCGATTCGTTGCATCACCACGACCATCGAAATCTGTTTTCCCTGGGGAACGAAAGCGAAATGGCTACATTATCGCATAAAATTGACTTCATCGAAAGATCTGAATCTTCACGGCAGAGTTTTTCTCTGAAAGACTAATTTATAAGCCCCCCGCCCTCCCGGATGGTCCACAGGATACTCACCGCGTTTCGCATACTCCCCTCAAACCTGTGTGCCACGTTCCCACTTGAACCTACCATGGGTTCTATCGGCGAAAACGAGACGTCCTCGATCGCAGGCACCGTCGCGGCCACCAGGTCTCCCATTTTCTCCAACCGCGAAGAGAAAACGACGGCAACGGAGGGCGCGACACAAAGCCGATTCGTTCTATCGGCACCCCTCGTACCGTCCCCCTCCCCATTCGGGGAAAGCAAACGGACCGGAGCACCTTCAAAAATTGACCAAACTAGCGCAGTCGGTAGGATTGACCTCGCCCCACCGCCCACGAGCGACGAACCCTCGCCAGATCGACGGAATCGCCGTGGACGCGAAATTCTCTCCTCTCGCATCCACGCCATCCACTCGAGAGGCGGCGAATACTCCTCGAACGAGTCGCTTCCACGAGGCGAAAGGTGGAGAGGAGGAGGAAAGCGACCGATGGCCTGGATTTCCCTCTCCCAGAGCGTCCAAACCGATCACACGTCCCCGGCCGCACCTCACTTCCGACATCTAGCGGCAGTTTCCTCCATCTCCCGCCCATTCCTCACGTCTCCACTTTAAAGCCTTGTCCTTTTGGGCAGGGCCGTAAATACTCCATGTGGCACCCCGGGGCAGGGAGTCATGGCTCCTTTTCTCCAGCCGTTATCTATAGCAGCTACTGGCAAAAAAAACGCGTCAGCTAGGCACGACCACGTCATTGAATGACGTCGCTATTGGGCAAGCAGCTCCAAGCGAAACATAGCGAACTATGAGAACGCCGAGCAACAAAGCCTTAAAATGACGTCATCGAATGCTGGGGGCCTCAGCAGAGTTAGCAGAGCCGCTAGCAAAAAAGACACGCCCATGGACCCGCCCCCTCCCCTCCCGCCCCTCCCCCTCCCCGCCCTGGCGTTTTTCCTCATCTGTGTCTTCCAGTCCTCCCATCCCAAGAACTAGTACCTGCGTATCCGCGTCTAAGTTTTGCGCGCTCTCAGTTTAAATGAATTTGAATGGCAAAGTCAAGTTGCCCTTTTAAAAATTCAATTATACGGAATAGCCACGAGCTCTTGAGTCTCCCTAAGAGTATCGATCGACACGCTCACGAGTCTACCTCTATAACGACAGCATGGCTTTCCTTGCATTTGCGAGATGCCAAGATGCTAATGATGCCGTCACGGCTTCGGGCTCTCTCGGCCTCTAGCGGGACACGATGGGGGACGGGCGAATCGAAAGGACCACAGGCAGGCGACACGGATTTATCGGCAGAACAAATGCATCGAGAGCGCGAGGACGAGTGGGCGCGGTCGGGATGATGGGTGCGGTGCAGCGGAAGGGGCCTCGAGAAGGCGCAGGGGACCCGTTGGCGGGCCGGGGAGGACCCGTCGGCGGGCCGGGGAGGACCCGTCGGCGGGCCGGGGAGGATCCGTCGGCGGGGGGTCGACGACTGGAAGTTTCTCTTCGGTCGTCGTCCGTCTCGGAGTGCGGTGGAACTTTTCTATCGCTATCGCGAGGGATTTATGCAGGATTAGAATCCCGAGGGCGGCGGCTGCGGATCAGACACGAAAGGTACAGGCCACTCGAGAATGCTTCATTAAGCTCAGGAGTACAAAATTACGCTTGGGATATACAGTACAGGTCACGCAAGATGGTCAAGATTAATCTTCCCTCAGTTTCTTAGCTCAGCGAGAAGACTCTTCGTGTTCGAGGATGATCTTGGTTTCCTCGATCGATATTCGGCTTGGACCCTATGTCCCTGCCTTCATGCCTGACCTCGTGCAAAGTCCCATATCTACAGGGTCCTGTCATCCTGAGGCAGACCACTTCAGGCACCAACTTAATACTTATTCTAGTACCGATGTACCAGACGCATGGGCACTCACTATCATCCTAATTCTGACACTTCTAAATAATTAATTATAGGGTGGACGACTCGACCGGATCGGGGTCAAACGATCCTAGCGCCACCTCTGGGCCATTCCGTATACTAACTCACTTTGGTGTTCGCGATATGATAAAAATCCACTACATTTGCTGCTTGATTTTCGATGACAGAGACATACGCCCGAAGCTTGCTGAAGCTCCTCTCACATGAAGCAATCGACGACGGAAGAGTAAAAAAAAAATTCTGAGAGCCATCTCTAAGTAGCTTCGACGAGGCGTTGCAGATGGATTAAGTTGAGGAGATCCAAGGGTGAGGCAAGACGGAAGTTTCGGTCTGGATGAGGTCCACGATGGTGAAAACTTTCCGTCTCTGAGGGAAGCGAGGCGGCGTTCAAATCGTTTGGGCGTGCCGTTGCCAAGTCTTTAGAAGGCTTCTGAAGCTGGGCCAGTCGATAGTGGCACTCCCGTTCAGGAAGCTGAAATCATCACAAACAGACCAAAGACATTGAAATTGAATGGCGCATTCAAGCTCACGCAATAAACGATCTATGGCAGGAGTACGGTCTGCGGGCCGGATCCGGCCCGAGGAGGTGGTTAATCCGGCCCGAGGAGGTGGTTCATCCGGCCCGCGGAGGTGGTTCATCCAGCTTGCCGTCTGTTTTTGAAATTTCCGCTTGGATTGACTGTCGAACACAAATTTCAGTGAAAAAATATGGGCGTGGTCGGCTGGCATCTGCAGGGTAAGGAATGCGGCCCACCGACAGATTTGAGTTTGACAACCCTGATCTCTTAGATCAGGGTTGTCAAACTCGAACTCCGATGTTTGCATTCTGAAGAACTCTTCTTGGGAGAAGCCACCAACTCGATCGATGGATTCTTCACCGGGAATTCTTTTCTTCCTACGGCCTCAGAGACCACAGACTCTCGAGTCGACCGCATGGCGTTCTCGAGAAGTCCGGATCCGCCACCGTGCATGCAGATCGCAGCAGCCTGTCGACACGATCCACCCGACACCCGACTCCGACACGCATCAGAGTCGAGAAGTCGTCATCTCGCTGGCGAGCGATTCGGCTCGAGAGACTGCTTCTGGGCGACTCGAGCCGCCGGATGTCTCATCCAACGCACCGAGGACTCCTTCAAATCCTTCAAATCCTTCAAATCGTTGCTTTAACGCGGAAACTGCATCAGCTCCTGCCGACCATCTTGTTTCGGCATGGCTCTGCACAATTACAGAGCAGCAAAATTTCATTCGCCTTTCGCTTGCTTCGCCCCCCTCCCTTCTCGGCTCCCCCCCCCCTTATTTACGGCCTTGCCTTTGAGCGATTCGGTTTTGGGGGAAATATGAGTGGAAAATGAGAAAACTCATTCGAAAATTTCCCGGAAATTTCATCGCGAAAATACATATTTGCTCGATGAAATTTGCTCGCTCTTGCGGTTCGATGCGACCGCGTTCGTATCTCCTCCGTCGAGTGCATTTCGTCCGCTTCGACTTATTTATTTTTAGATTCAGCTGAAAGTTCGAGCTTTTATTGTCCACAAGAAACCCTTACAACTTTTAAATGTTGTAACTCTTTAACAAAGAAACATTTCAAGATTGTTTAGCGGTATCGAGAGGCGATGACGCCCATTCGGACACCACGCGTCGAGGTCCTTCCTTAATTTTAGGGTAGGCCTACTCCTTTAAAAGCTACATATTTTTGTGATTTTTTTTTCAAAGCATATCCTAGCTGCTTACTGCCTTAGGTCAACATTGCCCCCCTTCTTGCTAGTCCATAAAAGCATCTAGTTTCTTAAAAATAGTGACGGCGCGGGTCATCCGCTACGTCGTCGTCTAACGCATTTTACGCGTTCGCCACTCTACGAGTGAAAAAGTCCCGTCTCGACCTGAGCCGCACCTGCTTGAGTTGATTCTCTCTCGTTCGCTTGCTGCCGTCGAACTGGAAGAACCTGTCACACTCGACGTCATCTATTTGATCGTGTTGAAAGCCTGGATGAGACCGCTCCTCCTCGACCTTCTCTCTCGGACGGTCCCAGCACTTCTAAACGATTCTCGCACGGAAGTCCCCTAACCTCCTTTGTGATCGTTGTGGCCCTCCTCTGCACACCCTCGAGGAGGACGGAAGAAGCCTAGAATCCTGTCGCATTTGGCCGCCGTCGCGTGCGAGGAAAACTTGAGGTCTTCGTCGATAGAGACTCCTGGAGATTTCTCTCCGTTTGCCTTCCCCGGTTTATCTTCGCCGAACGCGTCGAGAGGCCTGCCGTTATTTCGAACGACGCGGAGAACTTTACATTTACTTTTATTAAACCTCACGAGCCATTTCTTGCTCCACTCGTCCAAAAGCCAGTTTAACCCATAGTGTCTTGTGAGGAACGGTTTCGAAAGCTTTCGCGAAATCTAAACAGATTATGTCCACGGGATTCCACGCCTCTTAAAGCCGTGTTGAGAGTCCCGGATGAGCGCGTTTCCTTCGAGAAAATCCAAAATGCGGTCCCGGCGGATGTTCTCCACGATCTCCATGATCTTCCCCGGAATTCTCGTGAGACTTACCGGCCTGTAATTTCCTGGATTACTCTTTCCACCCTTCTTGAAGATCGGTACGACGTTCGCAAGTCTCCAGTCCTTTGGTACTTGGCGCGAAAATTTCAAAATATTATTTTTAGCGGAACCGATATTTCTCTCTTGAGTTCCTCGATGACTCTCGCAGGAATCTCATCGGGGCCGGTCGCCTTGCCCACCTTTAATTTCACCTTTAATTTAATTTAATTTTCGCGATCGACTCTTCGGTGATGGAAATATCCTCGATGCGCGCCGAAGTCAGCTCCAAAGTCGGATTCCACAGTGAAAACGGAAGCGAAGAACTCGTTAAGTGACCCAGCCATGTCTTTGTTACTTGCAGTCGACTCCCTCTTGTCGTTCATCAGAGGTGTCGACAGTCGATCGCCCGATCGACTGTCAACACCTACCACAAGCATACAGATTAAAAAAGGCCTTGGGATTCTTAGCATCGCCAGCCTCTATTCTTCATAGTTCTATTTGATTTCACTCGTAAACCAGACCGGTTGCATAACATGATACGATACACCTTTTTGCACACGAAAGAGTTTATGAAAGAGTTTATGTCACGGCATCAGTCCACTTCCACGCGTGCACCCGTTGTTGCACGGAGTATGTCTAGTCGATATTCCATTTCCAACCAGGTGCGTTGAAGCATGTCGACGCTCGCATTCGCCATGGCGGGTGGAGTTCGTTGTCGAAGGTCGATCGCGTCGGTGAGTTTTCGTTTCGGTGGTTTCGTGTCTTTTACGTGATCCAACGGGTGAGCGAGGTGGCCAGGGAGTCGGAACGTTTTCGGGACGTTTTTTCGCTTCTCCGTTTCATCCGTTTTCGAATGGATGGACGGGGTGGCGGATGCTTGCCGTATTTAGCACGGAGATTTCGTTGAATTTGAGTGTCTCATTTGGTTTCTACAGTGTTTTTCACTTCAGTTAGACAATTTTTCACTTGACTAAGACACCGATGCGAGGGGTATTCAGAGAGGAGGCGAGGGCGCTGGTGATTGACCTAAGGCAGTAAGCAGCTAGGATATGCTTTGAAAAAAAAATCACAAAAATATGTAGCTTTTAAAGGAGTAGGCCTACCCTAAAATTAAGGAAGGACCTCGACGCGTGGTGTCCGAATGGGCGGAAGTCATCTGACTTTTAACATGCACATACCCCGAGAGTTATGATTATGACAAGAATTTTTCGTGCATTTGACTTAGTACGCTAAACTATTGCAGACCCCGTTAATACCAATCCGAATATCACTCCCCCCCCCCCCCCCGCAAAAATTGATGTTTTTGGTGCCAAAATTAATGCACAGTGAAAAAATCAAAGACTGTCCAAAAGACACTCATATCTTCTACTTTTATATGGCAGACAGAAAACTTGCTTTCCGTCCCCCTTAGGCATTCTTCCACCGGCAATCGTCTATGAAACCATTGCATTTCGATATTACAAACAATTTCCACTGTTAATTACAGCATTTCTAAGATGGTTCTTAACTTTTTTTTTTGCTGAGCACACAGCATCCATCTGATCTTACTGGAGCAATTATGGTGAAGCTTACAATGTGGTTGTTCCCTTAGCCGTCAAATATTGAGATTTCCTCATCTCTACTTCCGAAGAGTTTTAAGTGCATATTTTATTGTGAATAGAAAATTAGTCTCGTGTCTTTTAGTGCAAGTCAAGTCCAAGAAACCGAAGTAGATGCTTTGGAAACGTCACGAAGCAAAAAATAGCAGCATTGAGAATACTTTTTTTGGGGGCGGATGTTCCCAGGGAACAGCAGCAGAGAACGAACAGGAATGCGATGGACAGATAAAATCAAGGACTGGATCGGCCTGTTCCTGATGGGAAGCCTCTGGGGAAACTCATTCCAGTCTTTGGGCAGGGGAAGGTTTCTTCATCGTGCCGTCTGCCGGCTGGACTCACGCAACATCAGGATCATTTTAGATTACTGATACCAAAGGGGAAGGGTGTGTGGATGGTGGGTATTTCAAAGGAAATAGTAGATTCTATCCATCGAATTCGAAAACCTGCAACGCAGTAAAACATATCAACGTGCGATACCGATGTGATATCATTCAGACTCACGCCCACCGAAGTGTCAGCAGACGATATGACGTCACTTGACTATGGCGTCTCCCTACGTTGTCATGGGTTGCAGGGGTACGTCGAGTCAGGCCTTATTGTTTCACTTTATTGATCCTCTCCATTCATACTTGTGAATTCCATCTCAGGGAATAACTGATTCGACAGCGATGAATCACGAAGTGCCTGTCGATATTGATGGGGTGGCTCTGCTTCGAGATGGGAATGAAGATTCTGATTCAGCTCGCCGTGCTGTCCATTGGGGTTAGTTTGCGAGAACCTTGTATCTTCGACCGCAATCTCGGGTGTTCATTATTTGGTATAAATTCTCAGATGGGGAGACACAAATCCGAGAGGCGCTGATCAGCGAGCTTCCTTCCAGAGCTCTTGGTAAGAACCTAACATTTGGTCTTAGGCCTACAACAGTCTTAATTTCGGATAGTCTAATTGTAGTTATAGAATTAGCAGGCACAGTTTAGGTTGAGTACAAAATCCCTTAATTCAAAATCTGAGTACAAAAATATTAAAAGTCAAAGGAGGTAAGAGTGAGCAATATGCATTGCAAAATTGTATAAAAAATTGCACTTTTTTAATTTCTGGAAAAATGCAGTAAGATATATATGATACCTAATGCAATAAAATGAATTTCAGCTAATATGACATGCTACTTGGGAGCAAGAAACAATTTGAACTATTTTTTCATTTGAATGTTTTGGATATGTTGCTATTGACCATTTGAAACTCCTCCTTGATCATAATCAAAATCATTGCCAACTCTGTTGGAGAGGACAATCAGAACCTCCATTATAATTTTGACCATTTCATCTTTTCTTTAGGGACAGGGGTAGCTCATTCCGCTCCTGCCACCATCTCTCGAGATGGCTCCACAAAACAGAGAGCAAAGCCAAGGTTGAGAAACTTGACTTGGAAAAATACTCTACGCCATCGGAGACTCCAGGCCATGATTGGATCAGGTGAAGAAGAAGTGGAATCTGCCATTCTTAAGATTGTTCAGGAAGACACAAAAGGAGAGTCTTCTCAGATGTAAGTCTAAGAGACATTAATGGGAATCTTTTATCCCTTATCAGTATTTCATAGGACTTTCATATTTTGAAAATTGCACTTGTGTTCCCTTTTGTAGCCAAGCTCTTAGAAAGCTGGCAGAGCCACTTACATTCCGAAGAAGGGTGAAGAATCAATTGAGTGCTCCAAAAGATGATGTTAACATGAAATCCATTGGAATTTGGACCCAGTTTGTCCTTAGTATAAGCATCACATTCCAGAAAGTGAGTTGTTTTCATGATTCATCTAAGGAATTTTGTAATTCAACTTATGTCACTCAGTATGATGTCTTTGTGTGGTATCATGGTGTACATTCCAGACCCGCATTGCTCTCAGTGAGGCTATGACAGATTGGGCTCTGTGGAGTAGTGCTTTGCGGGAGATAGAAGGGCACTTTGGAAGTGGAGTTGGGACATACTTTCGTTTCCTTCGCAGGCTCTTCCTCATTAACATCTTCCTTTCCATCATCATGTGAGTCCAGGTTCTTGAGATGTTTTGCATGCATCTTGTGTTTCAACCATTCAACTTGGGAAGAATTTTTATTTCCTGTTTATGTTCATTTGAGTTCTTTCCTTACCATATGATTTGGTAGCTTGGGCCTGCTGTTTGTACCTAACATCCTCATGAAGCAATACCCAGACAATGTCTCCTATCCTGGGTTGGATATCTCTGGTGAGATTAATTTCTCTTTATTTGAAGCTTAGTAATGGGAGTTTATGGACAAGTGCTCTGGAACAGTCCAGTTTCACAAAGTAAAAAGTGATGTGCTGGAAACTGTATTGAGCTTCGTCTAAAATAGCAAATTTCAGCCGTGATGAAATAAGAATTTGTCGTGCTCATGTGCCTCCTCCAGTTTCTATGAATCTCATTTATTTGTTGTTTTTTTTTACCCTCAATGACTTGAATTAAGTAATATAAATGATGGAAAAACAAATTTTAATCATTCAACTGTCCACAATGAAATGTTATTGACCACAAAAATATGATTTACAAGAGGGAGGGGGGTCAGAGGGGCTCAGAAGTCCTACCAAGACTCAAGTTTTGGCACTCCTATATGGCCTGACAATATATATTTAAAAAATGCATGACTCCTGAATCCCACTTGGCCTGAAAGGGTTAATTTGGTATTGCAAGTGACTTTTGCCTTTTTTGGTGGGCAATATCTACAGGTTGTTTCACATTGTTTTGTATCTGTTTCAGTTGATAATGCACGTGAACGATTAGCCATCTATCACACTCAGGATTTGTTTGCACCTAGAAGTGAGCTAAAGGTTTCACTTAATGAGTCTCATGACTTCAATTTCATGGACATCTTCACTGGAGAAGTGAGGATTATTTGCTTTAAGCCTTTGCTCATATCCTTCCCCATACTTCTCTGAGATTGACACAATGAGAGTGACTCTGGATTTCAGGGCTGGCTGAACCAAACAGATGTGTTCTATGGAAGTTATTCATCTGGCCGGCTGTCTAATCGCATTCCTGGGATGGACTTTGTCATGCCTGAAGCCTACTTCTTTACCATGTGTTTCTGCATTTTCATTGGCAGTGTCATTCTTTCTCTCAAGTCTGTCATATCCCTTTTATTTTTTGGCCAGAGGTACAATTTTTTAAAATGATTTTGTGCTCTTAATGGCTCTCAACAGTGCAGCCTTTTCATACAAGCAAAATTTCATCATGGCTGAGGGTGAAAATCGGAATCAGCTCATTGGGAAGATTTTCTGTGGATGGGATTATAGCATTACTTCACAACGTGCTGCTGACATGCGATCTAAAAGCATTTTCAATGATCTCAAGGTATTTGATAGGGCTACTTGTTACAGCAAGTGATAATTGTGATCATTTTTCCAGAATGTGGTAATATAAGAAAAATACATTGCACAATTTAATATATGATGAAATTTCGAGTGGTAAATGTTTATTCTCCTTCAGAGTCCTTTTGGTTTGGTCCTTCCATGGCTGCATGAAGTAGATATCATGATTTTCTTTCTTTTGTTAGGACTACGTGGAGCAGCTACGTAAAGAAAAGGTAGAGATTAGCAGAAGAAGGTTGGTCATCATCATTGGTGTGAACATCTCAGTCATTTTCATGGTTGCGTGCTCTGCTCTTGTTGTGCTGCTTCTCCTTGATCCTTCTCTAATTGCTTCCATGGAATCATGGGTATGTTTGATATCTATCTGACTGAAAGGTACTTTATATGTCTTGAAACATTGATCAATGCTATTTTTGTCTCAGAGTGAAGGCACTAGGTCCAAGTTGCATCTTTGGGCTGTTCCATTAATAATTGCAGTCCTCATTTATACTTTGCCTGTGATATTCTCTGCTTTGGCCAAGTATGAAGACTACTCCAATCCCCGGATGCCACTCTATGTCACCCTCTTCAGGTAAAAGTTCCTTGTGTTTATCTGATTTCATGTGTAACAAAAAGCTGAAATGCATGAATCCAATACCGTCATGTTTCATTCTTTTCTTCTTTCCAGACTCATTTTGATGCAGGCTACCATCATGGGATGTGTAGTGTCCCATTTTATTATTCGCAAGGACAATTTCGTTTGTTGGGAGAATTTCTTTGGTCAAATGATTTATCGGCTGATGATCATGGATTTTCTCATCTTTGGTGTTCTTGGGGCTATCCTGGAGTTCATAAGAAAATTCCTCAACAAGTCAGTCCTCTGCTAGCATCCATTATACTGTATTTTTTAAATGCCTTTTTTATTGATATTTTGGAATCCGACTCATTTTACTGACAGGAAAATCCCATTTTTGGAAAGATGGGGGAACTCTGAGTTTCAGATTGCACGCAACATCCAGAATTTGCTTTATTCACAGACCCTTGTCTGGCTGGGTCTCTTCTTCTGTCCATTCATTCCCATCATTGCTTCTATCTGCATGTTCGTCAATTTCTACTTGAAGAAGGTTAAAAGTTTTTTTTTAAAGAAGCTGGTAGCTTTCTAATTGCATTCAAATATCTGTTTTCAGCTAAAGTTTTTTTCAAAACTTTTTCTTTCAGTTTTCTGCTTTGATGAATCAGCAGATGTCTGCTCGGACATGGAGAGCAGCTCAAGCAGAGACAGTTTACCTCTGCTTAGCTTTTGTCATGCAAATCATCACTCTGGTCCTCTTCTTCTACATGATTATCTCGTTTGTGGCATTATTTCTCTTTCAAGAAAAACATTGTTCTACTCCTCATGCTGATGATGCAACCTATCTTGTCTGTCCTTGGCAGTGTCCCAATCTCAAAGGATTGTGGGCCTTTCCGTGACCTCAACATCACCCTTGTGTCAGATCTCATGCTCCATTTGGTTGACTTTTGGGACAGCAGCTCAGACTTTTTCCTCCGACTCATTGCCTTTCTTCAGAAGGGAGGCATCAAGTTTGCAGTCATCCTATTTATTCTGTGAGTCTGTGCTCTTCTAATAGAATATTGTGATTCAAACTTTTGAAGTAGAATCTGTATTTTCTTTGATAACAATATAGGGCTGGGGTTTATTATCTACGCATAGTGGCTCATGCACATTCCAAAATTGTGGATGTTGTTCGTCAGCAATTGACTCTTGAACGCAAGGACAAGGCCTACCTCCTGCGGCGTATTGAGGTTGAGATGAAGAGTTCTCGATCACGGCGTAAGCTGCTCCGCAACTCTCTGCTTCTCAAAAATCCCTGTCTGTATAATCTCCTTGATTAAATATTATGTGCTCATGTAATCAGATGGAATCTCCTCCTTTATAGCATCCATCATATCCTCAGCTGCTGATGAAAATGATTCCAGGATGGAACCTGAAATGCCTTCTTTTTCACCTGGTGTTCCTGTTGTAAGAAATCATCCCTCTATCTCTAGATTATGTATGCATATTACCTTGCAGTGCTGTAGATCTAGTTTGTTTGCCAGATTGCATTCTTTCAGGAATTTTACAATTTGTTTCATCTCATTTGTTTTCAGAGTATGCGGGATATCTTTCCTACAGGTAAGATTGAGTGAAATTCTGTTGTTATTATGAATTCAGTATAATTTTTATTATTATTTCTATATAATGCATGAAAGATGATGGTAGATGCAATTTATATATGTTTAGACTTGTGACACAATGGTAGTGTGACTGCACAGTCATTCTAATTTGGAAATCCCAGCTAAAAAGTATGAAAAAAATCCTGGCTAAGAAGGAATTTATCCAATTTTTTAGTGTTCTTCAAGTGCCAGTTTAGGAAAGCATGTCAGCTGGGGGTTATAGTAATGCTAAATTCATAGCCTCCAGCATGAAGGTAAATGAGTTTTAAGCAGATGTTGAAAAGAGTACAATTTTGCTTTGTTGTGCAAGTGATTGGTTATTGGCTGATGCTAATCTTAATTAGCAGACTCACAGGTCACTGAAGTCAGTTAGAGAGTAATGTTGGTGACTTATGGGTATTGTAATAATTCAAGTGAGGGGCTTCTATCAAGAAGGTGCTAATTTTAAGCTACTCTTTTTGTGGCATTGATGTTGAATGGAAGAGTTCTATAGGCCTCCATTGTTAGAGAGGATGTGAGGGTGGCATCCAATATGCTGTATTTGCAATGATGAAGGAATATCCACTTTTCTGTGAAAGATGTCTTTTGGTAATAATGAAAATTTTAATTACAAACTTTACACTGAAACATTCTATACAACATCATTCAAGGAAATGTTCCAGAAAATTGTGTTGGGGCTTGTTTTGCATGATCATTTTTCATGCCTATGATCGTGAGTTATTTTCTTTTGCATAAGAACAAACACATGTCAAACAATGGGAAAACCCTCCAGAAGAAGTGAGGCATGAAACAGCCAAGTCAGAAGGTTCAAGGGAGAGCATTCCCATGCGCAGCATGAAAAATCCTGGTATGTGTCTTTCTTATTCTTTCCCTCATAGACTGCATTGCTTATGTTCTTTGCTTGCTGTCTGTGTGCTTGGGTGATGTACCAGTGTGCTCTGTAGTATATCGGGAACAGTCAGGGGGGAGGATTGGCTTTGATGGTGCTGGACCAAGTGGGATTGTGCTTCCTGTCCGTCCCCATCGATGGCGAGCCAACCGTACAGACATCCTACGAACCAAGGGAACCCACCGCACATGATTCTCTTGCTTGGACATGTTTTGCTTCTCTGCTTCCTCCTGTCTGTATCTACATTCTGTATATGGGCTCTTTTCATTCATCTTTGTGATTTCTTGTCTGCCTGAAGCACATGTCATGGCAGAGGAGTTCCTACCTGGATTTTCAGGCAGTCAAGAAGGATTAATGCAGAAACAAGGTATAGCTGATTTGAATATTTCACAAACCCGATTCCTTGGCATTATCACCCCTCAATATCTTTTTTTTCACTATTCTAACTTAGGTTCTTTCTCAAGGAATCTGAGTGATTCAACTGGAAGTATAGATTCCCTGGAGCCATCCAATAATGTACTGATTGAATCTTCCCGGAAGGAGGATTTTTCATATGACAACACAGCTATGGAGCTGGAGAATTCCCCTTTACCTTCACTGGACAGGTCCATGGAAAGGGAAAGACCAGTTTCAGCATGGAATTCAAGGCCAAGGCAGTCCTTCACTCGAGGCCCAGGTGTCATCTCCCCTATGCAGTCTCGGCCTCATCAACTTCTTGCTCGAGACCACAGCTCTGCTTCCTCTATTTCTGCTGAACCAGCACAGCAACCACCAAGGCTCCCATTGCAGGAAACAAGTGGAAGAGGTCCATCCTTTGTCAGAGACCCAGGTTTCATATCTCCTTCTTATATGGGCCAGGATTTAAGGAATCGGCGTCCTATGGATCGAACCACAGGTGCTAATCTTGAGGAGAATCTATCAGGAACTGACCTGTACCAGAGCATCTTAGCCCAAGCATCTAGTGATGCATACCGCATGAGGCCATCCTATGGGCCAGCTGAAAGGAGGAGGGAGCCACAAAGATTCATGGAGGCAGTTCCAAGAAATGATTCATTTTATTCAGGAGGAAGAGACAGGCAGAGGCAGTTGATACAGAGCCCTAGAATTCATGCTGGAGGGCCATATGGAATGCCTTCCTATACACAGAGTCAGCCCCAAGGAAGGGCTCCATATGATGCACTGCAGTACCAAAGTCAAATGCATAGTATGGAGCGCTCTCGCTATGGGCAGGGCTATCCACAATATTACTCTTCAAATCGGTATTGAAAGCATTTAAAGTCTTCCATTTGAGATTCCACAACAGTGTACTTTCTTTGAATTGCATATTTTTCAGAGTAATTCCAGGCTTTTGACATAATTGGCTCTTTTTGTTCTGGCAAGTCAATTTATAAATCTGTGATACCTGAGTGCCAAAGACAGTCAATAAATTTTGCTGCCATCGATAATGATTAGAGGTTTATCAAGGACTGGTTGCTGATACTTATTCTGGATGTTCCTCATTGCCATGTGAAGGTGACTTTCATGGGAAGCATTCATTTCATAATTTGGTGGCTTTCATAAATTTATCGAACAATTATATTTTATAGATGCTTATGTAATGCATCAGTGATTTTGACTTCATGATGTGTTTATGGCATTCAGTTTGAAATTGTGTCTTTCATGGTTGATTTTTGCTTATTTTCTGGTGACAATTTTTTCTTCCAAAATATATTGTTCATGAATACAACATTTTTACCAGTCTATCTTAATATGAGAGTATGCTTGGTGAATTTGGGTGAATTTGTGTCTTCAAATTTTCTGCAGCTGTGGCTGGCTGACCAAAATCAGCTTGGGAATTTTATTTTCCCTTGATTGCCATTTGCAATTATTGTCAATCCACTTTCCTTTACTAACATACAGCTTTTTTTTCCTTCAAGAAACTTGGATGCACCCTTTAAAATGTATTTTTCTGATGGATTTTATTGAATATGTTTTTTTTCAAAGATGGTGGAGTCTCTTTTCCAATTGAGTGCATGGGCATCTGCAGATTACATCCAAGAGCATGTGGAGGTTGTCCGCACATTTCCATCTCACATGAAGGATGCCCTTTATCAAACTCTAAAGAACAGATCGATTTTGTCTGGTCATGTGCTGGGATCCCTTCTCCATCCTGCTGTCAAAGTCCTTGACCTCAGTCACAGTGATCTGGCAACTGAAGACATTCAGATGCTGCACTGCTGCACACAGCTTGAGTCACTGAATCTCCGAAGTGGGTGGAAGGTGGAACGGACACGGAGCTTTAGCTCTCATGACCTGGAGGAATTGATCATCTGCTTACCCCATCTCAAATGTCTTAACTTACGGGCATGCAAGATGGTCACTGATGATGTGGTCTGCTTAATTGCTCACACTTGCCCAAACATATCAATTTTGGACTTTGGAGACTGTATGGATATCACAGATATTGCTATCTGTGCATTGGCTATTTGTACACAGCTGCGTGGACTCAACCTGTCTGGTACCAAGGTGTCTGATGATGGTATCATCTGTCTGTGTAATGGTGCCTCACGTTCCATAATAGAAGAGCTTGTTCTCAATGGTTGTCTGCAAATCACAGATGATTCAATCTCCAGCATTGCTGATAATTGCCCCAGCATGACCATTGTGAATTTCACTGGTTGTCCTCAGTTAACTGAGAGATCTCGTGCAGCTCTTGATGTCCTGTTAGTGATGAGACGCATCAAATATGTGAGCTGGAGTGTCTTTTGATCTCATTCTGTTTTTTGTCTTTTCACCCATCCTTCACTACTCTGGTCACATTGCAGTTGTAAGATGCACCACATTCTTGAATGCAACCAATTCCAAACCTTCAGTGTTCATCAGTTACTTCTTTAAAGAATCTCTTTTGTCTGCAAAAGACCTCAAATGAGCTAGGGCAGGGAGGGTTTCTTCCTAGGACTTGAATTTTCAGCAAGTTTGAACAACATACCCGTGCAGCATGCATGCCCCAAATTCTCAATTCTGATCTCATTTGCTTGTATTTTCTTTAATTTTTGAGTACCCTTGTGAAATACTCAAGAACAATGGCAACTTCCTTGCCATATCCTTGGCACTAATTATTGCTTCAGCTGGTTAACAAATGCATGAACAATCACTAGGAGTTGATTAAGATGGTTTTTAGTTTTATTTACTGTTGATTATTTGTCAAGATTATTTGTCTTGGTGCCTGTGACATTCATTTTGAAATTTTATGGGTTTTTTTTCTTGGTTGATTTTTACTTATTTTATTTACAATTTTCTGTACAAAATAAATCCAGATGGACCTGACAGCTTTACTTAAATTCCAAAAACTTGAAAGTTGAGCCTTCAGATGTTCTGTATCTCAGGCTGGCTGAGTTAGATCAGCTTGGGAGAAACTTCATTCTCCTTGCATTGCCTTTGGTGAGTATTGCTAATTTCCCTCTATTATACTGGAATTGATGTATCACACCATTGTAGCAATGTTGTTTGCAAGAACATGTGAACAGAACATGATGCAATTTCAGCTGCAAGTTCTTTTTGTGTGATGGGTCTAAATGAACTCATCTGTTTAGATGGTGGAAACCCTTTTTCAATTGAGTGCACGTGCAGCAACAGATCGCATCCATGAGCACGTTGATGTCGTTCGTACATTTCCATCCCACATGAAAGATGCCCTTTATCAGACCTTGAAAAACAGGCCGGTTTTGTCTGGTTGTGTGCTTGGCTCCCTTCTCCATCCCACTCTCAAAACCCTTGACTTGAGTCACAGTGATCTGGCAACTGAAGACCTTCAGATGCTTCATTGCTGCACACAGCTTGAGTCACTAAATCTCCGACGTGGGTGGAAGATGGAATGGGAATGCAGCTTCTGCTCTCATGATCTGGAGGACCTGATAGTCCATCTACCACGGCTCAAATCTCTTAACCTTCGTGCTTGCAAGATGGTCACTGATGATGTGATTTGTTTAATTGCTCGTATATGTCCAAATATATCGATTTTGGACATTGGAAACTGCATTCTGGTCACCGACATAGCTATTTGTGCATTAGCTGCTTGCACTCAACTCCGCGGTCTTAATCTGTCTGGCACCCTGGTGTCTGATGATGGAATCCTCTGCCTTTGTAATGGTGCCTCTCATTCTATCATAGAAGAGCTTGTTCTTAACAGTTGTCTCCAAATCACAGATGATTCTATCTCCAGCATTGCTGATAATTGTCCCAACATGACAATTGTGAATTTCACAGGTTGTCCTCAATTAACTGAAAGGTCTCGGGCAGCTCTTGATGTCCTGTTAGTGATGAGACATGTCAGATTTGTGAGCTGGAGTGTCTTTTGATCTCATTCTGTTTCCTCTTCTAGTCCATTCCATCATCTAGTCCCTTGCCACCTTTGCTGTGTTGCATCAGCAGTATTCTTCATATTTATGAATAAGACCTATTGCAAAGCTTCAGTGGAGGTCAGTTTCATCTTCAAAGAATCTCAAATGCCTCCATCAACCCTGGTTAAATAAGCCATGGGCAGGAAAGATTTCCTTCTCTGACTTGAATTTTCTGAGGTGTAGTGACAAACCTATGCCCAATTCTGTATAGTCATAGGTGTTCCACTCCAACTCAATCAGACTAGAATACCTCCCTTTGAGAATATACCAGCAAAAAAAGTATTTGGGCCATTTCAGTTGGTGTTTTTGTTTAAAATAATGTTTTCACAGCTGGCAGGTTCTGTATGAATGATTTTTAGCATAAGAGGCCTATGGCTTCTTGCCTTTTTCTTGCATTGTACTACTAATCCCTTGAATTCCTCTCACATCAGAAATCTTATCAATGAGCTTGTTCTTAATGTGGAAAAGAAGTTTTGGGGAGTAAGATGAAGAAGGAAAGACAGATGAATTTCATTACAGTTTCCTCAATGCCTACTACCTATGGAATGAGAATGTTTGTGGAAATACTTTTATTATTCTTTTTTTTGTTTTGGATTGTCAAAATTAAACCATGATGTAATGGGTGTACATTTTTAAAGCCTTTTGTTGGCCTATTGTACAAATGCTTTACCAGCTTTTTTTAAAACCACCTGATCATCAATACCTACAATGACATCTGATAATGTTCCATTCTTCAATAATCTGAGTGAAAATTCCTTGCTTCAAAAATTGAATGTCCCTTGGTTGTGAAAGTGGATCATGGATCTCTTGCTCCAATCTGTATCATTGAAACCTTTGTATGAGATAAACATTTCCCCTGAGGTATCCCTTCAAGAACCTTTTCTCTTGACAATCAAGATACTATAATCTTTCTTCCTAGGAAACCTGCCTAATTATCCTGATGTCTCTCCATTCCTTCTCCCACCATTTTCATGTCCATCCTTGCACATGGATGCATGACTGCAGAATAATTCTCTAAGGTCAATTCTTCAAACAAAGATAGGACAACTACTTCATTTCTGCTGATCAAACTGTGTCATGGACATACTTAAAACTGAATGAAGTAACCTATTAGAAACATTCTTGAAACTTGAGAGGTTCATTTATGGCATCTAAGCCTATCTCCCCTAATATAAGAAATTATCCTCAAAAGTTTTTCTTTTCCCTTTTGCCCAATGCCCAGTGTGGTACTTTGCACATACATTTGCTGAGCCTTATTAACCATGTATTGCTGCTGTACCTACTCATCTCTTTGTGACTTATACATGACTAAAAAGCAAATGTGAAGCCTATTGTGTGAAAATGACTGATTTCCCCATATTTAAAAAAATTCTGCAATTCATTAAAACAAATAGAAGTGTCAAAAGTAGTGAACATGTGGAACACATCAGATGATCTGACTGCTCCTCCTGCTGATAGCTTGTAAAGGAAGTTCAGTACCTTGGTGAAGAGTAGACATGAGATGAGGGCTTACTATATAAAGACCTAATCCTGCTTTCTTTGCTTCACCCTACCACTCTTGCTCCTTCAGAGAAGTGTACTCTATACCTATATGTGATGCATGAGAGAGAATACTCCCTCCCCTCCCCCCCCTTATGTCAATTTAATAATCCCCAATATCCTCACATGTTTCAGCATCTTTCTGTTCAGTTGAGAATTAAGGCAGTTCTGTTAGGATTCCATTCAGTTCTGGAGATAAGTGGGGTGTTTGGGCTCAGATTTAGTTTTTTTGAGTTTCAAATTCAGAGCATGGCTTTGTGGGGAACATGGAGAAAGGTAAGTAGTTTACAAGACTATATTATCTATTCATAGGTGAAATATGAAATAAGGTAGATATATAAAGGAAGAGACAAACAACTCATAGCTCCTGGAAATTCTGAAATTCTGCAACTTCTGCCTGGTCTTTACCACATTCAAGTCAAAAAACATGTACTATGCTATGTGGCAGCCTTGACTGTGGAGAACATTCTCTTAGTCTGGTACATTCTGGCTTTATATACTTCACCCAAAACTCAAGTTAGTCAGGTTCTCATAAGTAATCAATCAAGGCCGCTCAAGGCAAGCAGTGCACCACCAGTGCACTGTACCAACTCATGGTAAAAGTTGGTACAGATCACTGGTGTACCATGCTGACTTGAGCGTGTTAAGAAAACATTGGATTTTTATTTTTGGGGGATTTTGTGCAATACCTTATTCTGTGTAAATATGCAGAATTTGAGTAGGGAAGCCTGAAAGAGGGTGTTGAAACTGTTTTATGCTTATTGTCACAGGATCCACTATGTGGGTTGCATCTGTGGATGTTATTTAAGTACCTGTGATACTGAAAATTCCCAGCATCAGTAACACAAATCAAGGCGTCCTCAATAAGCCATAGAGGCGGCAGTTTATTATTGAACATTGAGATGATTATATTGAAATTTGCTTCTAATTTCAGTTTTTTGTATTCAATGACCCTCACATAGAGGAATCCTGAGTTCAATTTAGGAAATACAATGTTTTCTGGTTTTGGATTGATATAACCTTGATACTGACCCCCATAAAACTTGGAAATGGATGTCATCTCCACTTGGTTTGATAGACAATTCAAGATACTGTGAATTTTGCAGTTCTTGAATAATGGATGCTGAAGGGTTTGAAACAGAGTGAGAAAGGGATACTAAAATGGCATTTTTTTTTGCAGTCCTAGTCTAGTCTTCATGTGCAAGTTTATTTTATATTTCTTTCTCTACATATTGGTATATTCTTAGATTTCCAGGTATCCTTGTATGAAACAGATGAACAATGGCAGCATCTATGCCAAATCCATCTACCTTATTGCCACTAGAGCTGGTTGACAAATGCATTGGGTCCCGTATCCACATCATCATGAAAAATGACAAGGAGATTGTTGGGACACTACTGGGATTTGATGACTTTGTGAACATGGTCCTTGAGGATGTGACTGAATATGAGAATACAGCTGAGGGGAGGCGTGTGACCAAGTTGGATCAGATTCTTCTGAGTGGCAATAACATCACCATGTTGGTCCCAGGTGGGGAGATGCCTGATGCATCGTAAGCCTTTGGTCTCATCATCTCTGCTGTTCATTCAACATCTCATCCATTTCATGCCAAGTAAACAGTGCTTTTGTTGATTTCTTCATGTGCATCCTGTCACCATGTGAAACACTATGGTCTCAGAATGAATCTACAATGGTTGAGTTCAAAGTTAAAGGGAAGTAGTGAGGGTAGGTTGTGGAACAATTCTTTTTCTCCTTGTTCTGTGGAGTATATCCTTTAAATTCTGCCTTCAGGGGGTCTGTGTTAGTTATGAAGCACATGAGTCAGGATGTCACCTTGATATATAGTTAATTTTGCTCAATTTTTGCTATACTATAGATATATTTAAATATACTATATTTACTCAAATCTAGTGTGCCACCATGTATAAGATGCACCCCCACTTTTGAGGTCCCAATTTGTGTATTTAAAAAAGTCCACGAATCAACATAGCCACTCCCTGTTTACTGTTTTATTGTTATACAGAGTGTTCGAAAAGTCACTGTGCAGTAGAATTAATTTATTTTGTTGCATGTATTTAGAATTGTACTGCATATCACATGTATTGCATCATCAAAGACATGAATTTACACTCAATACTTCATCAAATATTAGCACCATCCCTGATTCACATAATTTATTTTCTGTTATTCCTAGCTACAGTGAGGTCTCCTACGTCATGTCATGAATTCTGCTGCACAGTGACTTTTCGAACACCCTGTATTATATTTCCACTGTTCTGACTGACTACAGAGATGTGTATTTTTCTTGAAAAATAGAAATTTTTCCCCAAGTATAAGATGTACATATTGAACACAATAAAATATATGCAAAAAAAAAACCTTATACATAAGTAAATGTAGTATATATAAATAAGTGCTCATCATGATAGAGCTTTCCACTATTAGGGATATGAAACATTGTTGAACCTCTTTTTAATCTTCATTGCCTAAGATAAACAACATTTCTGAAAATGATTTCAGTGTCCACCTTCCAAATGAAAATTTTCAAACAAATATGTATGCTGAGCACTTATGCTGGGCAGAGCAATTTATAGATACCTGCAAACTGTTCACATGCAGGCATCTTTATATGCTTCTCAGAGACAGCAGAGGTGTGCTTTATCATGAGAATGCTATGCTCCTCTGATGAAGAAGAGGATTCTTTTTCAGTTCCAAAAACTATGTAGACAGTTCTGTTTTTTTTTTTTTCATATTCAGAATATTGCTCTCAAGAAAAGACTGTCTTCCTCATGGGGATTATGATAATCCAGGACCTCCCTAGGCAGAATTTTGCAGATATACTTTGCTAACCTATGCCTTCCAGTTTTTTTTTTTTTCATTGATAATTTCACATATAAAGGATTCCTCAAAAAAATTACAGAAACAAATGTTCCACAACACATCCCAAACCTGCTGCAAGTAGTATTTTCTTTCCTCTATGATCTCTACCAGAAGTGGGATGGTTGGAACTGCAACCATCTGCCATGGAAGCTGCTTCCACTTACAATTTTTAGTTTTATATTCCTGCATTCATTGTTTAAACTGCCCTTCTTGTGGAATTCATTCTATGGAATGTTTTGGAGCAACTGACTAGTCACCCCTAATCCTACTGCATCAGTCAAGCAAACATGACTGAATTGAGGCATTCTTAGCTGATATTTGAAGTACCTAAAACAGATTCCACTCAGGCATGAGAAAGTAATGGCTTGGAATTGTATGGAGATGAAACAATGTGATTGATGCGACAAGTATCAGGCTCAACCATGGAGCACATGGCATTACCCATGGCAGCCTCATATACTCCTGCTCAAGTGCAGCGGAAACTTGAGCAGGTAAGGAGCCTCCATTTTCCTGTCCCTTTTTTAAGAAATTAAATATCCTTAGCTTCCTAGTGATTTTTTGTGATTTTCACAACAGGGACTGAAGAGCCTGAAGGTGTTGAATGAAACAATGGATCGGAGTCAGCGGGCCACAGATAGCATTGTTGGGATCCTCAACTCCTTTGAGCAGAGATTGAACCAGCTGGAGAAGGCCATCCTCCCCATCTATCGACAGACAGGTTCTCTTCAGACACGACAAGAGAGTATCCTTGTCCATTGAAAAATTGTACACTAGGACAGGCCAAGGAATTATGATGATGATGGTGTTCATATTGACAACAATCATGTTCAATAATATTACTGATGCTAAAAGAGGTCCATAATAGCACATTTAAATCAGGTGAAGGAACCAATATTCTGAGTGGAATAACACCACAGAAATATAGGGGATACCATGGTATCAAAGGTATCTTTAATTTCAGTGTTCCATCACTACAGAACATGACATTGACTAAATTCACCCTGAATCAGATCAATTTGAGGGGAAATTTAGCAATATAATGATTGATTCATCACTACTAGGCATAATATTTTATTATGACATAAACTTTAATTAATAACTTTGGCAGTTTCAATAAGTAAATTTATATTATTTATAAATTATTTGTGTTGTATACCTTAACTGAGGAATTCAGACATAGAGAAGACCCTGATGGAGTTGAATGGTGTGGTGAAACATTATTCTGTGGCAAATGATGTCGAGCAACTAGTAAAACAGGGAGTCATGAGTGGCCCTTCTCTCAATGGCTACCTTGAAGCACTTGATAGACTTTGGAGCGCTTGGAATTACTTCACTGTCAACAATCCAGATAGTGCGGAGCTTGAGAATGTGGTAGGTGAGCCCCAGCATATCATTTGTTGATGAAAGATTGAATGCTGTTTGTAATACCTTAGTTCTCTCTTGAATTGTACAGAAATTGCTCTTCAATTTGGGCATGGATTCCATCAATAAGCACTTCCGGGAGCTTCTGACTAGCATCAGCAAACCATTGATTCCAGTGACAGTATTGGATGCTTTGAGCAATGAGAATGGTTTGTTTGAATTTGTGATATGCAGCATGAGGTTCACTCTGAAAGGTTTTATACATTTTTCTTGCAAATGAAGATGAATGAGTTCAAGCTCATTCCTTTCTTGAATGTACTTCTATGTTGCTTGTGCATGTTTCTTCCAGTTCTCTTGATACTTAATGACATTGAAGCACTTTGGACTGAAACATGAACAACTATTCTGCCCTTGGCAGAACTAATCCATTATCTCCTTTGTGGCATCATTTTCTACAACTATAAGAGAGCATCCTCAGGTGATGCTTGTCAAGACAACTTGTTCATTGTTTTGAAAATGGTTCTGTCTCTTCAATTGAGGGGGAAATGAATTTGAATACAAACCCCATCTGGCCATTCTCTGACAGCAGTGACTCAACCAAACATTGACATGGTGCAATCGGTAATGATCTTTCATGGGAATCTTCTTTGATGAGAATTTACTCATCTGCAACTGCAACAAGTCAATATTTGTAGGAGTCACTGCTGTTAGAGGGTGCCCGGTTGGGGGGACTATCTTAGTCATTTTCCCCTCAATTGAATAGATGGCACCATTTGAGCTACATTGCTCATAAAGGAGCTTGGTCCCAAAACCCCTGGACTTTTCACCAATGCAATCATCAGCTGAAGATGCTCTCATCCAGTTGTAGAAAAGGATAGCATGATGATGGTGGCAGCTCAGGTCAGCCAGTTGAAAAAATCACTGTTCAATCCTACCTGCTTCTGTTCAGTGTGCTGCAATGTCACTAAATTTTAACTTAATAGAATGAAATTTCCACCAGCAACCTTGAAGAAGTGCATTAAACAAGTAAGAGGACTTGGATGAACTTGCCATCATTTGTCAGGACAAAGAGTTAAAACTTTTGGAGTGATACTTGTATTTACCTATTCAATGCCTAATATGGTGGAACTTGTTTCCAGAGGTTGGAGCAATTTTGAAGGCAATGAACTTGGAAAGTGATTCTGTGAAAGAGCTGAAACAGTTGGCAGCATGGATGGCAGATCACAATCGTGATATGTTCCTAACTGTCTATGCCAAAGTGAGAGCCAGTCTAGTAGTGAAGACATTGAATGCCTTGAAGGATCATCAGAGAAAAGGGAGCTTAGGCATAGATTCCCGTTCCCCAACTGTACCAACTACTGCCTCACCTGCTCCTCCCAGGCGTTTACGTGCTGATGCCGGGACTCGACACCTTGTCCTCAACCGCATTCAGGCTCTGTGTGTAACATGTTTCATTTACCCATAGGAATTTACAATATTGTAGATACCCATAAAGGCTTTTGCCAGTGTGTCATATGGGACAAGCTGAAATTTTAAAAGTCTTCTATGGGCTTGTACACCTTCTCAGTCTTTTTTAGCACTGCATTGAAACTGTTTGCAAATAGTTTACTTACTTTCACATTGTTCACAATTTGAATTTTTGCATTCAAAATGTTAAAGAAATCTATTTCCTTATTACCAATGCCATATTTCTCATTAGGGCTGAGAAGAAAATGGGAAAAACATTGGAAGTGACAGGGAAGCATGGACTTGGAAAGCCTAGAGGCTCTTCTGCAGATCTAGGAGCTGAGGATAAAATCTCAGAATCAGACATTGAAGTGTATCTTATTTGCTTGTCGGCCTTCATGTCTCTGTTGGAGGCAGAGAAGAAAGTGGCTATCAAGATTTTGCCCTCATCTCCTCTCTCCAGTCTCATGCAGACATTTGAAGTCATCATTAGGGATGCTGTGGAACATATGACTACTGATGGACAGGTCATCTCTTTTTCAAGAATCACATTTTGTTCTGAAAATTGTAATATATTACTCTGTGTTTTTCTTTTTCTCTGACTACAGGGACTCTTGAGCAGGTTGAAAAAGGCTGTGCCCAGACAAGATTTCAACTCAATCTTTGCTGTAGTGCCAGTGTTGCAACATTTGCTGACTTTACAGAGGAGATTTGATTCTCTCACTTCTGAATGTTCTGAAGACAGCCAGAGAAAGTTCAAACATCTCATGGGAATGTTCTTTGAAACTGTATGACTCAGAATAACTCTTTTATTGCTGTTTTACCTTTTGAAAGGAGGCAGAGGAATCACCCAGTGACTTCTGATTTTGATGTTGCAGGAATCCCAATGCCTGGAGGACTTCATTGAGGCCTTGAAGTTGGATCAAGATAAACAGGTTCCTTCTGATGGAACAGTGCATCAGCTGACATCCAACATTATGATGTCTTTGGAACCTCTACGTGATACTGATGACACTCTGGGTCACATTCTCCAAGTAGCCATCTTATCTGTTTCTTTCCTTGTCAGTTACTGTTTGCTTCACTTATGCCTTCAATCTGTGTGTATTCCTATATTATGTGTCAGGACAAGCCACTGTATCAAAAGGCTGTAGGGAGCCTGCCTCTGAACATCAGCAGGAAGAAGGCTCTTCTTGGAGTCTATCTCAGTGAGTTCTCATTTACCTGTAATCAGTGTCCTGACTCTTAATGCCCACAACTTGGAACTCCTTTTTTATGGACTTGAATATAGCTCGTGTGGTGGCTGGGCTGAGCATGGCTCTAAATAACAAGAGTGAGTCCTACTCAGACACAAGTCTCAAGGCAGTCTTTCGGTTGAACAATACTCAATACATCCTGACGTCCCTCCAGCGTTCAGGACTCCTAGACATCATGCGATGCTACCAGGCTGACTGTGAGGATCATCTTCTTGATCAGATTGTGGAGCAGAAGAGGATTTATTCCCAGGGGTGAATAACATTTATTTTCTCTTCTTTCCTTGACATAGTGACTTCCTGCTTTGAGCTAATTCTTCATTTCTTTTCTCAGTCCTTCTTGAATGTAGGTTATTTTTGCCTGCTGTGAATTCTCATTTGAATGAATTCACCTATTCCTATAATAATACTTATTCTCATTTTTTCTTTCTTGTTATTTTTTTGTCTAAGTTTTTATAAAGGTGGTTCAAGATTTTATCTTTATGGTCTCCTCCAGATGGAGCAAGGTGTTACACTACATCACAGGAGCAGACATTCCACAGGCAAGCTTCACAACTGAGAAAATGAGAGAAAGGGATCGTCAGATGCTCAAAGACAAATTTCTTGTGAGTCATGCATAACTTTCTTGATTTTGAGAACTAGATGTTCCAAAATTATGCATTATGCATCCAATTATGCATTATATTAAATTTGTAGGGCTTTAATCGTGAAGTGGAGGAGATAGGACGGATACAGAGACACTATTCCATCCCGGATCCTGAGCTTCGAGAGAGTCTCAAACGAGACAACAAGGAATTCATCCTTCCAGCTTACCAAACCTTCTTTGACAGGTAAAATGAAAGGGCAGCATAATGACAAAAAGGCATGAGAAACCCGAGTTCATCTGAGTTGATGATGGTTTCTTCAAATAGGTATGCAAGGCTGCCTTTCACCAAGAATCCTGCCAAGTATGTGAAGTACAGTCCAGTTGACATCTCCCAGTTGATTGATAACTTCTTTGACATTGCTGCCTAATGCAAGCAATCCATTCTATGGGTCCTTTATGATGGTTTTATTGTATGAATAAAGTATTCTTGAAAGTTTATCTGGTTGGTATTGGAATATTGAAACATGCAGAGCAATGGGCATTTTGTCAGACAGTTGAGCAAAAGTGATTGTATGTACGATTCATTCTTGTGTCTGGGAATTTAAAGGTTCATGCTGCTGCAGGCTCACAAGGGCGAAAAGATACTAGTTTTATTTTCTTCATTTTGACTGTTTGGCTGCATGCTCCCACTCAGCTGTTCTCTGGTTATTAATTGAAGTAGCACTACTGTGCGTTACACTTTTGAATCATGTCTGGGTTCATTTTGAGGATTCATCGCCCCCTGTATTGCCATTGTCATTGTTAGGAAAACAGATGCACATCTGCGCCTTTTTATCACAGCTTCAGGAAACAGTCTACGAGAGTGCTTGTTACTTCCGAGTTGGATAAGGGCCACATTCAAGGGGGGGGGATCAAAGATTGACAAAAGAATGAGAATTCTGTAAATCACTTGTGCTCATGGGTACAGCTGTATTTTGACTCTCTTGAGCGGGCTTTCTTTACAGTTTTCCATCTGAAATTGAAGTGTATGCACTATATCCTAGACTATTAGATATAACAAAGTATTTTACTTCCTGGACTGTTATGAAATGTACGATTAAAAAGTTATTTCTATAAGAAGCCTAAAGCACGTAGAGAACCATGTCATTGACAATTTTTCCCCCCTGGATTCGACTCGATAGTCGAAATTGCAAATGCAAAAAAAGCCTGGATGGCCAATTTTTTTAAAATACCTTTTGTTGAACCGATATACGACGAGGAAGTTCTATCAGAGATCGCAGCAGAGGTCATAGGTGCTGATGAACTAACCCTTCAATTAAGTCATTTCTACCATTCTTTCCAGTCCATAATGGATAATATCCCTGTTCCTTCTGAAGAAATATGGAAAAACAGCATAAAAGATTTCTTCTAGGAGTCGATTTTGGCTTCACCTCTTGATAAACTAGCACGCGATCCATGGAGTACCCAAAGCAGTTCCGGTAGTTCCTGATGTCAGAATCGGTTTTGCACATGGCACATGGCAGTACTGCCAGGCTTACACTTGATTTGCAAAGTGGATTTTGACCAGCGAATGCCACCCTCTGAAATTTGCCTCACTCATCAACTTCGCCTCCTTCGCTCGTAATCTCGACCTTATCGAGAAATCCAGTAACACCTTCCATCTAAGATGCTGCTCTCATTCCGTCATTTCAAATTTCCTAATTTTCCTAATTTTCATTTGTATTCATCCAGTTTCACCGACTGAGCAGGCCGATAGTTGGGGACCGAAATTACATGACGACTTTGACAAACGACTGTAGGCTGATAAGGATCGCCAAGACGCCCCTAAGGAGAAACAAAAGCGGATACGTCAATCAATCCCCGTTTGTTTGAGAGATTCACCACTTAGAATGAATTGACTTCATGAAAGTAAAATATCACATATGCACTTTATACCTGACTGAGAAGGCCAATGACGGTCTGACGGCTCAGTGGAGCATACCGACATATCTTATCTGCTGGGATTGGATTTGAAGTTACGAAGATTTTGCAGATGAGGAATCCCCAGTCGGAAGGCCATGACAGAGTGAGTCTATTTCGCCTGACTTATAGTTAGACTGATTAAAGGTGGCATGACCAGCTGAGGCAATCAGACGTCTGCTCATCACATAAGCAAAAGAAATTTCGATGAAGAAACGAGACGAATGTGGAAATAAGTCACGACTGAAACGAAAGACGATCTCCCTGACGAATAACAATCCCCTCGGTTCAAGAATCCTCGCCGTCGAGAGACTCCTACCCCAGGCAGCCCGCGAACGAAAGAAGTTGGATGGACCCTCGAAATGGCCACTGCCTGCGGCAACACTAAAGGAAACGTGAAGATGCTATTGAATTTACAATTTCGACAATTGTCGAATGAATCGACAATTTTCACCCCTGTGACAGTGTAAATCTATTCGTGCAGCCATCGACCCTGGCAAATTTTTTCCTCCCGTAAGCATCCATAGAGAAATACTCGTCCAAAGATGAATAAGACCGGCACTGGCCGGTTCCGACGAACCAGGTCCGACTTGACCCAAACTGGGCTCCTGCCAATTACTGATCGCACTCAATCTAGGACACAAGAACTAGAGTAGTTGCCATTCCTTGTTTATAACAGGGGATAGTGACTTCCGTATGAACATTTCCAGGGAGGGCTAGAACCGGGCAGTTTCCTGTGCTAGTGACGTCACAACTATGCAACCGCCCGTCTCAGTCTCTGACCTTTTCTACCCACGTAGTTGCGCAGGAAACCGTTCTCATTCTCAGCCTGCTGGCATTAACAAAATTCCTGTCTGAATGCATACAGTCCATGGTCCCAGTAAGCTCGTTGCCCCTGGAAGACTAGGAAAAACAATTTCGGTAATGGCTTTTGCGGGAATCCGTAAGCGGACTTACGGACTGATGACTACGACGAAATGAAATGCGGCGACCTAGTCATTAGTCCGTAAGTCATTAGTCGCAGTCCATTGGAGCGGGGCTCTTTGGTTACATTGAAGCCTTGGAAGCGGAAACGCAAAACGTGTTGCGTGGAATGCACAGGTAAAGAATGGCCAAGAAGGAAGAGAGAAGGCAGTGGCGTAATTTGGCTGAAGGGTTGGGGGGGGGGGGGTCAAACTCCACCCGAGCGAGCGATATCAGGGGAGAAAATGATTGCCTCCAAGAGGTGCCAGGGAGGGGGGCGGCTGCCCCCCCTGTCCCCCAGTATAATACGCCACTGAGAGAAGGTAATGGTGAATCTCTCCCAAGACACCAGACCCCTCTTCAAATATGCAGAGTTTAGTCAACTTCACCATTCGGGGAATCCTGGGAATTCCTTCACCTTCGGCTTGGCTATACAGGTCGTAGGCAGACATGATCCCAGGGACCCGGAGTGGACTCTATCTCAGTCAGTAGGTAGAATAATCGCTAAGGTAATATGCTTATAGAGAACTTGCCTTTTCCAGAAACTCTCTTCAGGATCTTTGAGCCAGAGAATCGGTTCATTCTGATACGACTCGTCTTTTGCGAACGTGCATTTCAGAGCAAATTGCGAAAGTGTCTTTCAAGCGGAATGATCACAAAACGGAACCATTAATCAAATTATGGAAAGATAGTAAATTTCAAGCAACCCAACATGGGGCGAACCGAAATGCAAATACCTTTGAGGAAGAATTGTGCGAAGAATTGAAAGAGGATTGTGGCAGGATCTTTTTCCTTCTGTCTCCCCTTTTATCCCTGTCTTGACATGCAAAAAGTTTCTTTCTCTATACTGTTAACCCTTTCAGTCCTGATGGGATTCAGGAGTTATTTTTTTATCATATATTTTGCAGGGTTATACCGGAATGCACGACCTTGTGACCTGGCGGGACTTCTGAATCCTGCAGCCCTGTCAGAATATGTCTTTCTGTCCTTTTCAGGTGGTCCTTTCCGGCTGTGGGATCGGAATCCTTATTCCATAGTCGGAGAAAGAATAAAGGATGAAAGAGGAGTGAGCAGTTAAATTCTGGCAGAGCTGCCTGTGCCATCGAAGATGAAGGCGACAGAGATGAATTTTGTTATTTTGGTGGATTTCGATTCTTGGATTAGACTTCTCAATCGACTCATATTTCTTCCTTTTTGCAGTGCCTGGTTAAGCTGGGACCCTTGACTTGATTTCTTTAAAAATTTGCACGCATTTGAGAAGGCTACATGCCTCTTTATTTTAGCTCATTTGATGTCTTCGGTGTGCCTAAACTGCGATGTATACTCGTCCAGCTTTGAATCTCAAGGACAGAATTGGACTTCTGGGGTAGGACTCCTCAGATTGCTACCATTCAGAAAACGCTGGCTCAAGTGCGGTGGTATTGCTGGGAATGAAAAAAATCCCTAAATAAGGCCATAGGGCCCCCCCCCCCCCCCCATCAAGAGAAAATAACAACTTCATTTTGTGTTTCGACTTCGACCAAAGACTTGACCAAAGCTTTGTATGTAGAACTCAGTGGCAACTCGTGGGCGAAAAATCAAGGGAGGCAAATTCATTTTACAGTATTTATTTTGTACAGTATTGTATTATTTATGGTAACATGAAGCACGAAAGGTGTGCTTAAGTCAGTCATTCCAATTGAGTCGCACTACTTGAATGAACTGATAACAAATAAAACGCTGTCCGAGAAATATTTCCTCGTTGGCAGTTTATGTCGAGTCGAAATCATCTGAAAGCAGAGCGAAAATCGGTCTCTCCTTGCGAGTTTCCGAACTTCTAACGAAAATCGCATCCAGCACACCTAGTGAATATCGTGATATTGTATAATATATCATGCATCTATGGGAACTGGGAATATATAAATGGCAAATAGAATTCGGATGAACGAACAGCTCTTGAATAAAAGAAGTTTGAAGTCGTGCAAGCTCTTGCTAGTGGGCACCCGCTTATGCGCAATGCAGACGGTGAGGTCGACCCTCTGCTCTCGTATACTACACTGTTTTCGGATTGAATTGGTACCTCCCTACTGTGGAGAACGGTGAAAACAAGCTTTCCAGACAATCCTCAAGATGTCAAGCCTGATGCTCCACATGGTTGTTGGATGATTCTATTAATACTTCACCTTCCATCCACGAGGTGTCCTGCCTGTATTTGATGGAAGCACTCCTAGAGGGGGGGGTACCAATTCAATCCGAAAACAGTGTACTGTATTGCTAGCACGACGAGATACTCCTTTGCATTGTCTATGAACCTGGGAGGCCACCAGGCTCTGGCCTCCCGTACGCGATTGTGGGCAGGAGTCAACTGTCTGACCGAACTTTGCTCGTTTTGCGTCAATTGAGAATGAATGCTATGGTTCTCAGTGGTTTCTTTCAGATATTTCATATCTAAACGAATGTTTTCAAGTTCTATTGGAAAGTGCCTCCTGAGAATTTTTTAGGAGGCCTAGGGCCGTATTCTATTACGTTCTTAAGTGCGATTTTCCTCTTAGCAAGGTGCTTAGATGGTATTTGCTCCATTCAAATGCATGGCCGAGGTTGAGCAATTTGCTTAAACTAAGTTTAAGATTTTAATAGAATACGGCCCCTAGTCTCTCTTACCACCTCCGACGAGCCGCCACTAGTGGAACTTAGAAAACTGCAGCAACAACGAACTTTTTTTTGTTCCTAAACACATTCTGCAGCAACAACGCGCGAGAGGAGACATCTGATCGAGATTTAGAAAGATCTTCGATGTGCGAGGGAAGACCCAGGTGCCGCTGGTGTCGTCTTATGTGGCTCTTGCGTCAAGCCAATAGCCAATGGAAGTGGCCCGCAGATAGGTTGGTTCAAACCAACGCTTCCCGCCCGTCCCATGCGCGCCTTACCTCCTATTATTATGTTCATAACTCTGTGGTGATCACTCCGTTCCCGGCCACTGTCCAGTCAACCAACTCTTCCAGAAGTCCATTCTTATTCCTAGTTACTTTTGGTCGTGCTCAGACCTAAGACTGTTGGCGTAAACTTTGCACGACGTAGCCAAATCTAATAGCCCAGTGCATAACATTAAGTCTGAGCTCATCGAGGTCTAACGTTAGCTCTCAAAGCCCACACCATTCATTGGTTTGACTTAGACCTTTTTTCTAGCACTAGGCTAGTCAGAATTATCCAATAGGCTACCTAGAAAAGCCCATATGGAGGCTTGACTAGAAGCACAATATTTATTGGCAGTGTCCTGCAGCCGAGCTGGTAATTGTTACCTCTTATCACTCCTAACGTGATAGACTTCCAGCAGCCCATCGAAAACAGGCATATCTTTCAAAGTAGAGGAAGGTGCTTCCATTGTCTTGTGAGAATAGATGATGTGCACTTTTACTCATTGGGAAGGAAGGGAGGAAATTCTTTCTTGGTGGGGGCACCTACTTTGAATTTAGTTTTTGAAGTCACCTGTTGAGAATTCTAATTCCTGCACACTGCTTGGGCTTTGAGTGAGCCCTCTGCCCTGACTATATGACTTTTGTGAAATCCTACTTAATAGGTACTCTTAGATTGAAAGTGCTGAGAACAGTATACATGACACTTGTAAAATGATGCAAGCTGTATGCAGCATCTTGTATGACTTAAGGCATTCTTTTTTTCACTTCAGAAAGCTAACTTGGCCACAGCTTAGAGGCCTAGCTCTCTTCTGGAGAATGTCTTATCAACTGAGGAAATGTTATTAGTCAGGTTACTTACAACTTGTCCCTCAAGTCAGAGTCAAGCCAGCTTGGACAATAGACAGTGCCATATTCATTTTCCAAAAGATCAAGGTAACCCAGCATCAGAGAGCTTCCAGAGGTGATCAAGGACCTGTATTATGGTAGGAGAAGGAAATTAGTGGCAATTAGATGATAGGAGCATGAGTGACATGAGAAAAGAGAAGCAGGACCAGACGACTCCAAATTATGAAGTTATTAATAAGATCCAGGGATATTGCATGTATCATCCTTCTAAAGAGAGTAGAATTTTATGAATTCACATGTCTGAAGTCACATATGTTCTCAACTAGAGGGTTTAGCATTTACTGAACATCAAGAATGGAAGACTAATCAACAATACCAGCAATGGTGGTAGCAGGCTGTGAAGTAGGTAAATAAAATTTAGAAAAGAACCAGTGAAAGGATTCCACTCTGATTGGGGATTTTACTGTTGGAATGAGTATCCCAGAACCAATCTAGGAAACAACTGTATGTAGGCAAACTCTAAGTGAATGTGATCTTGGGGCAAGCTGTATGCCTTCCTGTTGTGATTTTATTTTTTTTCCATTTCAGTCTTCATATGAGATTGAGAGACATTTGAGGAGCAGAGCAGGATCTGAGGAAAGTGCTGACAGAAGTTTGGCATTAGGATATTACATATGTCTGAATCCACCTTGGTGGATGGACTTATATGTATGAGTGTTATTGTAGACACATGGTGCCAGAACAATCACTCACCTCATCACCTCAACTTTTTTTTTTTCCAGGAATCTTAGAAACACTTCTTTCAACATCATCTCCCTGTGCTTGCTTTTCACCCACCCACCCTCATGCTTATAGGCTGCAAATATCAAGAGGCCTCAAATCTTAACTTGTGGTGGATTGATTGTCTTGAATCCTAAGGGATGACCCAAACTAAAAGCTTTTTTTTTTTTTCGCCAAGCCATACTTTTGTCATCTTGCATCCCAGGTCAAAATAGTTTCTTTTGAAATGGAACAATTACCTTTCTAAATTTTTTTTATGCATGGTAAATAAAATGCTTGCTCTCAAACAAGTAGGTGTGACTATGGCATCTCAGGCTGGATGACTTGAAGGAAACATGCTCTGCATTTCTTTGCAGTCTTGCTATGATGCATTGATGTCCCTACCATTATCATGGTAGAGAAAACATTTGCTCCACTGTTGAGTCACCATATCCTTTGATTCAAGATGGCAGTATGACATTACTAATAAGTTATGTTTCTTTCCTAAAATAACCACAGCATCAGAAGTAGGTTCAGACCCAAAGTGTAGCTTTCTTTTGTCCCTAAAGTGAATTGAACCCTGCTCATAGGTTTAGCATATATACTAAAGACAAGAAATAAATGAAAGCTGAGGTAGTACCCTGATTTTGCTGGAGCAAGTCATGGTAATCACCCAATTAAAAATAGCTAAATCTAATTCCACATTGACCAGTTTGCCTTGGAAGAAAACCATCTTCCCCCATAAGAGGTTAGGACTCTTCATCTGGTAATTACCTAACAAACATAAGTCTAACTGAAAACTGTTATCTATCCATCCAGCATGTATGGAAAATATGTAAACTGTCCTGATTTTCTATGACTGTATCAATGTTGACTTAATCCAATAATCTTATGCCCTTAGCCTAAAAGTGTTACTAATATTTTCTCTCCATTGTTATTGCAGGGCATTATTGTAGGTCAGTTCAAAGATACTAAAAATTTTCATTTGTGTGTAAGCAACTTTAGGCTTAGGCCTTTTTGGAGCAGTTTGAAACCAGATAAACCTATGTCTGCTGGGGATGTCTGGCTGCCTTGATAAAGATCATTACTCTGCTATATCAAAGGACATGGCCTCAGGAGGTAAGTGTTTAGGTCTATTTTCCTTGAGTGGTAATTTGTTTAATTCAAAGTGGTGATGGGAAAAGCTCAGTTTTAAACATTTTGTAACTTGCTACTGCTGCTGTTATTGGTGATTGAAGTCAGAAAAGGGTAGGAGAATGCCAGATTCTATATAAAAGACTCTGAGGATACCTTTTTAAGATCAGAACCTGCTATTTTTGGACAAAAAATGATGGTGTATGGAGCCCTTAATCCTTAATTGCTTTATGGCTATTGTAGTTTCCTTGCATCTTTCAGAGCTACACCCACCTTAGTTGACTTGTACTTTGGTTGATACCCTAACTTTCATCAATGATAGAGCAGCTGATCATCCCAGTGATGTTTCAAAGAATGAGTGTCCTGAGAAAGTCCTGAACAGGTGTAACTAGACTGTGTAAGGAAAGCCTCCATCTGTTGCAACAGGACATTCCTTTGTTGACACACTGTATGGAGAACATGGAAGGACTAGAGAGTAATTCATTAGAATTTCAATTTATGTTATAGTTTTAAGCACATCCCAACCCTTGGCGAGAATTGTTATGACTTTTCATAGAGGCTTATATGAGCCATAAGGAACTACATAAAGAGACTGCATAATGTTCCCCCTTAATCCCTTCAGGATTTTAACAACATACATACATATCATTGTTTTTCAGTGAAAGTTGTTCAGGCACATTATGTATGAGCTTGAAGCACATTTTTTATTGAGACTACAAAAGAAGTGTCTATTGTCAGTCTACTACCTTCAGTAGAAGGTAGATTCCTGTCATACAGAGCAGAGGACTCAACCCTGAGAAGTTAATGCATCTAAAAACCAAATATGTTTCTCATCTAACTTTTTTTCTGACAAAATAGTGCAAAGCAGTGAAGTGCACCTTAAGCTCTCTTCAACAATTTATGCCTTGAATTTCTCTAGAGTCCATACTAAGACCAGACCTAAAGATCCAGATTTTATTATTATTATTATTTTTTTTTTTTACATATTCTGACCCCTGAGCAGGTTGAATGAGAATGTCATAATTTAGTACCAATTTGTTCAGTTATTTGAGGGTTTTTGGCTAATGGTTGCTTTGCTGTCTATATGCCTGGCAATCGAATCAACTTATGAGTCTCTATACTGTACCATATTATAGGAGTTTCAGGTAACCTGGATTTTTTTCCAGTTTTCAAAGGTATAGAGCTTTGTCTCCTGACACAGAATGTGGCTCTTCATTGTTATAATGCAATATCCTAATTTATAGCTGAAGGGAGATGCAAAACTTGGGCCCTAACCAAGGATCTTGCCTATTTTGATTCAACCCTCTGATGGGTTTACCAAAGTAGTATATTATTCTGGTCAGAAATGAGTGGTTTTTCTCTCTCTTTCTTTTACAGACTTGCCAGAGAGCAGTGTTCGCTCAAAGGAGAGGCGACTGAGCAATATTAGGCCTCCAGACAATAGAGACTCAATCATAGACAAGTATGAGGGCTGGTGAGTTTCCTGGCATTTAAGTCTAAAGCAGTGATTTGCTGTTCTGGATATTTTAAATCATGTGGCATGTAGGCATACTGCTGTCTATCTGCTACTGTCTCTTAACTCTCTGTGTAACTTTTGCTCATTGGATTTGAATTGTTGATGGTAAAGAAAGTAATGGAATAACCTTCACAGATGTAGGACAACATTTGTCAGTAGCTTTGTGTCATGCTATGGCTTCATTTTTGTGGGTGTGACATTTACACTACCACTCCCCCCCCCCCTTTTTTGGCCATTCATTATTTTGCAATGGGAATGCACTGAAATGTTTGCACCATTAAGGGCATGGCCAAAAAGGGACAAACTGAAACAAAACTGCAAGAATGCAAAAACATAATCAATAAAAACAGTTTGGGGGGGCACCTAATACATATTGGCTCATTTTTGTTTCATTTGGATTTATTCCCAAGTATTTATTTCAGATGCATCAACCACCACTTCAACATCTTCATGGATGCCTCAGCTGCCACCCCCCCCCCCCCTTTTTTTTTTTTAATACATCGAGGATGAGAGATGCAAATTTGCCTTTTTCTGTAGGGTGTTGTTTCATGCTACTGTGATTCTTTCTTTGTACTATTTGGTTCTGAGATGTGCTTGTGTTGATTTTAGACATTCTGATGTTTCTTTTAGTTCCATTTTTTACCATCAGCTGAGCTTTTATTGCTTTTTATTTATATATTTGTATGATTAAAATCTGTTATATGTAGGGTACCATTCCATAGTGTGTTAAGAATTGACTACATTCCCCCAGAAATTTTGAAACAGCTAAGGTATCATTGGGTTTTGTCAACAAAACCCAATAAAGCAGTATATTAGCAGTATATCTCAACGAAGAAGAAAATTGGTTTGATATGATTGAAATGTGTCTTGAAAGTTCAGAGCACTTAGCTTGTACCTGTATTTCTAATTATATATATTTTGCAGTTTGAAGATGAAGGAGTCCGGTTTCAGGAAGTTCAGATCAGTGGTAGAAAGAGCTTATGAATACTGGAATGAGCTGGGTCTGAAATTGGGTGACCGTGTTCTCCAAGAGAGGGCTGATTACTACTTGCGTCTTTTTGCTGTGAGTATCTCTGCAACAAGGGTCACCTCATACTATTAAGCATTATGCTTTGTGTTGACACCATTTACTTTCAATGCCTATGTTCCTAGGAGGACTTGGACACCATGCTGCAGGAAGAAGCCAAAATGGTAGAGAAGTACCAGACTGCTGTCGAGGGAGTTGCTGCCAAAATCACTCATTTGACTCGACTGTTGGGGAGGAAGGATATTGAAGAAGAAGGTAGGGCCTTATAAATTAGAATCATCTTGGAATCTTGGTCTTGCTGAAATCTGAAAGGACACCATGTTTAAGCTCCTGGCTTATGTGCTTTGCAGACTTGCAATTACCTGAAGGTTATGGACTTATGCAACTTCTGGATCGATTGAATGAAATCCATCGTGAATTAGCAAAGGAAAAGGAGGAAAAGACAGCAGACTTTAGGAAACTGCTGGAAGAGGAAGAGATCCTTGCAAAACGTCTTGGAATGCCCCAGGTGGAAGTTGACCATGAGATCCTTCCAACTCCTGAAACCCTCAAAACTGTTGCTGGGAGTATCTCATTGATGAAAGCTGAGTTGGTGAGCTCTCATTGACCATCACTTGTTGTTAGCATAGTTACATTTTGTCTTTCTTCTAGGTAACTTGTACTTAGTGGGATGCACATTTGTTGCTCCAATGTGAACATACATCAGAAACTTGATTGTACTTGATTGATGTCATCATCCTGGTATGACGATTTGCATTTTCTGGCAGTTCTTAGCCTCCGAATTGATCAAAACAAAACATTATGCCTCTTTAAGTCTAATACTGCACTTAATGATGTCCTTGGCTTTCCAGGGCCACCCAAACAAGGTGTAAAAAATTACTTCAAAAATTCGTTATGACATTTTCATTCTTATTTATCCTTTCCTGCTAATCTTGATGTATGATAAACCATTAATATATAATTCTCAATTGTGTGAAACATGTAATGTCAGGTGTAAAGTGACTTTTTGGGCTCTCTGTATATATATTGCTGGATGGGAATTATTCCTGGAAAGGCTGTTACAGGGTATTGCCTGCATAGATTAGGACTCTGTCTCAATGTAAATAGTGAGAGTATTTAGAGTGGCTTGAAGAATTGTTCTGCCATATTGTCATCATCCACAGGATAGGTTTATCTTGCACAGTTTTCACTGTAGAGTTTTTTTGGTGCAAGTCTCACTCACATCCTTGACCTAAGAGTACTTCAAAATATAATTTCTCCTCTTATTGGGAGGGTGACTGATTTTCATGTGTTGAATTTCACTAAGTGTTCACCTGGTCCTTGTGCAGTTCTTGGAGGAAGATGATAATATGGTTGCATTTGTCAACTATATGTGAAAGGTGTTGTTACTAACCTTCCAAATTATTATTGGTGTGAGGTTCCTCATTGAGGGCATGATGCTTTACTTGCTGCAGAGCAGGCAGGAAGAATGGACTTGTTCTTGGATGCCTTCACCTTTTGCCTCTTGTCCCTGTAGTTTTCACAGAGAATGTGTCAATTGGCAAGACTTTTGCTGACATGGCACTCTAAAGAGTCTTGGTAGAGTTCATGACATCTTGTGTTTCTACAAAAACTTGAGCTGAAATCATTCTGATATAGATTGATAATTTCTTAATTATTGATCTAGTGAGAGGACCCCTCTTACTGTACACTTTCCTCAATGAGGAACTGAACATGATGGATAAAGCAGGTCTTATGTTGGACACGTGTGAATAAACTTTTCTTTGCCAAAACTACTCTTGTCTTCAAGTAAAAGTGACTTTGGTTATGCATTTTTTGCAACGATTCATCTGAATTTCATAGTTAATGGCATGTAAGATCATGCAATATGTGTCTTGAGAATTTATTGAGGCTTGACTTTGCACAATGACTTGTTTGTCTGGGTTTTCAGCATTTTGAAATGTATATATATATTTTTAATTATTCATAATAATAATGTTACTCACATAGGTACAGACATTCCTGTAATCCCCATCACTCATTCACTTTATGCCAAACCCAAATTTCATTGATTGTTCCTGCACTTGTTGAGCAACTCAAGGTTCTGATCTAGTAGGACTGATCCTCCACCCTTCCAGGCCTCTGCAACATTGAAATTAACTTATTATTCTCTATGATACCCCTAGATAAAGCGAGAAAGGAAGCTGAAGCAACTGCAGGAGGATCTTGCACGATTGTATGAGTCAGTGGAGCGGCAGCCCAAACCAGGCAGCATTGGATATGACATCTTGCACAATAAGGAGTTGGTCCTTTCCTCCAAGAACCTGAAATCAGGAGATGTGAGTTTCCTTTACTTCATGTTTCTAATGTGCTTCCTATGTATATAGGACAAATTTTTGAGGTTCAAGAGATTCTATTCTTTGTGGTGACAGGAACTGAAAGAATCCCTTGAACTTGATGAGCAGAAGCTGAAGAAGGAGGCAGATTTTATTCGCAATGAAATACAGGTCCTGTCTGATCGGCTTGGTTTGGGAGAGGATGGGAAGAAATTTCTCATGGCTCATGCATCTCATTCATCCTGTGACAGACATGCAGTGAGTATCAGCATCCAAATGTTTTTAATTTATTGAAAGGCTCTTTCCTTGACCCTGTTCTTTGCAATACTGAAGGTGTATCTGTATCTGTAGGAATAATGCACCTTGCACTGTATTCAAAAATCAATTTCAATACAAGCTATTTTTTAATTTCCTCAGAGAAAATTCATTTGAAAAATTTTTTATTTTTGGATATAGCCTCCACTCTCTTTGCATACAGGTGTCCAATAGAGCACTTAGTTCTTTACATCATGTGTATGTACACACTTGATTTCTTTTATTTTGAACTAGATTTTCCCACGTACATTTGCCAGTGTGAGAAAACCTGTAGCAGACTATAAGTTGTGAAATTCAAAGTCATCAATATAGAACAGTTACATAGGGAACCTTTTCCCATTCTGAAATCAAAATATCGGCATAGACCTTTCAATGAGTCATACACATAGTCATTCCACAAGGCTTGGTTTTCTATGCATTATGTGCATCTGTATAAATATTGATTCTCTCTTGAAGTCACTCTTCAGCAGGCTAGGATAACCCTTGTGAACCTGTGATTGAGGTTTGCAGGGGAAAAAAAATTGTTTTTTTCTACAATGTTCTTCAGTATTTGACCAAATTAGAGAACACAAATGTCATCATCCTGGTATGAGGATTTGCATTTTTTGACAGTTCCTAGCCTTTGAATTGATCAAAACAAAAAAAAATTCAGATGCATTAAGTGAAGGATCATTAGCTCCAGCCTCAAAGATTTAATTCAGATGTAACTTATTTTGTTAGGAGTTTAGAATACACATGTTCATGATGTTTTGCATATATGGAACCCTGAATAGATTGGGGATATGACTGAACAGCTGTGACTTAGAAATATATTATTCCCAGTGGGGTAGAAATCCTTTTTAAAAATTTACACTTGAACTTATTCAGCGCTTTCCAAGTCTGAGGTACTCCATGCTACTGCCTGACATGAGGCCCATGGTGGTTGTTTTGACTGCTGGCAAAAGTTTAAGTGCTTATCATTTCTAGCACAATCCCCTCTTTCCCATGAAATTTGTTGACTTCATAACAAATTTGGCTCACCACACCCCTGTAGCAGTAAATTAGTCAAATCTTACACACTTTATTGTGTGACCAGCATTCTACCTCAAAACACTGAACACTGTCATTTTGACTGCTGAGAAATTTGATCCTCCAAATGTTGAGCAGTGTAAAATTGCATCATTAATAAGAAGATGTATGTAAGTGGTGGATATTCTATTTTTAATAAATTTAGTTTGCAAAGAAAAAGAAGGAAAATTCCAAAGTTCAGAAAGTATTCCTGCCAATAATTTTGGTGTAGGGTGTACAAAGTTAGAGTTGAGGTGGAAGATGCTTAATTGGAAAGTCATCCAATAAAGTACATATGCATATTGGCAGAACCAGTATGCATAAGCATCATGGGTAGGTCCATGATATCTTTGTTTTTTCATTTCATTAAGCTGCAAAATAGTGTCTCATCTTGCTATTGAAAGTGTAAAGCTCTGGGTTTGGTCAGCTTATGACTGGTTGCCTGAGATGTGACATGCTCTTGAACAGATATGTGCGGTTTTCAGAGTTGGTCTATGCCATTTGCCCTACCCTTTCACTCAGACAAGCACAATTGCATCTTACATCTTTTTTAATCCTTCTCTGCATGTGGAATTTTATTCAGCATATGGCTACACAGCATCAAGACATGCACTTGAGCAGAAAATTCCCAGGATAAGTGAATGATTTTGTGCCATTTCCCTCAATTAGTTGGAGAATGAGAGAGCTCGCCTTGAGATCCTGAAACAAAGCAATATGGAGAAGATCATAAACAAAGTTCGTGAGGAGATCCGGGAAATGTGGAAAAATCTGTATTATGGTCCTCGAATACAGGGGAAGTTTGTTGATATTCATTCTGGTGAGCATCTCCTTCCCCCTCTGTCATTTGCAAATAAGCCCTAGATTCTGTGTCAGCTATGCTATCATTTTTACTTTCATTATATTGGTGAATTCTCAATGCCAGACGATTTTTCGGAGGATCTCCTCAATCGTCATGAGCTTGAGCTAGAACGACTTAAGGAAGAATGTCAGCAGAAGGCAAGGATCCTGGCTCTGATACCCAAACGGAGAAAACTCTTCAATCGTATGCTGGAACTGGACCAGTTGGAGGGAGACCCCGAGCGATTCAAGAATCGCGGTGGCCAGCTTCTCAGGGAAGAACATGAACGTAATCGCATAAATAAGGTGGGTCTAGGCATTTTCTCTTGATGGTGTCAGAAATTATTACAGAAATGAAGATAGTGCTTCTTACGTTTCCTTGAAGGAGCTGCCAAAACTGGAAAATGAAATTCTACAGCTATGTGAAGAATGGGAAGAAGCAAGTGGTCCCTTTTTATATGAGGATATTCCATTCAAGGAACGGGTTGCTACTGAATGGGAGGAAAGGATCATGTTGAAGGAAAACAGAGGAAAGGTTGTTCTAGAAATCTGCCTTTTGCTGTATTTCATTGAAAAACTATTTTTGTACCACCATCTTGTGTTTGCCTATGTAGAAAACTGAGCAAGTGGACCAAGCACTGCCAAAGAAGGGACAAGGAATGGCCTCCACTCTAAGTGCTGGGAGCAAGCGTAAGGCATGCCTCACCCCCAGGGGTGTTTCACCATCCAAGGTGAAACGAGTCTTGCAGGCCCAATCTGCCCAAGCTGTAATGCTCCATACTCCTGGCAGATCTGAGAAGAAAGTGAGTTCTTCCCTTCAGCCTTGAGAAGTGTGCTTTTTCCTGCTGTGTGAGACTGTTTTTATCTTCCCATTTTTCAGCATACTCTCCCTCAAGCAAAGCTGAAAATGACAGAAGCAGAAGAACTAGGATCTATTGCCACCTATGATCAATTTGCGGTAAGAAAGGTTCTTGTTGGATTTTGATGCATGGTAGAGATGCAACAAGTCAAAATTTGGCTCAAGGCTGGATTTTTTGCTGCATTTTGAGACTGACAACAGAATTACTCAATATTGTATATTGTGTCTAACATAAGTTGGTGATTGAAGAGAGTTGATATGTTAACACTAGCCTGTATAGATGCATGTGGACTCTTCTTAAGGTGTTCTACATGGTTACATTTGCTGGTGTGTTTAGAGAGTCTGCTGAATTTGAAATACTTTTTAGAAGACTTTTGACTGAAAACCTCTTTCTTCCCTCATCCAAACTGGCATCACTGGGTAATGAGTCAACTTTTGTGGAACTATTCTAAACTCTGTTTTACTTTGAAAAAGGAAGAAATCAAAAGTTTTTTCTTTTAAATATATGAATGTTTTACAAATGTAGTATAGAATAGTAGTTCTGTTTGGAAAATAGGTGAAAATTGTAATATCAGGCCTTATTAACCAGATATTCGGTGTCTCCTTAGGTGTGGATTTGTTCTCTGTTTCTTTGTGTTGGACTGCATGCAGATGGGTTTAGATTTGTCATTGAGAAACCCAGTTACTGCATGGTATATCTGGAACTGACAGTAGTGGTGGTTGCCCTTGTGCTTCACTGTACAGAATATGAGGGCATTGCACAACTTACTGGGTATGGTGCTGATGACGAGAGTATAATATTAGAAAACACAGTCAAATGCTAGTGGGATTTCTCTTCGTGTCATTCATAGATTACACATGGATTGTAATTGATAGAGGGGAAGAAGACGAGCTCTATCAATTCTGTCTTTGCAGGACGATTTACAGACTCGCAAAGATGAACTTCAGTCCACTGTGCATGAGGCTCGTCCCCGTATCGACAACTGAACCCAATCTGCACTGCAGTCAGCACTTCTATATTCTTCTGATTCTGTATATCAACTTCTTTGGTGGTTTAGAGATACTTGAAGGAGCATCGAGAGAAATTTCCAGTGAGGAGTTCAGCTGTATCCTCTCAAGCAAGGAAGTCATCTTCTTGCCCAACAAGTCCAGTCAAGAAATTAGCTGGTCAAAGTCCTTTCCGCTCGCCGAGTACATCTCGCCTTGGCATCAACACTGCTTCTAACCGCTTCACTCTCTTTTCCCAACCCTCAAAATCTTCGAGTTCCAAAGACTCAAAGTTCAAAGTCACTCAGCCCTTCTATGTCTAGAATGAATGATTTTTATACAAGTGATTGCTTTGTTTCAATCAGAGTGTATAGAACTGGAGTGAATTTTTCAGTATTTTATGTGAGTGCTAGTTTAGAGTATGCACTCAGCTGCACTCTATGATTCAAGAGATTGCAGACTTGAAAGCATGCATATGGGAGTGTGATCCTTCTCTGGGATACCAATGTGCCTAGCTGCCACATTTATGGTTTGGCATAGAATGAGTTAACACTAGAACTACTGGAGTGGTCATTTTGACCACTGTATCAAAAGTAGTATAAAACTATTAATCTGTAACTTTTCACTTGTTTTTGCCAGATGTTATTTGGTATGTTCAATATGTTAAAAACGTTGATATTAGATAGGGAAAGTAAAATCTACAGAGGACCTTAGTTGCTAATGAACAGAGTAAATTGCATATAAAAATGGCGAGCAGTCAAAATGACTGCCCCGGTAGTTCTAGTGGTAAGAAAAGACAGGGTCTCTTTTGGAAAATTTTCCATCAGATCCATTACATGTAACTTGTATTCATTTGTGTTCTGGACAAGGAATTGCATACTGTCTTGTGAATGCTTACTAGTTTCTGTGATTCCTTGCAGCTTCTCTTTCCAGCAGTCCATGGATGTGGATTGAGTCATGAATATGATGTGAATGTGATGATTTTTCTTGCTTTTAATTTGGGTTTAAACCAAGGAAATAAAAGAGGGAATAAAGCATTGGCTTTTTAAAAAATAAAGTATTCTCATTTGAATGAATGCCATGAAGCGCATCCTCTTTTATGGAATTCTGACCTATTTTAAAACTAGTATATGCCACCTGTCAAATGCTCAGCAATTGGGCATTAATTGGTGATTTTGGCTTGCTAATTAAAGCTGGATCGGACTTGGTCTGCATATATATTGCACATTATCCTGTCGCGTTCTCCAACTTTCGCTCAAGAGTCGGTATGGGGTCAGCCCTATTATATCCCGACGAAAAATTGAGTCTCCAGTCAGAGTTGCAATAACTTTCAGACCTTGAGGGCTGATACCTCCACGAGAAGTCGGGTCCGATGCTCAGCGAGCGGCACCAAAACTCCCTATCCCGGGCGCAGAAAAATTAAAACCCCGAAGTTATTGGGATTGAATTGCAGTATGGTTTTTTATTTCATCGTTTTACCATCGTTTTAGTTTATGAGGAATTAATTTTTCCCCGAAAGCTTGCGTGTGTTTTCACTTCACATTTAAATACCGGCCATGAAGCAACACATTTAAATGCCGTACGATAAAGGTTAACTGACATCGAGGGACTTTGATTTGTCGATCGTTAAGATCAAGATTTGTCGAAGGGTCACCCTTCGATCGCTCACTTGCCTGTTTCAGTCCTCATCCAGACTTTCTCAATTTGATCAGGTCCGGACCAACTTGAATTACCATGATGGGGAAGATTCATTTCCAGGTCACACGGTTCGATTGTCAGAGAACCGCTAGATCTATTAAAGAGTCTGGAGAAACGATGAAAGGAATAATTTTTCTCGTGGTTCCTGGCGTGGCATTGCTCGGATTGGTATCGGAAGACGGAAATTATAATAGTAAAAAAAAATGGCAGGAAAATGCGAATATTCAGTATATGTCTTCAGGAGGAACGAAGTAAAATACGTGGTACTGAGCAAATTTTTTAAAATCGCAATTGGTGACAGTCGTACATCACATTAAACTTGTCAGCTTGCAAGATAGGAAATTTAATGCGAAAGGGCCTTCCTTGCACCTGTGCTGCGCCGACTCCAAACGTATTCGATCGGACGAGAACCCATTCCCCCCCATCTTGAGACTTGCATCGAGGCGAATCACCGAGAGCGAAATCGCAATGTACCCTCAAGCTGAATGATCGAAGCCGCGAGTGTCGCATCGCGGCGATCGCGAGACACTTCGAGGCACGACTCTTCTGGTCGCATCGTGAGCGGCTCGATCGCGATATGAATCCAAGGAAATTCATTGGCGCGTGCCAAAAATTTCGTCCTCGTCGGTGACAATAACGACAAATTATAACCATGTTCACTTTCCAGGTGCGACGCGTTAGACGAGGGGATACAAAGTAATCCCAGTCTTCGAACGCACTGAACAAGGGGTCATCTTTTCTCTCGGCCCTCAAAGGGGCCGAGAGAAAAGATGACCCCTAGCCATTCCGCTTCGCTTCCGATTTTGCAATCGTGAGGGCCATGGCGGAGCACTCTCGACGGATCGGATCGGGCCTCCACGAATCGACACGAGATCGATTTTTGCGACTCGACCGAATCTGGAATGTCGATCATTTGTAACGGACTCGGTAATTTGTTTCATGCTCATAATCTAAAATTATCCCTTTCCGACGAGGGTAACGTAACCTCGGCTCCCTGCCAAGGAATGCCAAAAGCGTTCTGCTCGGTCGGGATCAGGAGGAACTGCTTCGCATCTGCATTTCCCTGGCACTGAACCAGGTCGAACGAATTGCGTCGAAAATCGTGCCAGATGGTGATCATCACGAAATATTCCAGAGAGGCCACTCTAATTCTGTTTTGTGGAATGTGGAATTCGAGACTCATGCACGAGAAATTAATTGCACAGTGCACAGGCGAATGTCGCGCTTATCGGCATTTTCGTCTTCGTTCGGCGGAAATGAGACAGAATATGACGCAGATTGACTCATCGACTTCCCGCGCTCAAACTTTGTCCGCTGATGTTGGAAAAAAAATCTCGTAATTGAGAGAATCTTGATGAGGAACTGAAGGAAAAGCAAAAGGCGAAAAGAGGAAAGCGAACCGTGCTCAATTGAACTGGGAATCTTGGACTGTTTCTTTCCATCGCTTCCATGGATTCAAATGCCATGCACGCCCAAGCGAGTTCATGGTAGGTCTGAGGGCTGCTGTAGAAACCAGGCCTTCAACTCAAGGTTTCATTATAAACTACAGCATAAGCTCAAGGATGGGCAAGTTACTTTGGAAAGAAACTGTTCTACACATTGGAATGGAATTAGGCGCAGATATGAGTTACTTATCACTAAAGTATTCGCTCTAAGGATGCGTCTGCTGCAGGAAATGAGGGATGGGGCTGGGCGAGTCACATCATGATTATTGATTGGAGTAATGATTAAAAATCCCAATTCCTCTGTTTTCGTTCACATCGGGCAGTCCAAATACATCATTCCAGGAAGAGGCATGCTCCAGAAGCGACGAGCAGGACGAACCGATCCATTTTTCCGTCACAGTCCTGTCGAGATTCCTGCAGTATTTTTGCATCGTGTGGTGTATATCGAACATAGCCGCATGGAATCCCGAGCAATTAAAAGGGAAGGCATTGCTCTCTCAAGAAGCTCGCTGGAAGGCTCTTTTTTTTTTGGAATGGGATATTAGAAAGTCACCCATTCAGATGCCTTTGGATATTAGACATACCCAGCTTCATAGCGGACCAGTTATCCCGGAACACGTTGCCACGTGGAGGTGATCGATATTGCAGAGGAGTACATGACGCTCAGCAGGCGCATAAAGTTATGGGAGGTGCCTTTCGTCATCGTACCGATCTAGCTGCCATCTATAGACAGTGAAGCGGACGCTGAATGCATCATTGGATGTTGCGCAGACGCAGTGGCTCCTCTGTCTGCCATCTTGCATGCAACTATCTGGTGGATACTGCGCCTTCGGCTCCACTGAAATTGTTGGCCTGTCCCGGAAGTAGCTGAGATAATCTTTGAAAGAGGAGATAATCGTCATGGGTAGAAAGAAGAAGAAGCAAACGAAACCCTGGTGCTGGTATCCTTTTCTTGTTCTTTCATTTTTAAACGGGAGTGATCTTAGGATAGGCCCAGCATGTCAAGCTAGGGCAGTGAGTTTATGCTCTGTAGTCACATTGGGAATAGGCTAATTCGCTTGGGCTGCATCCATGCATTGTGTTATGCATATTGCCGAAATTTAACAATCTGAGTTCGTGAATTTTCTTTTATTTGTGTTCACAGTAATTTTTTTTCCTTCATAGCATTACCGATCATTGCAACATTCCATAGCGTGCACCCACTAAAAAGTTTGTTTGGTTAAGTTCATTCCTGTCCAGACTACACGTTTTTGAAGGTAATTCATGTCATGGACTTAGGATCTGGTTCATCATGCAGTTGAGTTGAACTCAGAGCAATAATTGATTTCATCTGGTCTGTACAGTGCTCAGCACTGGTGTTGGTGAAGTCTTTCATATTGGAATGAATAATTCGTATTGTAAAAGCATACGTACAGCGTATGATGTAAAAAAATAGAATTTGTTTTCAAACTTCTAGGTATTTTCAAAACTTGCTTGTGGGTACTTGTGTACTTGTGTTTTCCTCTGTGAACAGGATACTTGTAAGATTGTAGGATTTAAAATGCAGTTTGAAAGAGTATGCTGCCCACTTGTGCATTCAAGACGAAGGAATACCCACATTCACTTCCAGAGGCAAGGAATCAGGAAACCACAGTGCCTCCATGCCAAGAATAATCTAGTATAATTAATCAAATAGCCATGAGTTTCTCCTGAATTTATTTGAAAAATATAGAAATTGTAACAATAAGAACTGGAAAGAGCGTAAATTCAATTTAAAGTTCATTCTGGTAATAGACATGCTAGAATTGCTTATGTTTGGGGATTTTATTTCCTGGTTGACTTTATCATGGAATGTCCTATAGGCCTAACTTTTAGGCATATATCTTTGAGCTTCACTGTCTATGATAGGTCTCTCTGAGACCTGGGCCTGTTGTTTGGAGGTCCTTAACAGTTTTAATTCAGGTATTGCAATCGTGAATTTGAAGATGAGAAAATTCTTGTTCAGCACCAGAAAGCAAAACATTTTAAATGTCACATTTGTCACAAGAAGCTCTACACTGGACCTGGACTTCAGATCCACTGTATGCAAGTGAGTACCATCTTTCAGTTTGGAACTGGTAGAAGTGCTTTGAGGATGTAGTTCTAACTATTATATTTGATTATTTATTTTTTTTATAGGTGCACAAGGAGACCATTGACAAGGTGCCAAATTCACTGCCTAATAGGTCAGACATAGAAATAGAAATATATGGCATGGAAGGTATACCTGAAGATGATCTCTTGGAACATGAGCGACTCAAAACAGGGAAAACAGGCCCCCCTGGTAAGTATCATCCCCCTAATTAGGCTTAAAAATCTAGTTTAACATTCTAAGCCCCCACCCAATCTGTGGCAGATCCAGGGGAACTCAATCATATGACCAGGTTATCATTCTTTTTTTTTATAGCTTCTACTTTAATTTTTATTGGGACCAGTGAAATGTATATTCAAGTTTTTACCCCAGATGGGAAAGAAAAAGGTAATAGGCAGGGAGTGGTGGAAAACATGGGGTAAGAACTAGGAAACCACCCCCCCTTATGAAAAATTTCTGTATCTGCCACTGCCCAATGGCTGTACATTCAGTTTGGATGAGAACATTGAAGAGAACTTAAATGGCAAAGATTAGGACAAGGAAGGACTTGGGGATGGTATAACCAATTGATCAGTTATAATTTCAGACCCAACTGATACTAATGGTGATAGTGAAAGTGCATCTCATGGCCAAAGATACAATTGATCAAGTGTAAACAATGTAATGTAGAGTATTCAAGAAGTCACCATGTATCTCAGATATGTTTTAGCTACTGAATGACTGGATGAGTTCCCCCTGACAGCTGGGTTGGCTGCCAAGGGTTTGGTTTGATTTATTGAAGCCTATTATTTGCCTGGGGATTGTTAGCAACATGGCCTTGGAAGAGAGGGAGGAAGCCTGGTTCTGGGGTGCCAGGCCAGATTGCACATTCACATATGCATGTATTCCACTCCTTTTTTTGGTTTGTTCTGCTTCTTTGATGGGTGGGTGGGCATATCACCATCAGCAGGTCACAAACCTTCCAGTGTTCAGTGGTACTGGTGATCATTCATTGGTAAAACTGATGGTTTTTGCCAGTTTTTGTTATTGCATTTTTTTTTAAATATAAATTTTGTGAATTTTCTCTCTTGTAATAGTCTGAGACCTTATCTCTGTGTGTTAGTATGATAGTCTATGTTTCTGCTCAATGATTCAAGATCATTAGGTAATTGTCCTATTCATGTATTGGAGAATAGTAGGTATTGGCATTCATATGGATATGGTATGAGAGTAATTCTATGAAACATCGCAGAGAATTCTCGTGATGAGGAAGAACCACAGCCAAAGAAGGTGAAGACAAATGTGCCTCAGAACCCTCCTTTGCCTAATGGGATGATGCCAATGGGAATGCCTATGATGGGTCCTATGGGTCCCATGATGGGCCCCATGCCTCCCATGCCAGGTGTGCCTCCTTACATGGGACATGGGTAAGTCCTTCAGATTCCATGAAGGCTAAACTGACCTGCCATATATATAATGAAACATTTTGGCAATGCTGGTTCTAATTTCTAACTTTTGATTCAGGATGCCAGTTGGTCCCTCAATTCCCCAAAATACTTCAGCTGGTGTTCCAGGGACATCTGCCCCACCAAAACCTCTCTTTCCTTCAGCAGCAGCAGCTGCTGCTGCAGTATCATCGGTTTGTACTTTTAAGTTATTAACTGTGGCATCCTGGTCTTATCTTCTAACAAAGTTTTTGAATCCCCTCAGGGTATGTCTGGAAGTCCAAGTACTGCAAGTCCTGGCAAAGCAACATTCCCAGCTTATAGGTAAATTTCATATTTCCTCTAACTTGGGCATTACTGGTGTAGGGACTGCACAACTCAAATATACCTGTTTGGTATCCTCAAATTTGCAACTTCATCTAAGTATCCCCAATGGACTTGACCCAGGATACTATTTGTCTTACAATTCTTCTGAAACTCTCCTATATTTTGGATGTGTCATTTATTCCTGTAAGAAGACACCTTTTTTCTCATTCAGAACCACTTTAGCATAGGTATTCAACCCAGGTCTTTCTGTTACTTTTACAGTTACCAGGTATGCAAATGAAGTTGCCTTCTTGAGTCTGTTAGCTGGGAATGTGAAAAAAATCATGTCATCCTGTTTTAGTATAGATTCCCAAAAGCCATGAGTGATCATGTAAGGTTGCAGTCAAGCTCTGTAAATGTTCTATTCCATGTTCCAGAAATCCATGTTTTGGGTATGATCAGCCATGTGGTTCTTTTGATGCACCCCAGCAACTGTGAAATGGTGATGGCACAGGGAAATTATCTTAGTAACATTTATTTACTAGTGGTCAGTTATGGCATGGGTTGAGCAATTGCCTGGATGTTAATTGTCCTGGATTATTGTTCATTTTTATTTTTTGCATGTGAATATCCAATTTCAGGCAAGTCACTTACTTTTGAACTTATGTAGTGCCTAAACTTGTTGTTTTTTCTAACAGGTTTGGTACATGTGATACCACAGGGCTTTAAATGTTTTGACAAGGATCAGTATGTCGTGTTTAGCAATTTTGCCTTATAGCTTCCCATTTATGTGCAAGTAGCCAAAATAAGAATGCTCTTGGCTTGGAAAAACCATCAAAGATCCATCATAACTTGGTCAAGACATGAAGGGCATTAGTGTACTTAGCTGAAGTCTTGAAAGTGTAGCTTTCAATTTAAAGGAAATAGTTCCCCTGTCATTCAGTCAGTGGGAATGAGTTGTGATCGCATAATTAATATTCTTGACTCAGAATCCTAGAGGTAGTTCTGTCAGAATTTTGTTTCAATTCAAAGGGACAAAAAAGTGCTGGGTATTTCTTGGTACTCTGAAAGCCTCATAGGGTAAGCTTTCAGTTCTGTGATAAAATCTTTTTTGCATGTGGGCTATGGGCAGTTAGGTAAATGTTGTTGCTGATTAGATTGGTTGCACCTATCAGGTGGTGCAAAAAGAAAACCTTGTCCTTATAAAACTGACTGGAAATTCTTAATTTCTAAATTTTTTGTATCACTTTGAAAACACTACAAAATTTGTTTCTTGAACATTTCAAGTGTCTAAAATCATCTGGGTGAAAAAGCAATAAAGTGCAGTCATAAATGTAACTTTTTCGTGCATGAGATGGATGCAGTCTCTGCAGTGCTCCAAAGATTTATTTCCATTGATACCATAAATGCCTTTTTTTCATGTTGTGTCAAAGTATTCTTGCTTGTGTAGGCCTGAATTTGACTATGTATTAGAGTATAAGGACTGGGAGAGGAAGAGAATAGTGATTTCTCATCAAATTGTGAACTCTGTTCTGTGGAATCTCTCACCTCTCCAGCCCCTCATTTGAAAACACCACTTAACTTTAACACCACAGTGAATTTCCCTTTGAAAGATACAGCACGACACTGCACACTTGAGTGTTTTCTGTGTGATACAAAAAAAAAAGAAATTAGCATTTCTGCTGTAGATTTTATAAAGCCTCAAATAAATGTTTTTTGTGCCACCCTGTACTTGCATATTATGACTAGCCACTTTTTCATGCCATAAGGATAGCTGACTTTTTCTTCCCTGCAATGCTACCAACCATCCATAGTCAGAATTATTATTTAACTCTACAAAGCAAGGAAGATGTGTAACTCCTTCATTGCTTGTGGCAGACCCTTGGATAAGAACACCTATTCCAGCAGCTTCCATTCCCCTTCTCTTTGAAGTCTTACTCATTCCATGATGGCTCTCCTGGTAGGCTTACCCACAAATATTCAGGATTGATTGCAGATGTTTTGCTACTTTTTGAGATGCCTGGAAAGCTGAAACCTTATGTGCTTATATTTATGTTTCAATCAAAGGGACATGAAATCGGGAGCTTCAGTCATGGCAGGATCACCTTCAGTAGGCAAGATCCAGACTGCTGGGGCATCAATGAAGATAATGCATCCAGAGGATGATATATCTCTGGTGAGTTGGTATCCTGATTAGAAGAGAGTTAGACTCCTGACACGAATGTATAGGTACCAGTAGCTTGTGAGCTTCAAGCTGTGAGGGCAGGGGTGAACCTAAGCAGGTAGGTCAGTAACCAGGCAAAACAGGTGAGCTTGCTTTATGCTGTGGTGATTGCTAGATTCCAAAACATGCCTGTGGATGATTTTCATAGCTTTGTAATGTTGGCTACTGCAATGTTGGATGATTTGAAGTGCTGAAGGAAGGAATTGAAGGCCTACATTGAAATTGCACTATGGGCGGTATGTGTTGATTCAGGGCATGCTAGGAATCCTTCCTTCATCAATATCATGCCATGCCATTGCAATTTATTACAAAACTGCACTCTCTGTTCTCACTGGTGGATGGGACCAGTATTGTCTCTGCATAATATTTGCTTTCCCTCAATGCAACCAGTGTTTCCCTAGTGTAAATTTTCTTTTACTCCCTTGGTGTCACCTCCTTTGCCCATGGGTTGTAGAGGGAAACTGGGAAATTGGGGGAATGCCTCCTTTTTCTCTGACCTTTGCATCTCTAGCAGAATTGTTTTGTGTGTTTTCTCTGTGCCTCCCCCTCATCTCTCTCCTCACGGTGATATGGGTGCTCTGCCATCTCATACTGCCTGCACATTCTCTGTCAATAGGAGGAAAAACGGGCTCAAATGCCCAAATATCGCAGAGTCGACTGTTCCACATCTCCTCCGCCATTTGCGCTCATTCAGGTGAGAGTTAGGACCCTTTGCTGAGGAACAATGTTTGACCTAAGTGTATTGTGGAATGTGGAAAAAAGAATTAAAGTTCACGATGGTAACTATGATGTTCTAAACATGGAAAATATGGTTGGTTCTCTCTATTCACATAATGGAGGGTTAAAAGGTTGTCCATCCAAATGGTAAGGCAGATTTTGGCCATTTGCAGCTCTTAGTTTGAGTCTTTGCTGGCTCATTATTCCATTGTGTTTGGTTTGATTGATCAGTTGATGGATTGAATGGGTTAGTATTCCATTGAATGTCCTGATTTGCTTTCACTCAATATCCTGTTCCACTTTAGAGCACAGCTTAATTATTTCTCAGTCATTCTGAACAGACACTGTCTTGGCTAATTTTTTTCTCACATTATATGCATGAAAGTTTTCTGTGTTTCACTGTTTTGTGAGTTATACCTGAAATCTGTTTATTGACTGTTGTAGTCAGACTGCTTCAGTACAATTTTTAAAGAACCCAAGCAGTCTTAGTCCCAAGTTTTTATATTTTTTTTAGGACTTCAGTTGACTCTTGATTTGCATGAGAGTTCTTGTTGCAGAGCATGTGAGTTCTGCAATTCTCCTGTTCAGAGGATGCATTTTGTGACTACCTTTGCCAAGTTCCTTCAAAAATTTCTCCCCCCTTTTCAATCTGTTTTGATGGTGGATCCTTGTGTGAAGACACTTGAGAACCTTGAGTCACTTCAAATTCCTATTTTCCAATAGCATGGCACTGTTTAGGTTCCTGCTTAGTAGAATTCATATCTAAAACATGGTTTCCTGTAAAGCAGGCTACCCTGAATTTGCTTCCTCTTGTGACTTCCTTTTTCAGGCAGATACTTCTCTGCTTATGAAGTCTGTAGCACGTTTTTTCATTAGGGAGCATAAGGGGTCACCCAACCACTCTTAAGTCTCCATCTTAAAATTATTTTTCCAGAATGAAATTAACTCATTCATGAGGCTCTTATTGGAGGAAGTTCTCCTTTTCCATTACTGAATTCCCATCTTATAATTTGAATTTACTATGGCTTTGTTGCTACCCTTATGCTTACAAGCCTGTGCATTGCATCAGATTTCTGCAGGAAACCCTGTCTAAAACTTGGAGGAACCTGTTATTGCATGCATGATTGTAGTCAGAGTGATCAGGAAATAAGTAGAAGCTGTCAGGGTGAAGTTAGCCATGGGATGTAGCCTATGGAATGGGCAGAACAGCTCAGAAACAGTGAGTCTGAAAAATTGTACTCCAAACTTTGCTTCCCTGTAGTAGCTTGTCTCTTTGTTGTCTGTGTTATGTGTGTTATGTTCATGATGTGCCTGTTGGATGTGTGTATTTTAAGGAATTTACATGCATGAGTCACTGGCTGGTGAGCCTCAGCCCCTTTCAGCTGCAATCTAGTTTGTTGAGATTCTGACTTTTTTCAATGGATTATTCATCACTTCAAAGTTAGTCTCTTTTTATAGTGTATAAAAATCACATTGTGATACAAGGTATTTTATTTCATTTCTGAAATACATGTGCTTTTGAATGGTGAAATTGATGGGAGGGAGTTGTTCATGTGTGCCTGAACAGGAGGAGATGCGAGCTAGGCTCCCAAAGTATGCAGTGAAGCTGATCCCAGCTCCTCCCCAAATGTCCTGCGTGATCTCAGCTCCTCCCATGCCTCTCTCCACGGGGATGATGAATCCAGTGATGTCCATGGCAATGAGAACACCTATCACCAGTCCTGTGACTATTGCTGCCCCTCCTCTCCCTGCTGGCCTCTTCCCTATGAGGGGACCTCCTGTTGCCATGCATGGTATGTCCCCTTTTAGAACTTCTTCAATGGAAAATACTATTTTTTTGTTGCCGGAGATCCTTAACAACTTCCTGATCGTGTGGCTTCAACTTGATGGTTACTTACTATATGATTCCTTCAGCCAGTACAGTCATGCCCCTTCAGGTGGGGCTTCAGGCTCTCTTCTGTGACTTAGAGGAAAAATATGTAAAATTACATGTGCCTCTGGAAACATCACTTTGGCTATTTCATGGAGGTTTTTTTTGAGAAATGTAAAAATTTGTGTCAAGCATATTTTTTTTAGAGTTTTTCAGCCAGAAAAATTCTACCCTATTAACTAGATTCTAGATCTCTGTTCTGAAGAAGTAGTTAAGATATACCTTCAAGCATTTGTTTCCCATATTTTTTCTCCAAGGCCAAGTGTATAACTATGAGTGTGCATATACCATATTGCCAAAAGTATTGGAACTAACCTCCCTCTGCTGATAACAGATTGTCCCAGAGATCATGTGCATTGCAGTAGTGCAATGGTATATAAAGGCAATCTGTTACAGTCACTGTTAGCCAGTATGGAGCATGGATTGGAGTACAGGGTCATATCAGAGGTACAGGGTACCTGTGATATGATGACCACCATTTCACATTCAAACTCTGTCAGCTCAGATCCACATGCCATTCTGGCAAACACTGACAGACAGTTAGCAGACTACCATTATATACCATTGGTCTACTGTAATGCACATGACCTCTGGGACAATCTGTTATTGGCAGAGAAAGGCTTGTCCCAATACTTTTGGTAATATAGTATATTTACAATCCTCATTGTTTTCTTGTTGTATTCTTGAAACTGCCCATAGTCAATTCAAAAAAATTCATTTGGTAATTGTTGCATTTTCTAATGATCCTATCAATTAAAAATACCTGTCTGGCTTTTCCTTTTGCTGTGTTCTCATGGAATGCTGTATTATAGTGGAAGATGGATTGTGTTTGGGAAAACTTTGATGCAATGTGATACAGAGCCTTTGTCTTTTTAAAACTTTTCAACCAGATCCCTCCTCAAGAACATTTTACGTTAAAAAAATTCAATAGAATGTCATATTTCCTTGTAAGAAAGCCCCCTGACCTTTCTTATTATCTTGGTTGTTCTCTATTGCACCCCATCAATTGATTTCATGTTCCTCCTTACAGATCAATGCTAGACGGGGGAAAATATTAGTAAGAATAATCTGACCAATCCTTTATATTTGCAACATTAAAACAACTGCTATGCCTCCTGTGACTAAACTACACTTCAGGTATCCTACAATTCATTTGCACTTTGTTGCACAACCATTGACATATTAATGAAACTTGTGAGTCTCAATACATTATGAAATCCAAGTCCCTTTCATTCTCCTAACATAACTAAGGAAGCTGTTGAAATCTTTTCATTTTAAAATGTAAAATATAATACTTTTGTTGACTCATTGAGCATTTCTTACTCAATTCTCCAAATGAAGGTGTTTCACTGTTTTTTGCTTCTTGCTTTTCTTTCAAATTAGCTACCAAAGTATCCCACTGATGAGTCAAGGTCATAGCTCTTATTCCTTGAATAGGAAAATGAGGGTTTTTGATACATGAGTCAAGCTGGAATAAATGTAAAGTGATGTTTGACAATTGTGTGTAGAAGTAGCAGGTGCAGCTAGTGCATATTAGGGTTTGCTCACTTCACCAGAGCCTTTTGTCTTCACTCAGAATACAGACAGAATACAAATTCTCCCCTCCCTGTAGGAAGATGCTTTGCACAAATATTTCAAATAACTCTGACTTGTTCAGGGCTTTCTCTTGTGTATGATATGCACCAAATTAAACCAACATCACGATGGACATTGTTCTTATGCAACAGAGTAAAGCTTTGGGGGGGGGGTATAGTCTTTGTCCTGCCCTGGAAGTGTCAGATCTCTACCCTGAGCTAGCTTTCAACAGGCAGTGAGGTGGGACCAGCTGCAGTGATCTGCACTGATCTGTTAAGGTTTTGGGGGGATGGGGGACAACCTTGAGTGTGGAGAAAATCCAAATCTGTCTCACCCTAATCCTTCCATAGTTTCCTTCCAGGCAGCATGCCTCACCTGAGGCAGGTCCATGCCTGGAAGTCTTTCTGTTCTCATCTTGTATCATTGCTCATCCTCTGAAGTAACATGGTATATCTAAATATCTAAATTACTCCCAGGCAGTGTAGGAAAAATATATATTTTTCCTGTGAACCCGAGCCAACAAATTGGAATTTCATGGGAAGGATGTGCAAGCGGACTAAGCAGGCTGCCTGCCCGCACATCTCCATTCCCGCGAACCTTGTTTTCAGGTTCGCAAGGGTTTTCCTAGCCTGCTCCCAGTTTAGGGTGAATAGACTATAATTAGTTATTCCACCTACTAGTGAGACAGTTACTTTGCTGTTTTGCACATCAAGGGCATCTGAGGTGCCTTTGTTTTCTGACTTGAAACCTCTGTCAATCTAACAGTTACTGTTTGATTATTCTCATTGCAGGAATGCACATGCCAGGAATGCCATTCCCAGCTGGTCCTGCCTTCCCTGTCATGGGAAACATGATGGCCCCAATGTTTCCAGCAAGGTTCAGATGAGTAGTTCAACCAACTGTAGCTCTCTTGAAGATAAGTGTCCACCTTTCCCATCTTGTCCCTTCCTTCTCCCTCCCTTCTCCCTCCCTCATTTTCCTCACCACAAATTATTGTTTGACCTCCATGGTGATTCTTGCATTGCATTGTGTAATGGAAACCTGGGTCTGGAAAGGTGGGTGGAATCAAACAGGTTGGGGCAAAAATATGCTAATTTACCTACAGTACTCAAGTTCTCAAACCTGCATTAATAATATAAAAAAACAGCATTCCTTTCTATCAGGCAAGAAGTAATCCCTACACACTTAAAGTTAGCCTGTAAGAGGAAGCAAGGAATAGAAAATAATAGTTGAATGCACTTAATAGTCATGCCACTGGATTGATATCACAAAATTTCCCATGCAGTTAGCATGTTATTGCACCAAGCCTGTTGATTTTGAACCTGATAATTTTGGTGTTGCTGCAAAGCATCAAACCACCATTGTAAGGTATGCCCATGAGTCTTTGTGCTACTCTGGCATTCATCCTGGACTTATTTCTTGCATCTCTTGGTTCCTGTGAGTGTTTTTCTGCTATATGCAGAGCATTTATCTAAATCTCTGGTTTTTTGTATTGTAACCAGTCCATGCCTCTGTACAGTTGGCAGGTAAGATAAAAAAAAAGGTTTTTCAGTGATGTAAGGTATTTGTATTGTGTAGGTTATACAGATGTATTGGGGATGATGTCAGGAGAAGTTTTAGCTAAGCAAGGGAGGGAGAGGTAAGGTTAACCTTTATGTTTGCTTTCATTCTCACTTCTGGAATCTGATGAGAAAATGAGTCAACAGGTGAGAGCTATTCTGTGCCCTATTATTCATCTTATGGCTTTGGTATCATCATAACCCTGTGGGATGAAGGTTTGCCCTCTATGCACATACTCTTATGTCTAATACCAATACAAAACTTGGGGACCATGTCAGGTGAGCCCATGGAGGGGTTTCGCAGTTTTTGAACACTGCTGGGTACGCTCTGCATATCCCCAGCTTCATGTTGCTGAAGTCTGGTGAAACGTCCTCCATCCGTTGTGTCCACTAGCCTCAGCTTCGCAGAGGAATTAATGCAGAAGAGAATTGGGGCTGACCCTGTGGTATCTGCATTTTTTTTCAGTCTTGAAAGGAGATCTGCTGGAGGCCTCTGAGTAACATTCCTCTATAGGAGAATGGAAGTATAAGCCGTATGTTCCTCTGTTTTTGTATCTTGCTCATGTCACAGCACCCCTCTTTTCTTTCCTGATGTACTGGCGAAAAAATATTCGTAATTCTTTCCAATTTGTGGAGGAACTTTGTTAATTTCATGTAGTGGTATGGTCAAAACTTGCAAGGAACATAATTAGATTACTTCATTGTGTCATTCACAGTTTCAAAGTGTGAAAGGGGTTTCAAATAAAAGGCATAAGAGTGAGGGGTTGCTGTTGGACCATTTTAGGTCCCCAGGATCATTTTGACCTCTGGTGACATGAGTTGCAAAATGGGAAAAGAATAATGCACATCCTCTCTTGCAACTCTTTGCTTTTCATCTCTGTCTATGCTCAGTATGATCCTCTTTTTTTTTATCAGCAGCTTCTTTTGAAAATAGGGTGGACTGATATCTGTTTCTGGATTTTTGTCCATCAATCCCAGGGTTTCTCACCTAAGAGTCTTTGATTCCCTTTTGTAAAGGTATTTGCATAATGTTATGACTTGCCAGGAATGGCATTGTGTGTTATCTTTCATTCCCCTTAGGTTGGCCTGTTACATTTTTCCCTTTTCATGTCTGAAAAGACCCTTCTGAACAATAAAGCAAGTACTTAAAGATGTGTGATGTTTACCTTTCTGAACTCGGAAAAAATTATCTCCAGTAACATGTTGAGTGGAGGATATGGCTTCCTTGTTTTTGAATGGTAACCAAGAGATGGAATATGTCCATGGAGGAGGCCAAAAGAAAGATGGAGCGATGAAATTAATTTCAAGGAATCATGATTGGAGTTGCTCTGATAGGTTGAATTGACAATTATGTGGGGTATTTTTTTCCAGCAATAAACAAAGGACTGACGTGAACATTGTTGAGCTTTGGAAAAGAATATTTACTTCCTTATGGTTATTAATAAAAAAGTATCCTGCTGCCCCACCGCTTCCCCAAATGTGGGCAACGTCCACTGTGCCTTATTTACTAGAGGAACTTGGGGAAGGAAGTGAAGTAATAAAACAGGAGCCACCTCATTGCTTATAGTTGAAACACAGCAACACCACAAAATTAGCGATTTTATTTGTCGGTCAGGGCTCGCTGGGCTTTCAGACCATCATTTATGATTAGGGTTGTACCGGCGTATCAGCTGTCACCTGTGTTACACCATTGGCAGTTGACAGGGTAGCAAGATGCTGATGCCCAAAGGACGGACAAAATAAAAATAAAAATTACTTGTGAGCATGGCTAGGCGCCAGCCCTCCTGCCTCGCTAAAAGCCACTCCTGCCGGCCTCTTCCAGACAAAAATATTGATTGGATTATATTGCATCCCCATACTTCATTCTCACTGTTACTGTTATCAGCGTGGCTATGGCATCCTGTTCTCAGCCCAAGTCGAAGAACAGCCCCATATGGGGCTGTTCACCCTCCAAGTGACATGTTAATAAAGGTCCCTGCCGGACCTGTGGTACTTAGAATCTCCTCAGTCGTTTGAAAACGCATGAAATACCCTTCATAGAGTATCGACGGAAATTCAAGGAGCGTGATGAGTCAGCTGCAGTTCAGAAGAACTCTCTCTATCAAGGACTCTTTCCTTCGTGAGACGAAGCATCCTAGATATTACCCAAGAGCGAAAACGATTGTGCAAATGAGGAACTGAAAAGTCTGGACACTCAGCCTTGAGGTGAAATGTTTTTCCTACACAACGGTCATTGGTCAGAGACTCTTCTCAGCTCCTCGTGCCACTGTATATCAAATGCATTCGAACCCCACTCCGCTGTCTTGAATGTGCTCCCTCGCCCCTTGAAAGGATCACATACTGGCGAGAAAGTTGGGGAATACCGAGGGAGAAGGTTTATATGGTCGTCAGACGACGCCAGGAATATGGAGAAAGGGTTGAAAGATGCTTCGATCCCGCCTCTATCGTGTTTCGCTCACACTGTGCAGTTGGTCATAAATAGGACTGTACCGATGGCCACATTAGGCCGTCGAGTTCGAGGCAAGAATCGAGTTCGTTAAGTTTCTCCTCGTCCAATCAATGAAACCGAATCATTGCTACAATCCGACATGAAATCGACATCTTGTGTGCCGTAGACGTCACTTATGCCTCCCGGTAGAGCATTCTTCGACAGGAGTGAGGCCTCGATTGAATCTTCGAGAGGCCTTAGAGCGAGTGAACTTCGTTTTAACCTTGAACTTTTGTGCCAACCGGTGCCCTCTTCCATGTCCATAAAATCTCTTCTTTTACAGGGTGCGCCATAAGTCTTTTGACAAAATGTACCAAGACCGTAAATATAATGTACATACAGCAAAGACTTAGTACTTTGTAATTTGGTAGTTCCTTATCAGTGCTGCACATAGCTGCATTGGAGAAGCCTTGTGAGACGCATCATTCATTTTTTTTAGAATGCCACCTGATATACGACGTTTGATTGTTAGCGCAAATGAACGAGGTGACACCCAAGTAAAGCTGTATCATGCCTTGCAGCATTTCACGGCAATTTATACCTTACACTATTAAATGCCGAAGGGAATGTGGCTGTATCACTGACAGACCCAGAACGGGAAGGCCTCGTTCCGTTCACACTCCACAGCTTGTTCAGAGTAAAAGCGAATTGTGAGAAATTGCCGACATTCTGCCAGAAAGATGGCTCGGGACGTGCACACATCATGCACAACTCTAAGGCGAGTGCTCAATGAAGATCTTGGCCTACGTGCACACAAGATACGACGTGTCCATGGACTGACAGCTGTGCAACAGGCTGCCAGACTTCGTTGCAAAAGACTCCGGCGTTTCACTATCCAGAGTGCAATCCATCGTATTTTCAGATGAGAAAATCTTCCATGTGAAAGAGCAGCTGAAATGATCGAGTCTATGCCTTGTCAGTAGAGGATATTCCCCAGTCAGCAAGGAACGTACGCTGCTTGACTTTCAGTCAAGCAGCAGCATCATGGTGTAGGCCATGTCAGCAGAAGGCAAAATTTCCATTTGTCTTCATTTCACCTGGCGTCAAAGTAAACAAATAATACTACAGACAGGAGATTCTGCTGAAGATTGTGAAGCCGACAGGGGAGCAAATGTTCAAAAGCCGGAGGTGGACATTCAAGCAGAATCCAGCAAGATTCTGCACCTTCCCACTGCAAAAAAATCAACCAAGCCTGGTGCGAAGAAAATCTTTCCAGATTTCATCAACTCATCAGAATGACCATCCTCATCGCCAGACTTAAACCCCATAGATATTCCATTTGGGGGACATTACAAGCCAGGATCAACGTTAACTGTCATACAAGTTTGGACTCTCTCAAATGCGCCATCTTGCGAGAGTGGAAGAAACTTCCAATGGATTCTGTTCGTCCAGTCAGATTCTTGGCGTCTGAGACTGAAAGCCTGTGTGGATGCAGGAGGTGGATGATTCGAATGAGACTTTGCCACTTTGCTTGCTTTGCAGTAGTGAATCATGTGACTAAGTTCTAGAAATAAATTTTGTTCTGTTGTTATGCTGTCATCATTATAATTTTGTTAAAAGACTTATGGCGAACCCTGTAGATGTATGCCTCTATGAATATCCACCAAAAATTTCCTCCAGTAACTGAAGTCCAGTGTTTTCGGAATGCTTTTCGACGCTTCTACGTGGGAAGTGGCGCTACTCTCGGATTCGCCCAAGTGAAATGATTTGAAGCTATAGCTTAGATATGCCCAGGGCCGCCCAGAGGGGAGGGGGGGCAATTGGGGCAATCTGCCCCGGGCCCCTGGAAACCTCTGTCAAAGGTCTGCTGCCACTTCAACAGCCACAGCCGCTTCTTCCTATCGTTGCATTACGTCATCTGTCCTTCGACGAAGGAAATGTCAGTTTCCCCGTCTGTTGGTAGGGTCATGGAATATAACGAACACCCTTTTATGGATTTAAACAAGATATAATATTATTTCTAAAAAAAAACCTGTGCAGCATGAAGTCCACATAGCAGCCTACGCCTCTTCCACGCCTTTTATGGCTGAATCGACAGGCAGCATCGACATCAGTGACAGGCGTAGGCCTTTTAGAGATAGCGGCGTTTCTAAATTGATGTGCACGAGTACCTAAAAACTAAAAGGCGATTTGCTCTTCAAACCTCGTATTAATAAATATGACTTGAGAATCCAACTCTGGTATATCTAATAGAGGCTTAAGATTCAAATTTCAACTACTTAGAATAAAATCCCAAAATGACATGAAACCCTCCGTGGCGCTTTACACTGTTTCCAGATTTAATTCGTACCCCCTATAGTAGTGATGCAAATCTTCAGGAAGTAGCGCTCTCTCCGTTCTCCATTACCAGGGGGGGGGGAGGGGAAACGAATTCAATTCAATAACTATAAAATATATTACATAATCCTGAACACATGAAAAATACATGGGAAGTCTTCTGATGCAATAGTAGCGTTTTGAGTTCGATTGGAAGCGACAAAAAATCACAGACGCGATCGAGTTACTCTTGCTGATGTGCAAACGTAAATGCGATGGTATATCCCGCACTATAGTCACTGCAAGACATCCATGAAAATATTTACTTCACAGCCTATTTAGTATTATATTTTCCCATTCAGATGCATTTTTCACTTGTAAATGAAAGCTTCATAAGACATGCAGAATACGAACGTCTACGCCTACAAGCGGGATTTGACAGAAGTGGAGAGAGGGACGTAAAAGCTTAAAAAATTCACGTCCAGCTTCGAAGCAATGAGGTGTCCTCATTGCTTCGTTGTTGCACCATTTGCGTCCACGATACTTTTATGTTTGAGGAGTTTTTAGATGAAATCGGGAACATCTTGAGATCTTGAGTACATAAAAAATAAAGCAAAAACATTTTCGTTGTTTAAAGATAGGGGTTCGAAGCTCATACTAAATGCAACATGTAGACATGAGAGAATTTATGCTCGTCACATTATTTATGGCGTCAGCTGAAAGCATTCTATACCCATGTACAGTGGGCGGTAAGAGGATTTCTGGACGAGATGAAATTAAAAAAATGAACAGCCGATCCTCCTCACGAGAGACAACCGGTGGCTTCATATAGAAACCAGTCTCGAATGGCCTCCCAATTCCTTTTTTCATACGTCGGACCTGGTAATTATTATATTCCGCATTTAATATTTCTGGCACGCGATTTATGAATGCTTATTCCTTCACGTTCCTCGTCCCCAGGAGTGCTGCTTATAGTGAGAGGTGGTTTCGTTTCCTTTCGCCCTTCAATCCCTTTTCTGGTGAATTCCATAAAAGGCTCATACCTGTCATGGTATCCCTCTCGCACGTATTCGGACGACTTACACTGTTTTCGGATTGTATTCGCACTCTCCCCCTCCCCCCCATTCCATTGATTGCAGGTCTTTCACATCGGTGGTTACGCACCTGATGAAGCGGAGCCTCTGAAGTTGTTTTCTCCGTTCTCCACTCTAGATGGGGAGGGGGGGGGTTTAAAGTCAATCCGAAAACAGTGTACTTCATTCCACGCTTCCTTGATTCCACAATTCCAACAAGCGATTTGACGATCTGAATTCTTCGCTGCCGCGGGCAGACCATTAGACTCGAACGTGTAAAAGATTTCTGAGAAGATACCCCGAGAATGATACAGATCGTAGCTTCGATCGGGACCTTTTATTGTATTGTAAGCCGTCTTTTGCCGTCTTGCTTTTTCTACTTCTTGTTGAAGGACGAGTCCGTCGATGAACATTACGAATGGGACAGAAACACAGAATGATGCATCGGAGAGGATCCACGACGCCAACACGCGATAATGAGAACTCCTAATTCGAGAAGTGAAGGCTTCATTGAGATTCTGACCACGGACCCAACAGATCCCTTCGATAAGTCAGAGATATGAAATGAAAAAAAAAGTTAAAATAATCACGAGGCGGGGCTTGTAAGGAAGGAGGCGATGTGGGCGGAGTCTGAACCTCGCCCAGACCAAGGGGTTTTTCCCTCCCCCTTAGTTTCCCTACATCTTTAGACCTATTCCTATAATGGGGGATGGTGTGACATCCGAGAACTTTCTCCAAATATTGGACTTCCATTTTGCCCCGGCTCTATCCAGGCGAGTCTTTTTTTTTTTCCCCCTGGATATACGCGGGGGTACATTCGATATCGGCCGTTCCTCCCATCAGTGTCCTTCCTGCCTGGCCCTCATTTCCGGCCCATCTCCATGTCCATGCTCCCGGGTCTCTCTCGAGGTGAGTTCCACAGAATTAGGAAATTCGGGCATTCGCCTAGAGACTTCTCGGATAGCGCCGGTGTCGGACAGTTTCGGTGGTTCGTTCCCGATTTAGTACGGTGCGAGAAGCGACCAGAGTCGGTCTTAAAACCCCGGATTGATTTCTCCTTGTGGACTTAACGTCTGAGTGGAGCGGGACTCGCTTGGTAAATCTGGGTGGCGTCGTGAATTCGGATCGAAATTGCTCCGGCTTTCTGCTCAATTTGTACAAACTCGATTCGGAAAAGTAGAGGATGGATTTTCGTTAAAGTAAGAAGCGAATCGGAATTCACCGTATTGGGAGGTAAAGACGCAGTGGGTTGTAGTGTTGCTGGGTGATCGGCGCTCGTCCTCCAGTGAGCAGGGGACAGCGGACTCGGGCGTATTCGATTCTTCTCATTTCGCATTCAGTGCCAGTACTGTGCTAATGAGCGGGAAATTCTTGTGAATCTGAGATATAGAAATAGTTTGAAATGTGCAAGGGCGAAGGCTATTTCTAACTCTATGAGAAGAACTCTATGAGGATCAATTAGTTTTCATTGCCACAGTTTTTATCATACATATATTACAGAATATGAATCAATCGAAGAGACTTGAATGAGGAACATGATTCGGTCCCATAGAGGTTACATTCGCTGTTCTTTTCGTTGCGAGGAAATTTGTCGGAAGTTCGAATGTCAACGTTGGAACTTTGTTTCTCTCTCATCCGAATGCCGTTGACGTTGAAAGTCACTTTCTCGATAATGCGGTCTTACACCTCCGCGAAAAGAGATATTTTGTGCAAAGTCTCGAGACCATGTTGGAAGGCTTAATGAAGCAAGTTCCTTTCTCGAATAGCGTGTGTCTTCTCTTCATGTCCGTGATGTGACAGGTGATTACCCTAGCTGAGTGATTTCCATCGTCTTCTTAAGAGGTAAATTTATTTAGGATCTAACGTAACGAAATCTCTATGCAGTAGATTTCATAGCGGAAGGAAAAGCACTTTAGCTCTCTTCCCGATTCATTTTCTATGCAGAAGCACCTGCAGGGGACTACGAGATAAAAGATTGTGAGCATCAAAGAAGATGACGTCAACCCGCGAATCTCCCCATCGCGCTGTAACCAGACGAAGCTCGGACTCTCCACTCCCTCCTTCGCCCCGCTGAAGAACCCTCAGAGACATCGGAACACCGGAAGAATGGGGGGATGCGAGGCCAGGGAAGGCGAGGCTGGGGGTCACTTGCCAGCGTCTCTCCTCCGGGCGAGGTGGCATTCGAGATTCTCTCTCTTGGACGTGGGTTATGAATCGTGATGAAGTCGTGGCTTCGCAAGACGTGATGGTGAGTTTCAAAGAAGCATATGACAATGAAAGAAATTATTTGTTCTGCAATTGAAAAGATTTTCGTATTTAAAAAAAGGAATATTGTCGACAAAATTTGAATTCAATGAAATTTCACTGGGCGAGGAAATCAATGTGACAAGATCACAAATGTTGCAGTCTCGTTCGAATAAAGTCTCTTTGGGCGATATTTTAGTTTTTAATATCCCCGGAAGAGACTCCAATTAAAAATTAATCTTTTAATGTAATTTTTTTAATTAGTAATTTTATGGATCACGGATTTTCCCGAAGGAATTTTCTCATCGAGTCTCCTGCACGTAATTGTACGGCAACCAAACCATCAATCAATGGACGAGAGGAGGAAAAGAAGGAATCAGGAGCAAAGTGTGGACCAAGGGGAATCAGCTGCATTTGCACAAATTCTCAGCGGAAACCCCCAGATCCATCTTCGGAATATAGTGGACCCTCGTCCATCGATCCCTGAAAGGAGTCGCTCCATTATTTCCGTTAATGTTTTTTCGTCGGTCCACTTTCTCTTTAAAGGCGAGTTTCCCGGTTCGTAACGAACCCGACGTGGATCGGAAAGGAAACGAGTGAAAGAGATCCAGTTCGGTTATCACCTCGACGAAAACCGTCATAAAATCGATCGCGTCTACCGATAGTGCGGGTTCAAGTGAACGTTGAGAAGATTTCCTCGAGTCCTATTCCCGGTCCACAGGAAAATGAACCACCATCTGTTTCATCCATTAATAATTGAGACGTGAAGATCGGTTGAAGTTGAAGAATGGTGAGTTCCGGGATTCATTTCAGGTGTTTGTCGAATCAGAGCTTCCGAGACTCTCATTTATTTTACTGGGAATTTTTTTTATGAAAGAAAAATTTCCAAAACCAAATATGTGCCAACTTTATCGCATTGAAGCGAGTCGCGATGAACATGCGTCGTTTTGAAAACTTGTTTGTATTTGTGGCATCAAAAAAGTGCAGTATTCTTAAGTATTCAATCAATTTCTATGTCTAATATTTTTAGTATATTTTCAACTAATAGCTTCACACTGACCTGCAGATCCCAGAGATAGCACGAAGAGTCTAAAATTTGCTTCCCCAAACTCGCCACCGAAAAGGCGTAGTTAGTCTGTTACGCATGGCACGTCATCTTGAGAGAAAATGACACCAAATCCAACGAATTCATGCATCCATCGAATGAAATTCCGTTGTCAGGTGAAAGCTAGAACACGGATGATCAGAGTTTCATCCTCGATAATCCGATCGAGAATGCATAGAGCGGTTCCCTGTCAAAATTAAACGACGAGAGCCATCATATAATCTAATTATATGATACAGAGGAAAGGATAGTGGCACTATATTTATTGTTAAATTTATTTACGTGCGTAAAGATTTCTGGGATTTGTTTTTAATTTTCCGCGAGATTGGGACGTACTGGGGGCAGCTGAGCATCCACGAATCAAACATTCTCGCGTTGGACCCCAAAACAGGCGCCGTAAGGTGGCACTTAAGGGCACATGGACCACCTGTGCCAGTGACCCGCGTGGGACGCCGAGTGACGCGCCGATGCGGCGGGAGGGGATGAGGAATCGTAAGACGATGAGGGTGTCATGTTGTCCCTCTTGGTCCCCGATCGACCACCCCTGCCGAAATTCCAAAGAAAAAAAACTAGGAATGCGCCTCACCTTTGTCGGTTTTTCCCCCCAGTTAGTTTCAGCTTAAAAGATCGGAAATGGTATTTTTTTTTTTAGGATGTGATGTTGCACACTAAGAAAAAAAAGTTATGAGGGAAGGATGGACCAAATGGATTTCTCCAAGGTCCTCGCCCGCATTGCTGCGATGCTGCTCCTGATGCTGTTGCGATGCTGCATCTGATGCAGGTGCATTCACCATCGCTCATCGTTGCTCTCGGGTTCGGCTCCTTCCTCCGCGCTAAAATAACTCCATTATTGATCCTCGGAGAAAGGAGATTTCCGTTTCTGATCTGCTCATACAGCCATGAAGCGAAATTTGTGGGGATCGTGGAATCACGTCGAACCCAAATTTATCGGAAGAGAATTTCAGAGATTTTCAACGTTTGCAGAGGCTTTTTCATCAAAAACTCATTTGCGGGGCCGACTTCGCACGCGGAGTCCTTCGTTACCGGAACCGGAAAATCACTTGGGACGATGCGAACGCGCTCGACGTGTGACACCACACGGGCCTGATTTTTCCGTCCTTTAGTTTAGAGGAATGCAACTTGCAACAATTTGAAGGGGGTGACGGTCGGTTAAGGAACAAATTGAAGGAGATGGCGGTCGGTTGAGGAACAGGTGAGACGCCGCAACAGAAAGCCGAGAATCTGCTCCATTCTCATTTCGTATTTTTTTCTTCCATTCCCCCCCCTTTCTATTTTCATTGTTGTATTCAATGTACCTTCACCACGCTCTGGTACACGTTTGGAACGCCGGCAGTCGTCACCGATGCTCGCATTTGGCTCCATGGGAATTTTTTTTTCTGGATATCGATTATCCTCCACCGAAAATGGGAAGAATTTCCATATTCTTGAAGATGGCAGCATGAAACGGGCAGAAGGACTCGATTATAGTTGATTCCATTCGGAGGCGAGAATCGCGGCTTGGAACCACTTTTCTCCTATGACTCTCGTCGATGAAACCATCCCCGAGAGATCATAAAGAATTCGGTTAAACTCCGTTTGGGAGAGACCAAAAGGCCCAAATGACGGCGATGAGTTGTCGCCCTGGCGACAATGATTGCAACAACTAGGATAGGTCATTGGTCGCAGCATCTCGCGGTTTCATCCCTGCATGCAGTGAGAAGGGAAGCTGGCAACAGATATTATATCGATCCCCTAGCTATGTCATGCAATGAGACGAGATAGGGAGAGGGGGAAAAAAATCTATAATGAGAGAAGTTGTCGGACTGGTCTCGGAGATCTCCCCAATTAAGAAGGAAGGAGGGAGAAGAAAAAGCGATATCACTGAGGTCAGAAGGGCGAAGACCTTCACCGTCTCTCGCACACATGGCCGTCTCCCCCGGTGATGCTTCGTGCCGGTGCGGGGATCGCCGCGTGGATGAGGGGGAGCTGGTGGCCGAGGGGATGAGTTTCTCGTCTTCCTTGCTCGGTTGGTCTTTGGTTGCTGGTGTCATGCGGGATTTGGTGGGGGTGGGTCACCCAGCAGACTCTACCGGGACTGTCAGAAAAATCATAGGTTAATTTTGGTGAGATAATTCTTTTTCAAGTTCTTCATCGCGTCCGGTGATCACGACGCAATGCATCGAGGCTCGTGCACTTCAGCAATGGCTGTCCAAGCGAGAAAAACGGAAAGAGCGAAGCGGCTGACGAGGATATTGGATCGGGACAAGGCAGCTTCTGCCTTCGTTTCCCGCTTATACCGGCGGGTGCGTTCGAGGGTGTGACGTCATGCAACCAGCCACGAACGGACTCACGTCCCGCTGGCCGCGGCTGCCCACGTGAAGGGACGATTCAACCAGCTCAACTTCATCGACTTCTTTCCTTTTCAAATCCTCTTCCCTTTCTTCGAGGTAAACGAAGCCTCGGAAATTTTCAGGTAAAGTGGAAGACTTCGTGGATATCTGAGATTTTTTCAGGCGGTCACTTTCCTCGTATCACTAGAGAACTGATGCAGACTGCATTAAATTGGAACAGTCCCCTTATGCAATGGTGTTTTCACCTTTTCATGAATTTAGTCAGCCTCAAGATCAGACTTTCAGCCAAGTCAATCCAGGATGGCTTGGCTAGGTTGCAATTACAACGCAAAAAGGACTGAGAAATCAATGTGAGTGTCGTTTTCTAGCGCACTCTTATATCTGAATCAGGTGTTGCAGTGCATTATCAGTAAGTGTGAATTCATCTTGCCTTATAAGACGAGACGGTTGAAAAAAAGAAGTCGTGACTGAAGTCTATTTCGAGGTTCTTGCTCTACTGCTAGTTCGTAGAGATTATATCCAGGAGCATCCAATCTCCTCATACAGAGGCAGTAGCTTCTTTTTAAAAGTTGGAATGTACCGGTCAAATCTTCTAGCATTCACGACCAGTGAGAAATCAGAGAAAACTATACTGGTAATGCTCAGAGGAATCGCTCAAACAATACGCAAAGATGGTTATAATTAGGAAAATAATCTGTGACCAAAAAAGGAACGGTATTCAATTATGAAGGATAGAAGTAGAAAACCAATTATTTCAAAAAGTAGAAGTTTAATAGAATCATGATTCGAAATCTCTTCCTTGCAGGCAGTCGGTTTGGTTGAGGGAGACAGAAAGGATAGAGAGAAGGCAAGATGTTGGCATAGCTGAGTAGAATTTTTCTTGCCTGAATCCAGCTGTCCTTCATCTTGCCATCTTACCTCATCCTAATCTCACCCATACTCTTCATCACTCATGTCATTCTTCGACTTTCCCCATTAGGATCTCCACATTTCAAGGTGAGTGACTCAATTGCCTCTGGACTCTTCTTATCAAGTGGCCAGCAGCTCTGGCAACCAAACTCCGGTCGAGTTTTTTTTCACATCACAGTAAGAAAGAAGAAATAAAAAACCTCATCTTGTCCGATCTCAAATTCTCTTTTATTTCAAAGGAGATGGAAGTCCAAGGATACTTAATGATATGATCTTTTCTCGATTGAGAACGATCCAAACATTTGCATTTGCTACACTGAGATAACTTCAAACACTGTTACTGACAAGAAGCATATGTGAACCACCTCATCACAAGCACTGAGATTCAAGCAGCTCCATGTGAACACCAACCACAGAATATGAGAATGCAGCTAAAATTTAATAATTGCTCTGCAATGCATGCACAGCTTGTACCTTATCAGAGCATGCAATGTATGGATTTCAGGGTCACAGGCAATATCACAATGCAAAGATCCCTAAAGCTCTGTCATTAACTTCCAACATGAAATCTCTTTCCAAATGGAAACTGCATCATTCCTGAAACCCTAATTAAGAAAAGTCTCTGACAAGGAGAAGGGAAGAAGTGGGTCTTGGCACAAGAAAAATCACTAGGAAGCTATCTCACCGGCATATATCTTTACTTCCATCATCTCTATCAAAAGTTTAACCTATCTGCATATACCTGTATGCACATATGCAAATTTCAGTACAAACAATACAGAGGTCACAGCAGAAACATTCTATATAAATGAGATCAAGTACCAAAATATGTGAAGTATCTCCATAACTTGACTTGTTCTGCTAACTCTAATATCAGATAATATAACAAAAGGAGATGAATGGTTAGAGGATCCAGTGGCTGTAGGTGGAAGTCACTGAAAGGACGTTGGCCCAAGGTGGGAAGTGCTTGAGGAAGGAGGTGAAGTTGCCAGAGTGGGCATGTGGAAGGTGGAGGTAATGCCCATTTGTCACCACCTCCATGACTGGGAACTCCAGTTGGCTTTCATCCCCCTTCTCCACCTAATTCAAAATTTCATCAAGCACAATGCCTACATCAAATTCGGAAGCATGGCTAAAAAACAGGATTTTTCAGCACTTTATGGACCAAGAAGGATACTATATTTACTCATAAGATGGCTTATTATTGCTTGTGCGCAAATCATTCCCTTATCACAATATAGGCCCTAACATCATTAAGTTCATATCTTCAAATCTGCATCAGAATCCATCTCCATGTTTCCCAATGAGACTAATGAGTCAAAGCATAGTTTCATCCACATAAGGCTTACAACAAATATATTTTCAAAGGGCAATGAGTAAATTCTGTTATAAATATAGTCGAACTTGGTTATAATGACCTCGGTTATAACGACGAAACGCGCCAGGTCCCAGCGTAGAGCCCATAAGGCACGTTACATTTTACCTCGGTTATAGCAAACTCGGGTATAACGAGAACCTCGGTTATAACGAAGTCCATTGAAGGTCCCAGTGAGAAATTGACAACGTTAACGTCCCTAATCCGTCATTCTTAACTGGAATTCCCACAATAGGAAAAATGAACGTTGGCGAGCCATAACGTTATCTTTTCTGGAATCGGCATTCCTTGAGAGTCAGAGCATGTGACAGGATGGTGAAGGAGGGATTATCCCTAGTAACTAAGATCATCTTATCTTCAGTTGCCATTACATTTCTCGTTGACAACATGGCCAGTGGAAAGCGAAAGAGGCAAGCCTTCATGATTGAAAGGAAAGTGTGCATGATTAATTTATTAGAAAGTGCTCGAAGTAAAGTCCAAGTCCCCTTCGAAAAACATGGACATCTGTTCATCTGTTTCCACAATTTGGGAAAATCGTGACAGCTTCATCCGTGCTTACAAGAACATGTCACAAAACAAGAAACTTCGTAAATCTGTCGAGATGACATTGACGAGGCCTTTCTAAAGTATAAAGTAGTTCAAGGTCCAAAGAAGTGCGAACATTACGATTAGCGGGTCAATCCTGAAACTGAAGCTAGTGTGGCATTACCGATGTGCACTAGAGTTGTAACGTTATATAGCATTATACAGGGTGACACAAAAGTTCTGTACACTTTAAAAAACTGTTCTCGATTCTAAGCTACCACGTTCATATATGCTTGGCTTGGTTTCTACACGTAGCTTAAGGTACGCGCGACTTAGGGGATTCTCACGTGTGGAGCATCTTGGAGAGCAAAGCCTGTGCTACTCCCCATGCATCTCTCGAATCCCTGAAGCGTGCCCTTCAAACGGAATGGATCAAAATCCCCCAGGAAACCCTGCGTGCCGCAGTCGATGCATTCCGAAAGAGACTTCGCGATTGTGTTACAGCAAAAGGTGGTCATTTTGAATGAATTTGCGGGCATTATCTGTTGAAATGGTTGTAGTTTCTAATAGCGTTGTCCCCATTTGTGAGTTCTTTAAAAATGGTTTTAAAAAGTTGAGATAACCGAGTGTACAGAACTTTTGTGTCACCCTGTATAGCATGTATTTTGAAAACAGGAAAAGGGAACGTCAATACAGGCAACCTTGGTTATAACGAACCTCGGTTATAACAACGATTTTTCCCTGGTCCCTTCGATGACGTTATAACTGAGTTCTACTGTATCAAAATGTGAAACTCTGTCATGATTGGAGCATCTTCACTCTGACATTAGTATTGTTTCCAAAGGGAGATTGGAAGTTACTCTCCCACCATGAATTCCATTGACAGTATTTGTGTAGTTTTTCCCGCCCTAAACATTTATCATGAAGCCAATTTCTTTTATTAACTGACTAATGCTATATCAAGGGTAACCAAGCTCAGAAAAATGTTGTTAGCTTAAAAATAGCTAACCAAATTTCTATTTAATAATATCTACTGTGTATTGTGTGGTGACTTTCAATACAATTCATGAGGAGTCAAAAAACTGAAACTGTCAATTTTTAGTTGGGACTGCATAGTCCCAGTATCCTGAATATCTCATCCACTTTATAAATTTGTCAAAATTTCAGCAATTTCTGAATCATGGGGCAATTTAAATTTGAACTTTCAAATAAATATTCCTATTTGGATCAAATATTTTATCAAACAGCCATAATTAAAAAAAATTATTGTTGAGCCATTAGGTTAGCTAGGGTTCTTGGAAGACCCTTGGTTGATGAACAGCTTACTTTCTCTCTATACCTCATGCCTTTCTTGGATGGCAGAAGCCTCATATGCCCATGATTATAACTTGCAAAATTGAGGGAGATAAACCTAGAAGCAAATGAAGCATAAAGTTAGGTGGAACAATGAGTCATAATGCATGAAATTAGGGGGATCTTTGCAAAGACAAGATAAAAACTACCGCAAAGTATTTCTATTCTATTCTATCTGGGTTGGTACTTGAGGTGTTGGTAGGTCAGCTAAAAGACTGAAATTTGGAGGTCTATAAAAAAAAATCAAGGTATTTGAGTGTGACAAACCTTAAGGGTGAGGGAGAAGGTAAGAGGATGCCTCTTTGCTCCCCAAGAGTAGTAAAGAAAGTATGTGGGTCGTCTCTTGTACTCAATTGTGGACGGGTATGGGGGATCAGGGAAACTCCAATTTTGAATATGGATTCCTTCTTCAGGTGACAGCACCATTGTCATGTGGTCTGGACCTGTGCAGGAAGTAGAAGGCACTCTTCATCATTAACAAATCATGTATATAATTGTCACTTTTAGTCAATAAATCATGTCTACATGGAATCCTCCATTGATTAAATTCTACCCTTGGAAATTAGCTTAATTTGCATAAAACAATATTTCTTTAGAAATTGACAAGGGGGTTTCCACTTTTAAGCATTGGAATAGATAAGGAAATACTTTCCAAAACCATTTTTACACCTTGGCATCTGACAAGGTCACATCTGAAGTAGACCTAAGTGTGTTTAAAAGGCAAGTGCAAGAATTCACCCACCAGAGACATGAAATGTCCAGTTGACAAGGAGTGGAGATCTTGAGATTACTTCCTTGCTGACTGGTTTCATTTTGATTGGGTCATGAATGACAGGGTCAGATGCAGGCAACCATGTCCATGTCCTATTGGAAAGGGAAATGGGGGGAGGAGGAGGGAAGGCAAGGAGGAGAGTTTCTCTAAAAATTCAGATGTATGAAGCTCCAGTAGATTATCATGATATAGGCCCACTCTTACCTGAGGACATTGTAGCTAGGGAAGTAATAGGGCATGCCACATGAGAGCTTCTCAAAGCACTCCTGTCGAGACAGGTGCTGTGCTGTATGCATGCCAGGCAAGATATTCATCATGGAGTCTGGGTTGTGTCGATCAAGATGCAGAAGCCAGTAACCAGCATCTTGATTCTTCAGACCACCCATCAGGTCATGCCACTTGCGCTGAGAATGCTGCAAAGGACAGAACAACTGTAGATCTGATCAGATCAATGGCCAATCAGCGGGATGGGAGTGAATATTCACTTTGGAATTTTTAACCCTTTGCAATCCACTTTTGGACATGGTTTGACAATCTCCATGGTGTTACAAGTAAAAAAGATCACAAAAGATTAAGATATACAAATATCTTTCAACTGGAACTTGTGCTGATAAGAAGCATCACAAGAAGGGGAGGAGTACTCACAATGATTATGAACCGCTGCTGACTTGGATGTGCAAGGTCAGCTGAATATGGGAATCCCAGTGGAGTCAGAAGCACAAGAATCATTGTAACTAGTCCACAGCATGTGAGTCCAATCCCTATTTTCCTTACCAATGCTCCATCTACATGTTGTAAAACGGGCATCTGCAAAATAGTGAACAAGAAGTGTCAAATGGACATCTCCTTAGTTACTAATACATCTGAGTCTTCTCTCAATCCACCTCACCAGATGCAGTACAAAAGCTGACACTGTGATGGATGTGAGAATGGTGATGATGATCTCAGGATTGAGGGTTGCACTCATGCGGCCTGCGATGGGCACGAACAGCACAAATCCATTCAGGCAAATGCTGAGGAAGCAAATGGCTGGGATTGCATGGAGAAGCAGGTACATAGTTAAGTCTGAAAGAGGACAGAGGCTTCCATTCCGTGAGAGGGAAACAGTACACATATCACTGGAAGAGAAGCAAAAGAAATAGTCTCACTTTGAATAGTGGACCAGCGAGGACTTCGAATGATGGAGAAAAGGGATGGGAAGATGATAAACAATGTTGGGATGTAGGAAGATCGTAATTCAAGGAAGACAAGGAGGAGGAGGAGGGCACTCCAGAGGAAGTTGCTTGCATGGAGATAGATTCCCATGAGGGTTGAATTCTTGGGTATGTCCTGTAGGCAAAGTTATGCGCTTGTTAAGTACATTAGCAGATTGCTAAATACAAGTGTCTTTCAAAAGGACCTCAGTGCCAAAGTCTTGGTTCCAGTCTGAAAACTCTGGAAACTACATAGAATAAATATTAATTCCAGTAAGCATGCTTGATTTACATGAAATGAAATACAGAGAACTGTGGTTAAATACATATATAGGAGATACAGAGCCTCTCAAGACAGCCATGAGGAATGGAGGTACCTCTGCTTTCACAGTGAGTTCACATTATATGTAAGACTGGAGGAAATGTTAGTTCCTCTGATGCCAGTAGGTCCATAGAAAACAATGGTTTGCATTTAATGGGTGCATGAACTCATCTTAAAAACACTGTAGGGCAGGGGAGGAGAGAGAGTTATGCTGTGCAGGGAGAAACGTAGGGTGTCTATAAAGTGGCACTCCATAGGCTCATAGATAGGCTGCCATCTTTTCTACGAGTTATTGAATCACCATTTCAAAAATGGACAGTCAGGTTTTGATTCAGTTTCTTTTCCATTATTAAATATATTCTATAAGCACATGTCTATCAATACCAACTGAGGGAGAATCCTTCCTCCTTAATTACGATCGCTGAAGAAACCACAGAGGGTTACTTATGCTTACCGCCATATAAGAATAAAGATGTTTCTAATCTCTTAATGCCGATATTTTCTGTGATGATGATATTATTCTCTTGGACATCATGACTTCCTCTTCAATAGCTAGTGCCTCCCATGCAAATTAAGTATTCAGTGCTTAACAAAACTTAAGATATAGACTCTCTGGATTGATTCATCTGCAATTAATTGGGAATAAGCTCAGGAAAATATATATAAGAGATTACCTGCCCAAAGAATGAATTTTAATGAAAGAGGAATTCAATGTGGTCTTCATGACCAAGAAGGACAGCATTTGAGTGTTCCCTTGCTAGGATATTAAAACCAGATAGCTGCAGTTTACCACACTAAAAATAAATTATTTAAAAATATAGGATGTCTGTGAAATCCCCCATGCTTGATCTGCTAATATTTAACTCACATGTGAGAGAGTCCTGTGCTGCAAATCATTTCTAACACCCTTTCTTCCTGATTCTTCATAGGTAAAAATTAAGTGCCTTTTTTACATGATGGACAACACTGTTGAAGAAAAGGTAAATATGCCATTATAAGCAATAACTTATGAAAAGTATAGAGATGCTTATCATTTTTGGTGAGAATTTCACCGTGAACCTTAAGCCATAAGATGACTGGGGCATGACAAAGAAAATTATTTATTTATGGATCCATTAAAGGCATAAAACCTCCTGGTAGACCTCATATGGTGGACATGGAGGAAACCATGAATTAACCACAGGAACACAAACATTCCTCTCACCATGGTCAGAAGAGTCATCAATGATTTACCATGAACATCAGCTTTGCATCATTGCTGAAGGTCTGAATGCTGAAACCTACTTTAGTTAACCGTCCTTTAGGAATACATGGACTCCTATAGGGTAAAAAGACCTCTTTAGCTTAAAGACCCCTTATCTCCCCTAAATGAGGTTTGTGCATTCTGACCTAAAAGTTTGAGTAGATGACTTGAAGATTTGAGCTGGTGAGTCATATGTCTGCTATCATTTAAAAGGTCATACATGCCAGTTTGAAATAATATATGCCTCATACCTGTTGCATATATAGTTTTAAAAAAATTCAGCAATCAAACATGGGGAGGGGTTTCTGGACAACCTGTATATATAACACTATGTAACCATACAATATATTACTCCTGGCCTTACAACACCTCCTGGTGGCTGGCCATGGATATACCTAACCCACTGATCTTCTCTTCTACTACTCCAACCTGCATGAATCATCTGTCACCCTAACTGACCATCAACAATTTCTATACCCCCTGCTGTATATTTTACTTCACCCCATCTCATATCCTTTTCTGTTAAGGGCATTTTTTTTATAAATAAAGGTCATTGAAAAAAAAAAACCATATTTTTCTGGTAATAATGGGAATTCCCTAATAAGTTGGTAATAATTGAGAGTGAGGCATAAAGGCCAGGCTAGAACCCTGAAAGACTTCCTGAATTTACCTTAGAATGTAGAAAGGAGAAACTCCTCAGAATGAAGATGCTGAAACCCAGGGAAGGAAAGATGTAGAGAGGCCAGATGAGAATTGGACGGCTGTACCAACTCATGCTGCAGCCAAATAAATCCAGTAAAATCCCCATCACCAAGGTTATGGTCTTAGAGCCAAGATAGGCTACAATCAGAATGGCATCTGCCAACAGGACCTGTAGTACATACTGGATCCTGCTCAAATCTGTCCAAATTGCACAAAGAATCCTGATATTCAGAGTTCCTTATAAATCAGATTCAAAAAGAAAAAGCTATAATGCTTACTTGAAGCTTTCATATCATTGAAGAATGTGAATGTCATGAGTGCCAGACCTCCAATGCAAAGCAGATAGGCCCAGTTGATGGAATAGACAACCATAAAGAGCCCAAGGAAGTCAAAATAAACCATCTTCTGTGATTTATCTGGGCCCTGTTGGTCCTGTAAGGTATCAGAGTTCCCAATGGCTTTGACCAAAGCAAGGATGTTGTTTCCTGCTCTCTGAAGGCTCTTGGGTGTTATATGCTCTGGAATATCATTGCTTGTGTGATAAACATATCCATTGTGTATGTTGGCAATGTCTAAACCTGCAAGCAGAGAAATGAATAGTGGCATTAATAATAAAAAAAGATTGAATTATGACAGCAATAGGAACTAGGTAGAAAGCTTACCTGGAATTCGACCAAAATCGCGAAAAATTCTAAAGTCAGTTTCTCCAGGAATCACCCCAGATTCAAATATGTCTTGAGCAACAGAGGATGCAAAAGGATGAGGGACAGAGCCTGCATATGTCTAAGGAGAAACAAATTCAGAACATGATTCTTATGAAATTCTCTAACAAATGAGCTTGTTCAGGCTTATTAACCCTGAAAAATTAATAATTCATTAAAAATCAACAACATTGAATGCCACTAATTAGTTGAAACAGCTGAATATACATAATCTAGATCCACTACAGCCCTGAAGCAACAAATATGAAAAACCAAACAACTACCAAGGAGCTCACATTCCACAACTGATTATTCAGTGATAACAGCTACCTAATATTCACTTTATCAAATCATCTCTAATAACAAAAGAGTTAGTATATGCAAAGTGCAAGTCTCATGAAAGTTTCAAAGCCTCAGTGAGAGTAGAGATGCATTAGTTAAAAGTTGTTGATCCTTTTCTGTCTTACCTTGTATACATACTATTCACAGGTCAATATGACTTATCACAGCCTAGTACTATAGGCCAAGATATAATTTTATTTAAATTATTTTGAAAATATAATTTATAATCACTGTGGACTGAAACCTCCTTCAGTTAATGGTCTTAGAAGACCAAGTGGATTCATATTGGGAGAAAGAGAGTTTATAGGCCCTCATCTTGCCTAAATGAGGCTTCTGCATTTGGACTCTGGGCAGAATTATGAAATTTCTTTGCATATTTCATTATAGATACTTCACAAGTGTCCTCCTTTATGGGTCTCCTTTTTACAGAGATATCTCATCAGGATTTTGAAGCCAGGATTGGGCTTGCTCAATCTGGTTTATCTCTTTAACTTCTTTCTGGCTACCAAGTAGCCAGATGCTACTTGGTAGTTAAAATGAGTTAATCATTTTGGCAAATGTGTATGTCATACCTCGACAAGCCAACTGCTGTTGGGCCCAGCTTGAAAGACAAGTTCTCGACCTCCTGCACCACAAGCATCCAAATTCACCACAGCTTTGATACGAGATGCCCAAGGATGCTGAGTTATAAACCCATGTGATGCCTGGAAAATAAAACTATCATCAATGTTCCATACAAAGAGGGAAACTATATCATAGAACAACCTAAGTTTATATTGCCGTTTTGATAGGTTTCAAAATTTGTCATAATAAAACTCACTTGAAGAAAGTTTTCTTCACCACCATTAAAGAGAAAGATTATAGAGTTTTTCAGAGGTTTGGAGGATGTTGCTAAAACTTCAAAAACCTCCAACATCACAGCACAACTTGCCAAGTCATCACCAGCTCCTATGGTAAATGTCATAATTTGACCAACTCCAATAAGTAGGGACCAGGAGGAATCCAAAGAAAACCAACCTGGACTCCAAGGCACAGTGTCGAAATGGCAATTGACAAGCATGGCATCATGTGATGGTTTCTCTCTTGGTTCTAGCACTGCAATCACATTTTGCAGATGAGCATAAATGCTTGTCATACGTTCCTTGAAATCCAATGGAAAGGATCCAGATACTTGCTGGACTTCCACTGTGATATTGTGAGATGAATGAGCTCTGTATTTGATGTCAATCAGCGTGCGCTTCAGGAAATCAACAGCCAAAACCTCATTCTCATAGCTTCCAGTTGGTTTAGGACCAAAGGAAGCCAAATGAACCAGTTTTGTTCGGGCTCTTTCCTCAATGAAGACACCATCCTTGAGATTCTGGGGGGGAAAAATGCCAAAAATGGAGTAAAAAATAGAATCAGTCATAGACCATCAAATGGATAAGTCAAAGCAGGAGGCAATGATCATGTTTTCACATTTCACTTAAACAATCTCTCTTCTCATTTTAGGTATTGGTTGCAAAAGGAATAGGTCCATCCAGTGAATAGTTTTACTTCTGTCTGGCAGCAGCAAATTGGCCACCCACCTAGCCAACAATCACCATTCAAACTGTTTTAAAAAAATAAAAAAAGGACAAAGGTGCAGATGGGACAGAACTATTTCAGTTGAATTTGTGGGTGTCCATCTATGAGTCCAATGTGTTCCTTGCACACCATTCATGATCATATCTCATAGTTCTCTCTCTTGTGTGGTGAAAACAAACCACCTAGACAAAGAGGTTTATTGGCGGAGTGATATGCACTTCTATCTCTGACTAGGAAGGCAGTGGATTGGGTCCAGGTTTTACTTTTATCTATAGACAGGCAACCTACCTGTCTTATGGGTAGCATCTGTCAAGGTAACATATGAACCACTCTAAGAGTCACATCCAGGAGATATTTAGATAGTAAAAACCAATTGTGCCAGTCATAGCTGTATGCAACCTGTGAGCTCTCTCTAGGCCCTCTAATACATATTCGGAGCACTGGAGGCAGCACTCTCTTGAGAATGCAAAAGTGAAGCATTGAAACTTATATAATAGCTAAAGACACCTGACTTTAGGTCTAGTTCACTTCAATTGTGAATTTAGAGTTGCATTTAGCTTCACCAGAGTATACCCAACTAAGCAAGATCTTATGTTATTTTGCAGGGAAAGAGTTAAACAATGGGCAAGTAGGTCCAATTCTTGCTACAGTTTTAGACAGAGGTCTCTTCACTATGTGCAAGATTATTTTTATCAAACATCATAAACTCCACTAAAATTTTTAAATGGAAATGAGTTTCAACTGGACTCATGGACATAGCTGAATGCAATTCAATCTAGTCATTTCCTATTTAAGCATGAAAATAAGACAATAAGAAAATGGGAATAGTCAGTTGGTCCAGGCTGGAGCAACCTAAATGAACCTCTGGTTGAAACTAACTTAATCAAATTGAATGCCTAATTTTTTTCTGCCCTTTGGACTCCTGAATGTGTTTTGTGGCCTGTTCATGAAACATTAATGAGGTCTTTTGCAGCAGTATGGTTTCAAGAGATGGAACCAAATCATGTTCATCACAATGTTGAAGATGAACTTATTTCCAAGTGATGTATTGGGAATGGCAATCACAAACTTCAAGTGGATTCAGCTGTGATTCAAGGCAAACTTGTGCCAATATCATTTGGGAATTAGAGTATTTCCCATTTGTTACAAGATTGAATTTCTTTAATTTGTCAAATGTTGGTAAAATTAAAACTGGTTCCACCTAGCTTCACAAGGAACTTCTAGTTTCAGCCAATAGGGAATTTAAGCCAAAACTGAATCTTTTTTTGAAAGTGGAACCAACATAAACCTAATTACTAGTTTTTTGTTGAAAGGTCTCGAAATTGGCTAGGCCTATGGAAAACTTCCTAACTGACCTGATTTGAAATATTCTTTGGAGTAGGAAAATTTGAATCTGCAGCAAATATGGCAAATATGATGCAGGAGGAGTAGATGAACAGAAGTGACAAGATGTAATATGATGGAGAATCACTGTATTTCAGCTTCTCGTGGCTATATGGACCCATATCATTCTGTTGTGTATCTGGAGCTCTGGGGCTCCTTAAACGGTGGCGAATGTGGGCTTCATCAGCTCCTCTCATGATGTCTATAGCACATGGAAGATAATAATAATTGATATAAATGCACATATATGTCATGTATATATAAATAATGTAATATAACTATGGAAAAAAGTCCAATAATAGACCTAAAGACTACAAGATGCATAGCTTGGCAAATGTATCCCAGCCAAAAACCCAGCCTATACATGGTCAGGATGAGGATTTTCTACAATGTAAAATTGACAACTGCTTTTGGAATATTTAGGGAATACAGCCATGCAAAAAGGAGGGGAAATAGGATGACTTAGAATAGAGTTATCAGATGAAGAGATAGTTAAGAAAGCCAAGATTACCACTAAAGGAGGCTACCTCTTTAGGGAATGGGGGGAAGCCTCTACCATCAAAAGTAAAGGTCTTAAAGTCTATTTATTATTGGACCTTTTCCCATCGTTATAACTGCTTCTTTTGGTTGTGGTTAAGGCTGCCCTTCAAGTAGTGTCTTACTAGATTTAGCTGCTCTGCTGTGGGGTTTCCCACATCAAGGCATTCATAAATTTAATTTATATACCTCTAAACGTATGCTAGTCAAAGGCCTAAACGATAATGACACGCTTAAGTAAGACCTGCAATATTTTACGGACCTTTATATCATCGGCTACTGTTATGAAGCCGGGGCTTTGATGAAAGAAGTAAAAGCTCCTTTAAGCACCAAGAAATCATTTACTCGTCTCGTGGTATATGCCATGTTTAAGCCTACTTTAGCCTGAGTTAGGCAGTAACGCTATAAAAGGCATTCCAGGGATTGGATGGGATCGAAATGAAAGGCTTAAATACGGAATAGGGGTGGAGGGAAATCCTAGATCCATCGTAGACGAGGAGGTGGGAGGAATAGGTCCTTAGAGAGGGGAGCAAAAGGGGCAATTTGCCCGGATCCCATGCCCAGGGGGCACCCACTCCGGCACCATACCGACAGGTAACAAACGATTGTTCAGTAGCGTAGCGTTTGTTAGCAATGGAGAGTTGATTAATTGTGTTTAAAGCGGGAAGGGATGAGTAAAAGGAGGCCCTAATATAAATATTTGCCTAAGACTCACAATTCCTTTTCAGCTTTCCTGTAAAGGAACCATGGATTCTTTCCGCATTTTACAATTATCCCATTAGTTTCTCAATCGATGTGACGAGCTGAATGGAATGTACTCCAATGGAATGTAATTTGCATGAGCAGTATGCTGGAATGTGTGAAAGGCGACATCGTATGCGGCACGAAATTAAGATTAAAAGTGGAAAAGCGGAATCACTAAGCGCGGAATGTGGGTGTGCAATGCGGAACGACAATTGTAGAAATAAGGTGTAAATGTGTAATACCACTACATAGAAATATGCAAAATATGTATCTCAGATCTGGAGGACATATTTTATGGAATTACATCCAGAACAGTCATAACTACGACCTGCTGCTACCATAAACGTCACATCACCTTCAACACTTACACCAGTCTCCATTGTAATCGATCAAGCCATAAGCTACGTTCCTTTCTCCATATCTCTTCAAAACTTTTTAGGGAGACCTTGGATTGGCACATACATATACTGGCATCCGGCAATTTTATACACAGTAAACTGATGCCATAGATGGATATAACACTGTAATTCAGCAGCAACTGTCATAAAAGGCATTCAAAATAAACTCCATAGCAATATCTGCCCAACCCCCACCCCCCCTCCCCCAAAGGAATACAACAGTATGCCTCCATCTGCCAAACACATGCCTTGGATCGCCAAGGCAGTCAGGGGCCATATACAAAATAAGGCAATATTTTCATCAGCTCCTGGTTTGAAACAAACTCCCTTTTATTCAATGGCAGACTCAGCTGCGATGTTTCTCGCGGATACGTGATCTGTGATGAAATATGACAACGCCCAGGTGCAATTTTCATTCTATAGATTCGTAATATCAACAACTCACACTCGAAGCTTTTTTAACCGGGAACTTTTCAATTTTGCATCGTAAAAATTTCCTACTAAGAACATATAAACCTCAATTTTTTCTAATGCTCTGGAAAGAATTCCTGCCTTTTCTAGGAAATGCTAATGCCATGTTATTAGCGAATTTTGTACACCTGGCATATTACGGCAAAGGGCAAACGAATTCTAAGAATACAATCATGGAAAAGCTACTCCGCATGCATGAGTTCTGTGGAGTTCATCGTTACATAAATATATTCTTGATACGGAATTTCTGCACCTTGTGGAATGAACCCGAGACGTTGAGTTTGCGACCCGAATCGTAGAGGACCCTGACTCACACCTGTATTTCCCACAAGTACAATCTCCCTGGTATAACGGAAGTCAGAGATTTGATTCCCAAACTCTTTAGAACATTAATTGCCGAGCCGGATGTTGGGGAAATGAACTTTTGATAACTTCTCTCCGTTGGGAAAATAAATTGTTGTGACACTGCACACCCAGAGAATCCAAATTTACAGGGTGCTGGCGACCCACACCATAAGTACCGCATAACAAGTCATTCGTCACGCAACACTGTCGTGCCCACCATCATGATGAATTGCATGACACTACGATACATTACTCTGGCACGAACCCAGCACTCGTCGAAAGCAAGCTCCAAGTGGATCTGATAAGAACTAACCCGTTGACAACAGCCAATAGGATGGTTCTCCATGTTGAGAAAAGCATTTGCATTCTCTTTACTCATGGCAGGTTTATGGTTGAAAATTCCACACTGTACCAACAGGGTGTCTGATAAGCAGTGCCGTACCGAGGATATTTGGCGCCCTATGCAGCAGACTCACATACATAGCCCCATGCATTATGAAAAATTAATCTGCTCTTTACCGACTGAGTTGAGCTGGACTCCTCCTGGACGTCCTATCGCGATTTCTTACGATTTCTATTTCTCCATTTCCGCTGCAGTTTCCTTTTTTGTCAAAACCGCTCGCAGGTATGGCTCTTGACTTAAAACATCAGAGAAGCGAAATTTCCGTCAGGTCGGCAAGAAACTCTTCCAACGATCCTGCTGTCGGGCAACCGTAGTCGGTAACCATCGGGGACTCCTCAATCTGCGCATCACGAACACCAACATCTTGACAAAACATTTGCGCAACCATATTATTCACATGCATGATGAACAGATGCATCTGTTCCTCATGCAGGTGAGGAACATATGCATCTGTTTTTCTCCCACTCTCTCCCTTTCTCCTCTTGCCAGCCTTTTATAATTTCTGTCCTGTCTTCGTTTCGTATGTCTTTTGTCTTGATCTCGATTGATAGTCTTTTTTTGCTCCTATTTCTTGAGTCTTTTGGTTTGTATTTCTTGTCTTCACTTTTTACCCTTTTGTTATTATTGAGTATTATTAATTTTCTATCGTGTTTTTACGAGGGAGTTCCTAAGAGTCTCCGAGGGACCACCACCCAACTGCTTTTTCAATCCCCACACCTTCTCCTTCCTGTTTTCTCGTCCCATTAAAGGTTACCTTCTTACACAGCGGAGAGAATAAAACAGGGACGCAGGATAGGGCTAGACAGCAGAGCACGTGATTGGCTGAAGGGCAGGGCCGGCTCTAGCTATTTCAGCGTCATGTGCAAAGAAACTCCCAACGCCCCCTCAGAAGAGAGGAGGGTCAACCTCTAGCGTCCAAATAGACGCTGAAACGAAGGTGTTTCCGCTTTCTGAAGTAAAACTGAGAGTGGCATCCATTACTGCTTCATTCATTCTGGCACGTTTTGGCGCTCCCGGTGAATTTGCGCCCTGTGCGGGGGCACATGTGGCACATGCCTAAGGCCGGCCCTGCTGAAGGGGCATGGCATCATACAAGGAGCATTCGTGCACACTGAATCGGCGAAATCTATCAGGCAGCGTGTATTTTCCAGCTTCGTATCCGTATCAATTAAATTAAAATTACAGGATGGGGTTCTCTTTGCTCCCGCTGAGCAGCAAATATAGAAGGTGAGAAGAATGTGTTCCCAAACATTTTCAGCAAAAAAATTAGTTAGCATCTAACGTCAGTGTATTAAGATGGGGAGAAGAAAGAGAAATAACTGCTTGTCTCGAGTTCTAATGTTTGGAAATAAAACCACACATAGGGTGGATTTTTGAACAGAGAACTATCCGATATTACTGCTTCATTTCCAGGAAATATCATGTTTTTTCCCTGGAATAAAGCTGCATTATCGGATAGTTCTCTATTCAAAAATCCACTCATAACACTATTTCATCTCCGTACCCAGTGGTGTAGCGAGGGGGGGGGGGGGGGGGGCTTCCCCCCCCCCACCCCAGCGGGGGGGGGGGGGGGGGGGGGGGGGGGGGGGGGCTTCAGCCCCCCAACTCCGGTCTAAATGCATCCGCCACCCCCCCTCCCCCCACCGGGCGAGGAGAAGTAAGCCCCCCCTGTTCCGCTTAGCTTATTGGCGAAACCCTGGTTACGCCACTGTCCGTACCCAGTTCAGATGGAATGAAAATAAAGCAAAATCTCTATCATGAGAAGAAAAAAAAGAAGCTTACTTTCGGTTTCAGTCTGGGAAGAGAATAGTGGAAAACGCCCTGTGCATACTTCAATTATTAAAAACTCAGAAAACGGAGCGATGTCCTTATTGCACTGGTGATGGGAGTTGACAGCAGTGGCGGCCCGTCAGGGGAGGCAAGCGAGGCTGGTGCCTGCCTGAGCTGGTGACTGCTAGCAGGTGATTGTACATCTCTTAGGCCCTTTTTGCTTCAAAGAGAGAGCTGCTCGGTCACCCAAATTCCCAATTATAATTTATATCTATCCCGTTGCCAAGGAAAGAAAAGTCACAAGATACATTCTACATAATCATGCCGGGTGAGCAAGATGTCATTTCGTTTGGGAGAAATTCTGAAACTCGCAAGGAAAGAAAGTCGTCAGACCGATACTATTCTCTTCGGGTCCGATGCGCCTCTACTCTCCCTCAAGTGCTCGTTAAAGTATCAATTTCCGCTCTGCTTTCACACGATTTCGATTCTATATAAACTGCCAACATAGAGCGTTTTCCCGTTCAGTCTTCTATTTT